TTCTGCTGACCTTCAAGGGCTGGGGGGTGGTTGCACAGGGTGTACACACCGATGGAGCAGGGGTCTCAGAGTCATTTCAGAATGCTGCCCACTACATTGGGGTGACCAGACTCCCTGGGATCAGCCCATCAGTGTTATTTGGGGTAGGATTTAGGGTCCTCATACCTAGCTTTGGTCAATTTATGTCTCCATATCTAGGCTTTAAGGATCAGGTCAGAAATGGGTCCCTGCCTTAACCAGGCCCAACCAGAGCTAACCCAGTGACTTCTGCTGCAGTGACCAGGACAGAAGTCAGTCACACTCTCTGATTCCTGAAGCATGAAGCATGATGGAGACCAAACCCTCATAACAGTGTTTGAGCCCTTGAGTTCAGCTGGCTCTGAATCCAAGCCTATCCAGGCTCCTGGGAGTTATGTGAGTTGGGAGGGTCTTGATTCACCTGTGGGTGATGGAGAGACTCCTGCCAGCCTGGTATGGAGACTAGGAGGGGACCTTTTGTCAGGAATTTGCAGGGTGGAGGTGAGAAGAACATTTTGAGCATAAAGTCCCTACCTAGATTTGGAAATCTTCTCAGACAATGTGCATCCAACAGAAATGCCGCAACCTTTGCAGTAAGGCAATGGACTGCAAACTAAGGGAAGCCAGGCAACACAGAGAACGCGGCTCAGATCCCCAGAGGACTTCCGGCAGCTGCCATTACTTTTTCTAACTTGCCTTGGTATCGTGGGTAAAAAGCAGTGAAGAACAAAGACCCCAGGTGTGTTCCACCTCCTTCCATCTTCATCTCCTTGGGAGCCATAAGACAAGGCCCTGTGTCACCCTCCAACCTCATCTCCCACCTCTTCCTGTGTCCGCCTTGCCGGTCCTCAAACACTATAAGCTTTGATCCTACCTCTGGGACTTTCCTCTTGCTCATCCTTCTAGATTCTTCCCTGAAAATATGCACGACCTCCTTTCTTCGAGTCTCCACACCGTCATTGTCATTTCAGTAAGGCTGTCCCTGACACCTGATTCTTATTAAAGTTTGTCCCCCCTACCACGCCCAGCACCTAGAGGCCCCAGATTCCTTTTGCTCCACAGTCCCGATTATTGTCATGTAGGTATGTGTATGTCTATTGTCCCCTCCCCTAAGCCCCAGCAGAATGTAGACTTCATGAGGACCAGGCTTTAAGTCCTGTCTTATCTGCAGCATCCAGCTCAGGGCCTGGCAGAGGAATCAGTTCTCCATACACTTTCCTTAAGTGAATATATTCCAATCCTATCTTTCCCTTCCCCTGGAGTGGTGATGAAGTTTCCCAGCTACAACAAATGCATAAAGACCTCCAGCCTTGACCCAGCCTGAGAGCTGCTGGCAGCAGAATGCGGCAGTGAGCCAGACAGATGGAGTTCCTGCCCACAGGAGCGTGCAGTCTGGAGGGATGTAAGCTGTTGAGTTGTCATGTCCGTTCCTTCAGCCCCAAAGCCTTCCCACTGTGACAGGTCATGGATCTGGACTGAGCACCAATGGGAATCCCCCAGGATGCCCACCACATCTCAGGTTCCCTGTCCCAACATGCCAGGAGGACCATAGAGGAGCATGGTGGAAGGCGCTCTCTGTGGGCCTAACATTGCACGGAGTAGATAAAAAAGAGGCAGATCTCCAGTCGGAGTGCGGCTCAAAAACAAACCCCAGTCACTTCGAAGGTAGAGGAGGTGACACTAGGTTGCTTATAAGTTGAGGACAGGAAATGCATATTCAGGTGCTGTTATTTGACCCGAAATTCCTTCTGGAAGATTCTAGGGAAAAGGGGGATACAGCTAAGCTGTGGAGTCGGAGGAAATGACTGTTGGAACAGTGAGTAACTCCTGGTAAGGTCCTTCCATGAGTCATTAGATACAGTCAGCCACGGCGAAGTGAGGGCGCAACCATGCTCAGATCATGAACAACCCTGACCCCAGCTGTCCTCTGGTACCTGATCTCAGATCTCTATGAGCCTTTGTCTCAGGGATGGGAAATAGCAGCTATCAATAGCATAGCACTTTTTGGAGGCAGGGGATCTTAACAAGTGGCCTAGAGCACTGAGTAGGTGACAAAGGATAAGGCAGGAGATAAAGTCCACCATCTTCCGTCAGTTGAGTGAAGCCTGCATTGTGCAGGGAGGGCATGCTGACAATGTATGGGTCAGCTTTGGCTGCAGTAACACCACCTAAATCCGAGGGATTTCCATAACGAGGCTTTGTGTCTTATTTAGTGTTCTTCAGGCTGCGGCTCCACTAGGCTTCACTGAGCTCAGCTCTAAGGTGTGAGTTAAATTCAGGTCTGCACCACATGAAGAAGCAATTATTTCTCAAGGTCAAGCCACATCACAAAATCACATTTAAAAGTGCTGATGAAAATGTCTGGTCACATCCCAATGACCAAAACCTAAACATGTGCTGTGATGCACAACAAACTCACATGACAAAAGATCTGGTGCAAGAATCCTCATAGAGGGAGTGGACAGAATTTTTGGGAGCAGTCATCTAACCCACCACACACAGGGTGTGCCAGAGGGCCTCAGAAACTGCAGGGGGTGTCTGGCTCTCTTGGGAATGGACAGCCCACTATGGCCTCCCTCCATGGTTGTCAGCATTTACTCAGTCTGGCCAGGAAAGAGGTGAAGGGAACTAAGGACTCCACTTACTGGTGAGTCGCAGACACCCTGTGGATCAAACCCACATCCTTTTCTAAAATAGCCAGTCCCTGGGGCAGCAAAAGCTGAGAAGTGTGAAATGGACTGCACATGGTATCTGAAGACTCAGGATGGCAGACATCCTGAGAGGACCTGTGGAGAGGGGGCTCACCTCAAGACACCTGCAAGACCCCCACTTTGTAGATGTGCCATCTAGACACTGTGAGGCCTGGAACTCTGCAATGCTTAACTTTTCAGCATATACATATAAATATATATATGAGCTCTCTATATAATAGCAATACAGATGTTTTTAAAGGCCCAAGAGACAAGAGTGGGCAAAGATCTTTTAAGATCAAAGAAATGCCAAATATTTAATATTATCTTGTAACTCTTGTTCATCCTTTCCTCAGAAAAGCCAACACATACAGAGAGAGAGAGAGAGAGAGAGAGAGAGAGAGAGAGAGCAGCAGTAGCAGCAGCAGGAGCAACCTCTTTTTGGTAGTACAGCCCATCACCAATTACTGTGGCTGAACCCCTGGGTACCAGGACTGAATTCAAAGCCCACTGGATGACAGGCTGAAGGTGCAGCAAGACTTTCAGTCACCCAGGAAGTGAGGCTCAGTATTGAGAGGGGGCTTTCAGCAAAAGAATCTTCTAGGCTGATATTCAAAATGCTTAGTAGACAGGATGATCCAGGTTCTCCCCAATCAGAACCATAGCCCGCAGCACACTATAACCCTCCTGCAAGTGACCTTGATCCCTGCATCCAGCTGGGGAAGCTGCTGGGAAAGATGGAGGCTGGGGACCCATCAGGAGAGCTGGCATTGAAAGGTGAATAGGACAGCACCTGCTAGTGTGACCCTGCCACTTCCCTGCATGCAAGGGACTAAGTATTTCAACCGGAGACCCTGGGGGTCCTGCAGGGCATGAGCTAGATTTGTCTTCCTGCCTGAGGCGATCACCAATTATCTGTGCTGTGAGGCAAGCTGGCCTCCCGCCGGAGGAGGAGGTGAAGGGATTTACAGAATCTCTCTGATCTAAGTCATTAGAGGAGTTAAAGGGACCCATCCAGGAGGCTGCACAGTGCAGAGATAAAGAAGTCAGAACTCAAATCCCTACTAGGTGGGAGGCTTAGACACAGCTTCTTAACCTCTCTCAGACTTTGTCCCCCTGTCTGGAAAGGGGAATCATCTCAGTACCTACCTGGCAGGGCCTTGATGACAATGACATGAGCTATGGCCCTGTGAGCAGTCTGAAGGTCAGCTCTCCATCATGAGAGTTGTTGAGACTATTTCTTGTGGGAGGAATGACCAGGAAGTTAGGTCAGAAAACAATGTTCAAAAGAGAAGATAAGCCAGACATTGTGCCTCATGCCTGTAGTCCTAGCTGCTCTAGAGGTAGAGACCAAGGCCAGACAAAAAGTTTACAAGACCCCATCTCAACCAATAGCTGGGCCTGGTAGTGTGAGCCTGTCATCCCAGCTATACAGAAAGTATAAATAGGAGGACCACGGTCTGGATCAGCCAGGACATAAACATGAGACCCTATTTGAAAAATGACTAAAGCAAAAGGGCATGGCTCAAAGTGTGAGGTCCTGAGTTCAAACCCCAGTACCAGAGAGAGAGAGAGAGAGACAGAGACAGAGACAGAGACAGAGACAGAGAGAGGAGGAGGAGAAGAGAGTTGGTTTGTTAGTTTGCTTTTAGTTGTCCAGGATCATTCAAGGCCACGGAAAGTGAGAACAAGGAGTATGTGCCCAGGCCCTGCTCTAGGGACAGCACAGTCACCTGCTCATCCACACCTTTCTCCGAGCAGCTGGACCGACACAGTGAAACCTGGGACTGCTGTCATTTGTACCAAGAGAGACGACCTGTTTGTGAGGAGCAACATTCACTACCACTTCCCCACCAGGAAAAAAGAAAAGCAAATAAGACTGCGAACAGCATGCGTAGGACCTCCGTGGTCTTCCAGTTTGCCATAGTAACCACGGTGACTGCTGAAAATCTGTAACTCCTACAAATGCTGCATGGTAAAACCGGCCCCTCGTATGGGGCACCCTGATTGGTGGAAACTCGCTTCCTTCTCATTGCCACACGTCTACTGAGGATATGCAACTAGGAGATCCCAGGGCCTAAAGTGGCCACCTGAAGAATGGGGGGGGTATCATCACTGCCTTCCAGAAGGTGTAGCTCCTGGTAGGTGCCCCCCTTTCTTTTGCTGATTTCTTCAGCCTAAGGCCAAAGGCATCCTGGCCACTTCCAGAAATAACTTCATTCCACAAGATTCAGGCCAGGGGGCTTAGTTTGCTGGGCTGAATCGCATGGATGACTGAGCTTTCCAACATATTTTTATTTTTTTATTTCCCACCAAGACCCAGAGCAACGTAAAACCAGAAGAGCCAACACCTCCACCTACCCACACCCACCCCCCTAAAAAACCGAATATTCTGAAAGCTGTACAAAGAATTCCACAGCCATTCACCCAGCTGATTCCCAAAAAAACGGAAGATATCTGGAAAATGTATTTAAAAATTGATTTAACGTTGAGCCATGTTAAGTGCTTTAATTTCCAAGCGATGCAGTGCCCACCAAAACATCAATTAGTCCCAGCAATCAGGAAGGAATATTGGCTTCTGTTGAGAGATTCATTTATTTCAGCTCTGGGAAGTGTGGAAGCAGAAGAATTCAGTGCAGCCTGTAGCTCCAAGAAGATGCCAGATCAGGCCCTGGCTGAAAGGTGACTTTTTCTGCACCCATCTCCCTCTCTCTGGAGGGAGGGCAGTAACTGGATGTAAGGTCCTCCTGTTGTGAATAGAAAACATCCTTTCCTCCCCACAACTTTGCTATCTGCAAGCCAGAAAACAAGAGGCTAAAATGGACAGAGAAGGGCACCCTGCCAGGAGACAAGCTCGCTGAGGAATCCACAAGATTGTTTTTTAATAATTGTTTTTCCCTTATTGCTTTTTACATATCGTGGCCCCAGGGTATCCCTATCCTAGTTGAGTCTCTGAGCCCAGGTAAAGGCTCTCCCACAGTCTGAAGCACTGTCTGTCTCTACAAACCTTGGCCAGCTTTTTGGGACACGAAAGGGCAAAGCACTGAGGCCACTCAAGACAGCGGGTGGGCCATTAGAAGTAGCAGCGGGCAGCCAAGCCAGTGTTGCCAGGAGGTGGGCGCTCCTGAAAGCAAACGCAAAGCCAGAGGACTCGTGAGGTCTCTGCAGCCCCCAGAGGTGCACACATTGTACCCAGCTCCCTGAGTCTCTGCCTGTGAACCTCTATTTGCTCATCCTTTAAATGGGAATGATGACTCAGAAGAGGGAGAAGGAATGAAATGAGATTGCATGAACCAGCGGTTACCAGCGCTGCCTTAATCCTGAAACTCACATGCTTAAAATGCAAATGCCTGGGTGCTCAGATTCTGACTCAGCAAGTCAGGAGACTCAGGAATTTGTATTTTAAGCAATATTCCCAGGTGATTGTTACAATTAAGCAAGTTTAGGAAACAAAATCAGAGGGGCGTGGTCCGTCTACGGGGCGTGACCGGTGGGCGTGGTCACTGGAGGGGGCGTGGCCCACAGGAAGGGGCAGCTCTCCCTCAGGCCTAGGGGGTGAGATGGAAAAAGGGCATCTGGGAACTTGTCCTACATATTTTCTGACACTGCTGGTCCAAGGGAAAAACAGTACCCGCCTCTCTGCTGGGGGACTGTCAAAATTACACATACCCTCAGACCCATGTTGAAGAGTTTATCCAAAATATACTCAAACAGAAGCAAATTATACATGTCATTGGCTGCACCATTGTTTGTAACAACAACAACAAAAAAGAAACAACTGGAATACCCATCTGTAGAGATCTGCTTAGACATTGCGTTGGGTAGCCATATAACCAGCAATTGCACATCTCCTGTGTATGGAGACAGGACTGTCTCCCAGGTACACTGGTAGGTTAAAAATGCAGGATGTGGACGAGGTGTAGAATAAGCCTTTGTAAAAGTGCAGAGATAACCTAAATTTGGTTTGCTTGTGTAAGCACAAAATATTTCTGGACAAATAGACTAGAAGGTGGTAATTCCGGTTGTCTCTGGGGAAGGGAACTGAGTGGCTGAGAGGCAGGAGACAGAGGGTTTCATTCCATAACTTCTCAAACCCTATATGTTTCAGACCACGTGCATTATCTATTGTGTGTGTTACTAGTCCCACAAAATATCATGTGCGTATTATATTTCTATGGGAAGTTTATCAAAGTAGTTTGCTGTTGGCAAGCACCACCTCTGGCCACTAGCACCCGAAGAAATTGGAATTCCACCAATTCACCATCCCCAGTGGAAAAAGGGCAGTGAGGATGGGAGATTGTTAACAGGAAGAGATGGTCAAGTTAAGAAAAGGAGGAAGGGAGGGAGACTGGGGGATTCAATGAACCACCAAGTCCTCTGGGGTTTTGCTCATGCTCTTCCTGCTCCCCAGGATGCAGTCCATGCACAAAGTTCATCTTATCCACAGCTGGCCTCAACTGGGACATCATTGATCTCAGGAGGGAAGGTTGCATGACCCCTGCCTTCTTCCCCAAGCCTGTCCAGGTGTGCTGGCTTGGTGCCTGTGCTTCTCCACCACACTGCCTCAGGGTCACCCACACCCCCATGTCCCCAAGTTCATTGAGAACAGAGGATGTAACTGGCTTGCTCCATGCATGTACCCAAGGTGATGGCACCCCACTGTGCCCTCACCAAAGACAGGTGTACTCACTAAAGACAGGAGTCACAAAGATGTGAGAGAGTGAAGGAGGGGGAAGCAGGAGAGGGGTAAGAAAAACCAGGAGTAAAGGGCAGGAAAGCCACACCTACAGGTGCAAGGCCACTCAAGGTCCAGGAAGCTTTCCCAGAGTCCCTATCTTGATGGGTCTTGGTCACCATGAAACACCTCCCTCCCCCATTTCCTTCCTAGGTCCTATCAGACTTGAGATTGGCTTGTTCTAAGAGAGCCTTGTCTGTCTTGCTCACCTGTGGGTTGCAGCCCCTGCCGATGCATCATGGTTGAATTAATTAATACTGGACAGTGAGAGTGGAGGATACAAAGGACCAAGTGAAAGGAATTCAGTCCTCAAAGATGCTGATCCAATAGATCTTAGGTGGGACCCAGGGAGATGGAAGTTTTTAAAAGCTCGGCCGTGAGACCGAGTGTTGCTAGACTTGAGAAAATTCACAGGAGGTTTGGTAGGAACTTGGGGTTTATCTCTGAGTGCAGGTCCCCAGGACTGCTAGAATCTTAGGAATCTTAGGAATCGTCTCATCCCAGGCCGCACCAGGTAGACCTCAGATAGGGGACTGGGGCGGGGATCGAGAAGGGGGCGGGGCCCGGGGCAGGGGCGTCTTTCTCACCTGCTGGACACCCGGCTGAGGACGTGCGGGTAGGGCTGGCACTCGCCGGCGCGCCCTGCCAGGAGCGGCTCTTTGCGCCATCTAGCGCCCACTGGAGGCTCTGCAGCTGTGACGTGCTGAGCAGTCGGCGCTGGGCTTGGGTCACCGCGGCGGCATTCTGGGGACCCAAGGATGCGATCTGCTCCTCCGACAGCTCCTGCAAGAGGGAAAGGGACCACGCCTTCAGGGAGCTCCTCCCTGGACTCCCCAAACCTTAGCTAATCTGCCCACAGTCTGTACAACTTTGCAAGATGCAAGTAAATATATTTAAAATATATAAATATATATATATAATATATAAATATATATTTAAAATATATTAAAAATATATTAAAATAAAAATAATGGAAATTTCTAAAAATGGAGAACCAGCAGGACTTGCTACAGCAAGCATTGAGCAGAACCTAAAGAAAACAGTATCTTTGAATTCCAGGCAGGCTTATTAGCTAACAACACCTGAACCTCTGGCTTCTTAAAAGAGAGAGTGGGAGGATTTTTAAAGTGCTGTAGAGGTGTCCAAGACATTGTAGCTCCAAGAGAGACTTTTGCCTCAAAGTGACCACAAGTCCTAAAGGAGAGTCATGGTTTCCTCACTGTGTGCAATAAATAGTTTCTCTGGGCTTTGGGGCTAGTTGTGTGCAATGGCTAGAGAGCTCACTTCCTATGCCATTCTGACCCTTTGGTATGACTGTCTGGACACCATGTGATAGGTCCTCTCAGGCTCAAAGAGAAGATGAGGTGATTGCTTGGCTATGTCGGCTGTGGACCTCAGAGCAAGAAACTGCTGGGCACACATGTCTCTCAGAACTCTGAACAAGGTGTTTACTGGAGTTACCCAGGTTCACTGGTGATTAGGTCCAGTGGGGCTGGGATGAGATGGAATGGCAGGATTCTGCTTTTGTTGAAGGGCCTCTAACATCATCCTGGTTGTATGGGGGTTTGTTTGTTGTTTTAGTTTTTTGGGGGGTGGCAGCAGTGGATTTGAACTCAGGGCCTCATGCTTGCTAAGCAGGTGCTCTCTACCACTTGAACTACACCCCCAGCCCTTTTTGCTCTAAGTTGTTTTTCAGAAAGGGTCTCATACTTTTTGCCTAAGCCACCCAAGGATGGTGATCCTCCTACATATGCCTCCTGCATAGCTAGGATGACAGAGGTGCACACTACTACTCCCAGCTTATTTGTTGACATGGGGCTTCAGTAACTTTTTCCCCAGGCTGACCTCTAAATGCAATCCTCCTGAGCTCCACCTCTCAAGTAGCTGGGATTACACATGACAGCCACCATGCCCAGCTCATTCTGCTTACTTTTTAGAACCACAAAGAAACTAGGGTTTTTTGTGCTTATGGTTTCTCATCTTTTCCTCTTCTCTCAGTTCCCTTCTTCTCTACCTGCCCAGAAAGATGCCTCTGTGGAATCATATTCCTCTTTGTAGAGCCCTCCCCTGTGGTGGCTTCAGTACACAGCTCAAGCTCCTGAACATAGCTATAGCACCTACAAGATCTGGGTCCCGCCACTCCTCTAGCCTCATCCCTGACACTCTTCTCCTCAGCAGAATGAGCACCCAGGAGCACCCATGCTCACAATTCCCAGGAGGTTTGCTTCCTTCTGCAGGAGTGCTGTTCTTCCTCTGTGCCTTGCTTATCTGTCCCCCAAGATTCAGCATCACCTCCTACCTTCTCGTGACACACACACACACACACACACACACACACACACACACATAGGGTTGGTCCTCCACTGGCTTCCATCTGCCATTAACATCTGTGCTACAGAAAATGATCTATTTTCCAGTGTTGCTGACTTGGGACCCACAAGCTAAATTGAATCCCTAGGCCTACAGTGTTTTCAAAAATAAATTGACTGCCAACATTTAATTATTGGAAGATTCCACATGGAAATGAAGATTTCTGTCTGCCTCTGAGGCAGAAAGTAACATCCTGCCACATCGCCCTTGTAGTCACCCTGCATTCTTGTGCTGCCCCCTCACTTGGGGCTCACACGGCACCATCACCTCAGTCCCCACCCAGCCCTCCACGTGCCTCTTTGGTATCTTTCTGACCCTTGAAGGCACTGGGCTCTAAGCCCTTCACTAATAAATCTGCAGATCCCACGTGACCCCAACCTGGAGCCTGTCACTCGTAGTTGATTATTCAATAGGAATTCCTGGAATAGACAAATACCTGAATGAGGAAGCAGTCAGAACTGCATGCCAAACAAGACCAAGAAAAAGGGCTTAGCAAAAAGCCAGGGCCAAGCTGCCCATCCCTTGCCCAGGGCCCCGAGGGGAAGGAGGAATCTCTCAATGGTCTCCAGGACTGTTGTGAGTTTCCCCTGAGCAACTATTGTGCCCGCTGTGCTGGTAGCTGTCCAACGTGCTGAAGTGACTCCACCTTGGGTGTCAGTCTTGAAAGGAACCAGTGATGGGGCACTAGGGGAGTGTGACTAACTGGTCTTCTGTGCCTTATTCTGGTAGGGGTCGATAGAATGTGTTCCCATGTCACCTAGCAAGTAGGAACGCCAAAGTCATACATCCTTATCAGACTTCATCTGGTCCACTTCCATCCTCTCAATGTTTTACACAGCAGTGTATCATTTGACCGATTGTGTGCTCGCTCGCTTTCTCCCTCCCCCCATCTCTGTCTCCCCCTACCCCTCTCTCCCTCTTCCTCTCTCTCTGTGGTACTGGGGTTTGAACTCAGGGCCTTACACTTACTAGGCAGGTGCTCTACCACCATCCCCCATTATAGTTTTCTTAGCACTTTTCTTTAAATCAACTAAAATATTTGTGCCTAGATTTATTTTTAAAGGAAATATCATTTACATTTATTTTTAAAAGAAGTGTTGTACAGTGCCACCAATCCCTCATCTACAAATCTGAAGTCCAAAAAGTCTGAAAACTTCAAGCTTTTCTCAAAGTTGAAAACCAACTTCTTTACTAGCAAAACTTGGCCTGAATTGATGTGATGCTATTTATAGTCTATTAATTCCAATTAGTGTGACTTGTCACAGATTTCTTCATAAGAATATGAATGTGCTTGCTTAAAATTGATGACACAGACCTGCTGGAGGTACACAGAGTACCACACAGGGTGGTCTTCTCAAAATCTGAAATTCTTCATTCTGAAATATATCTGTCCCCAAGGGTTTTGCATAAAGGCTGATGAACCAGTCACATCACCACACATACAAAGTCAGTACAGTCTGCTTTGAGGAGAAGGTAGGCACAAAAATAATTCAAACATAAGGGCCAGGCATGGTGATGCACACCTGTAATCTCAGATATGTGGGAGGCAGAGGTAGGAGGATCACACTCAGAGGCTGTCCCTGGGCAAAAATGTGAGACCCTATCTGAAAAAAATAACTAAAGCAAAAAAGACTGGAGGTATATCTCAAATGACAGAGTGCTTAACTAGCAAGCACAGGGCCTTAAGTTCAAATCCCAGCCCCACCAAAAAAGAAAAATAAAACATAAATTAATTGTTTTACACTTTTTTAACAACACCTGAAATTATCTTGCAGCCACCATTGTCAGATCTCTGGTCCTATCAGCAAAAGCCTTTTACAAGCCCCAAGAATGCAAGGTGTGTCCTGTTTCCTTGTGTGATCTAAAATGGGGTCAAGCTCCCATTTCTCCTTGAAAACTGAACCTACTTTGAATATCTCATCAGGAAGGCATTTTATTGCTGATGGCTGGAAATACGGCATCAAGTCCTTGTGGAGAACTCGGAGCTCTGCCTTAGTTAATCCAGCTGGGGAGAAAAAGGAATCACAGGGTTTAGTTCAAGTCATTGGAGCACCACTTGTTTTAATAATGGTACTGCAGTGCATAGATTCGCGTGTCCTAGGCAAGTGTCATTCCTTACAAAAGACCTGGAAAATCAAACCAGGAAATCAAGTTCCTTCATCAACTCAGAAATGAATGTGGGTCACAGGATCCCTGATTGGCCTCCTACAGTGAAATGTATGCCCCGAAGGAGGTGCTGTTTGCATGCTTAAGACTGAGCATAAATCTATTTAGAGCCAATTAAATCACATTACATACCAGGGGGCTTTTTGGTTTTATTTTTGTTTTTGTTGGTCTAAGTTTAGAACAATATACCAGTGTTTCTCACACTGCAATGTGCACAAGAATCACTAGGAGAGCTTGTTTTAAAAAAACAGATTGAGTCATGAAATCTAATCTAGGTTTCACAGTAATGCCATGGATGTTTACTATATATGACCCAGGATTTTAGGTTAGTTTAGTTCAGTTTAGTTTTGTTTTGTTTTACTCCCAGATGTAAGTGTGAAAAGGGAGAGAAAGGTGCCTCTTACCTGCAATGGTCCCAAGCTCCTGCAGGACAGAGCTGGTCCATTCAGTGGGATCCCCAAAAGCAACTTCTGCCTTTCTCTTAAACTCAGCCAAGACATGGGTGCTGCAGGGCAGGGTCCCAATTCTGGCCACCACCACCCTGGAAAGAAGGAGGGGTACAGTGTGAGCTTAGGGAACTCCGCCAGAAAACATGTGCGGAAGGTGGGTAGACTTAGCACCGAGACAGGGTCCGGCTAAACCCGCTCCCGATTTTAACCCAGGAAGCAGAAACACTTCAGAAAGTGGAGAACATATGGATGGATGGGTGGATGGATGGATGGATGGATGGATAGATGGGTGGATGAATGGACAAATAATGGGTGAGTGGATGGATGGATGTATGGATGGACAGATGGACGGATGGACGGATAGATGGATAAATGGGTGAGTGGATGGATGGATGATGAGTCATTTGCATTCTGCATACTAGTATTTCAGTTACCTGAATTCTGAGATATTTATAAGTGGGATTTCGGTGGTGTTCATGGCACACAGGGTGGCACCAAGCCCTACTAAATGAAAGCTCTTCAGATCCTGGACACCATAGCCTGACTCCTTCAGGAATGTCTGCAGAATGGATTTAGCCTATAAAAAAATAATAAGAAACGTCTTCTAGTTTATTTGGAAATTCCTGTGGACCTCAGATACTTTGGACATGCCAGCTCTTCTTCATCAGGATTCAAATATTTCCAGCATCTCTTTCCACCACTTTCCAACAAAACCTTGTAATTCCCTGCTCAATTCTTTTGCTCAAACCAGCCCCTCCATCTGGAATGTCCTCCTGCATTTCCAACTGTTAGAATCCAGCCATCTTCACATTTTAGTTCAAGTATCATCTTGTTCATGAAGTTTCTCCTAGCCAGCTCATCCAGAATGAATTTGTCTTCCCCTATTTTCTACAGAAATATATTTGCCCATTGTTCAATTTCAGTAAGTAGTACATAAAACGCTTTGGTGTTAAAAATTACACAGGGGTGTCACCAATGAGCCATGATTTAAGGGATTGAATGTGGGGTTACTGTAGTTAGCCCTATAGTCCAGCATAGCAACCATGCATTGCTCATGACTGCCTCTGGAAAACCACCATCCCCACCCACCCTCCATGCGGTTAGGTCAGAGAGAACCACATCCTGGGTCATCAAGGAGGGATAGGCCCAGTTCTATCCAACCATGTCATCTATTAGCCTGGCTGCAGTGATTGGCTCTAGATTTGGGCATGTGACCCAGTCAGAGCCATCCAAGACTGGGAGGGAAGAGCTTTCTTTACTCTGGACTTGAATTTGGAAGGACACACACATAGGTCCTTGGAAGGAAAGGCACATGGATCTGCTAGAACCTGCAACATGGAGAGCCTGCCTCTGAATGAAGCCAATGCAAAGGAAGGCAAGGCCTCCCACTCCCTGCCACAAATGGCAAGAGCAAGATTCCCAAACAATAGTGTTGAAGCTCCTGGGTCTAGCTATACCTGAACTCTAAACTTGAACTTTTCAATTATGACAATCAATAAATTGCTTCTCTCATTCAAGCTAATTTGTCTTAGATTTGCTGTCACTTGTCAGTGAATGAGCCCTGATTTATTTGATCTACCTACGTTGGACCTGAGAACAAATCCAAATGAATCCCTTGGGGATGAGCTATAGAATAAAGTCTGGTCATTTAGTGCTCATGGGAGCAGGTAAAAAAGATCACAAGAGATCACAAGACAAGAACAAAGAGGAGATATCAGAGGATGAACATCTCCTTACTGGGAGTAAAGGTCACAAGAATAGAGTCAATCTTCTGCTTCCTTTTAGTATTAATCATCCCTGTCATGATTGAGTCATTCCAATGATGACAGAAGTGCTGAGAAAGATGTGAAGGACTGCAGTGGGATTCCATGTCCTATCCCCCAGTCTGTGTAAGTGCTACTTCATCAGAGAGGACCACCCCATCTCAAACAGTCTCCCTCCCCCCAATCTACTAACACTTGTCCATTTTCTGTATCATTTTTTACCTTGATCATTCACCTTTTTGTCTGTGTCATCAGTAGGCTCCCCAAAGACAAGGACCCTACTAGGTGGTTCACTAGGTGTCCCAGCATGGAGCACAATGCCTGATATACCCTAGGAGGTCAGTAAGTACTTTTTGAGTATGTGAATGAGTGAATGTTTGAGTGGATGACCGGTAGAAGTCATGGGAACCATGAGCTCCTTTGGAACAGCATCGCTTTGGTGTTGTCACGTGATGGACTGACTGCGGGGAGATTTCCCATGTTTCTGCAAATCGGACTGGTCAGTGTGAAGTTGCTCTCAATGATTTCAAAGCTCATGGCTCCCCTAGGGGAGTTTCAGTAATTCCCAGCTTTGATTGAAATGTCTGTGACTGAATGGCAATGTACATCCAGAATAGCGATAGCTAACATTACAGGATGCTTACTGTGCACTGCACTATTTGGACAACTTTACACAAAGCACCTCATCTAATCCTCACCGTGACCCTATTAGCTAAGTATTAATCTTATCCTTCTTTAACAGAGGAGCAACTGAGACACAGAGAGGCCAAGTAAGCCAAGTCACATTGCTAGAAAATAGTTCTGGGATCAAAACCCAGAGTCCAGATCCTATATTCAGCTGACAAAGAAGTTTGTCTACAGAGAAAAGATGGAGACTCAAGTTAGCTTTTGAAGTTTTCTTATTACATCTTCACAATCAGGTGTCAGTAGTTGACTCATACCAATTTATGCTCCCCAAGTATCAGGCATGCCCATTTTAAAATGAAAGTGCAAAGTTACAATTCAAATAAAATTACTTTGAAGATGTGGCATTAAATTGTCCTTGCTATTAGAATCCAAAAAATGCTCGCTCAGCCTGCAAGGTGATAAGTCAGAACATATTTCCATGAATGACTGGACCAATGTATATGTAATGTATCCAAGACAATTAATACCAGCATTTTAGGTCATATTAACCACTGAAAAATGAGCAGCTGTGAGTTCAATCTCTCTGTTCATCCCTCCGGCTTCTGTAATAGTTCTCCCCCTTATACTGGCTTTTAAGCGGAACTGTCTGTTAATGTATTTCCTCCAGGTCTGACTATTAATCTAGAAACATGCATTTAAGAGTTTGATTGGGACCCGAAGTTGAGTCTTGACTGCAAATGATATATGCAAATGCTAGGTTTTCATATCCTCTTCCAACATATTGATAAATCTCACTGACACCCATGGGAATTAAAACTGGTGCAAAGGGAAAAAGATACTCCAGCTTCTAAGTTGGATCTGTTTTTTGGTTTCTTCAAGGCTGCAAATAGAATCATTTTAATATCAGAAGTATGATGTGGTACTTCTCAAACTAGTCAAAACCAGTTTTAGAGCCACAGAACCAGGAGGTTACAGAAAGTCAGAGTGGAAGGAACTTCCAGTGGTTAGGTTTAACTCTCTCATGTTTCAAACAAAAAAACTAACCAGAGAAAGTATGTGTGATGATGACAAAAAACTAATTGTTTTTGGCAGTACTGGGGGGTTGAACTCAGGCCCTCGTGCTTACTAGGCAGGTGCTTTGCCTCTTGAACCACATCCCTAGCTCTTTTTGCTTTGGCTATTTTGGAGATAGCCAAAATATGCCCAGACTGGCTTAGACCATGATCCACCTATCTGTGCTTCTCTGAGTAGCTGGGATGACAGGCACACCCTATGGCGCCCAGCCATTGGTTGAAATGGAGTCTCAAACTTTTTGCAAAGGCTGGTCTCAAACTATGATACTCCAGATCTCAGCCTCCTAAGGAGCTAGAATGACAGGTTTGAGCCACCGTGTCTGGCTGAAAACAATCAATTTTTACTGATTTTCATGTTACAGACATTGTTGGAAATGTTTTTGCTTTATTAATTCATTTAATCCCCCTGGTCATGACCTCCATGTATGCAGCTTGAATGGTGTAGCTCAAAATTATGGAACACAGCAATCTCGACTAAAAAACTCATGAGAGGAAGAGACGTGCATTGGTTCTGCCTGTCCAGCAACTCCCTCAGTTTAATAAGACCAGCACACATTTCTCTTGAGAACTAGTATGTATTGGTTTTCTATTGCTGCTATAACAAATAACCACCAACTTAGTGACTTAAACCAAAACAGATTTATTCATTTACAGTTCTTTAGGTCTTAAATCCTAAAATGAGCCTCCAGGGTCCCCTGCCTTCTAGGGTTTAGGAAGGTTTCAGGTCCTTGCTTTTTCTAGCTCCTAAAGGTCACCTGCATTCCTTGATTCCTTCATGGAGGAGGTCCCCTCCTCCATCTTCAAAACCAACAGCATAGCACTTTCTAATCTGTTTACCTCTGCCTTCATTGTCACATTACCATCCATGGCTGTGGTGTCCTTCCTATAGGCTCCTTAGGTCACATTGAACCCACCAGAACAATCCCTCCATCTCAAGATCCCAAAATGAATCATATCTGCAAAGTCCCTTTTACCCCAAAAGGCAGCATACTGTCTTTATAGGGACCAGGAATTCAGATTTGGACATCTTGGTAGGGTGGGCAGGGCTTAATCAGCCTTCCACCCACCCTGCCCCACTCTCCACTCATGTGGTCATGGACAGAGGGCACCCACTTGCTGATGCAGGACTGGCCAATCAACATTGTCTACACCTGAGCAAAGTGATTGTTCAGGAGTGGGCAGCTACATGATGGAGTTATTGGTGGGAATTTCTTTAAAGCTTTTCATTTTTTAAAGCAATGAAGAAGAGACACATTTTTGTGGGGTTGCTAATTAGGCAGTATATAATCCTAGCACCAAATGACCATTGAGGGACAGTTGCCTGACCACACAGAGGAGTTATGACTTCTCTTTCCAGTAGTCCAGTAGACTTGGTACCTTATATGTCTCTCCCATCAAAACAATTGAAATTCAGGGAAAACCGCTTTTTCCCCTGAAGAACTAATGGCCACAAAATTTTTCCTTCCACCACAAGAAAACTAGAAAACCTAACAAAATATGGAAACAACTGTATTCAGATATGGGGCCACCATTTAAGGTGAGTCCTTAAATTGCCCTTGTTTACTGCCCAGAGGACTTTCCTGGTCACAGAGCAGGAAGGGAACTCAAAACTCAGTGGTCCAGTAGAACTGAGGACACAGATCCAAGGTTAAATTTTCACAAAGTCAAACATAGCAAACCACTCTTCCTCACAGGTTCATCTCAACACTTACCAAACAACAATCTTCTTCTGCTGACCCCACTAAGACAAGAGTAGTTAAGCATTCATTTATTCAATAAATATTTATTATGTGATGAAACGTGAGTGTCTAGCTACATATTTTTAAAGAAAAATATGTAGTAGTCATCTTTTATAGATACAATTTATGTGCCCAGGCTGTATTCTAAGCCTGTACAAACATCACAGGGAACCCCAAAGAAATTAAACTCTTACAATGTTCTCTTCTCACATGAGCAGCCTTGGAAAACTGCCAATCTACATTTTTCTATAAATAATTATACCAAAAAAATGAGAGAGAGAGAGAGAAAGGTCTAAGTTCAGAGTGGACAGGGCACCGATCAATTCTAGGGCAAAGAAGTAGAGAAAAGGAAATTGCACAGAGTTCTAGAAATCTGCAGTGATGTCTACTTGAGTACTGAGCCCCAATTTGCACTTGTAAGGAGTGAAACTGCACAGAGGCAAGAAAGAGTCATCAGAAAGAACCAGGCTGAAAGACATGAGAGATGGGATCATTTGGGAAGAGGAAGGGGTCAGCAGGAGGGGGGAGAGGGCGGGTAGTGCGGGTGATATGATCAAAGCACATCATATACATGTATGAAGGAACCATAATGAAACCCATACAGAGAGAGAAGGCAGCAGGATGTGCAATTTCTGAAGTTCACATGGAGTTGGAAAGAGTTCACATTCCCACCGCCAGAGATCTTGAAAAGCATGGGGAATCGTGGAGAATTAGGCAGAGCTCTTAGAAAAGTCATGCCTCTGTAACAGGGGTACATTAACCACGGGATGAAGATTCCTCTGCCCTAAGAAAGCTCAAACAGAACGGCAAAATGATCCAACTGACTTGAAAATACTGAAACCCAGGCCAGAACAAAGCCCAATATTCTTTAAAGGAATGCAATTATTTCAAGCACTCAACAATGTAAAATTCTTATGAATTACTGGGCTTGCAATTAAGCAAGAAAATGCAATTTACAGCCAGAACAATCAGTCCATAGAAATAGACTCTGAAAAACAGTGATGAGTTAGCAGCAAGGCTGCAAAGGAAGCTGTTATGAACATTGCAAATCCATTCAAGGATCTAAAGGAAAACATAAACAAAGTTAAGAGAGCTAGAATATTCCGGAGACCCAGTGACATGCACCCACCTGCCCTGGGGTCCATCCTGTCTGCTGGCCCAGGGAAGCTACCGTGTCTATGGAGCTGAGGTCCAGCTGCTCCAGCTCAGTCTCATTCAGAGCCAGAGCGATGCGACCCAGGACACGATGTGGTGCTCTCTCCAACAGGGAGGCACATCCCAAACCTTCACGTGGGGGGAAAAACACACAGATCAGACTAAGCATTAGAAACAGCATTTGTGGTGTTCTAAGTGCTCGTGCCTCCACCATTCCTATGCTGACCCCTAATCTCCGCTGTGATGCTATCAGAAAATGGGGCCTTTTGGGGTGATGAGGTTCCACCCTCCCCAACAGGATTCATGCCACACTTAAAAGAGACCTGAGAGAGCTGTCTCACCCCTCCCACCAATAGCATCCTCTGTGAAAAACAAGCCCTTGCCAGATACTGGATCTGCCAGTGCCTTCACCTTGGACTTCCCAGCTCCCAGAACTATGAGAAATAAATTTCTGTTATTTTTAAGTTACCTGGTGTAAGGGATTTGTTTGTTTTTATTTGTTTGTTTTGGTGGTACTGGGGTTTGAAATGCTGGCTAGTCAGGAGCTCTACAACTTGAGCTACACCCCCATTCCTTTTTGCTCTGGTGATTTTGGACATAAGGTCTTACTTTTTTTGTCCAGACTGGTCCGGATTGTGCTCCTCCTATTTTAGGCTTCCTGTCACCACTGGGACAACAGGCACATGCCACCATGCCCAGTTGCTCCTTCCCCCGAATTGAGGTGGAGGTTTCACAAAATTTTTTGCCCTGGCTGGTCTGGAACCCTGATCCTTCTGATCTCAGCCTCCTGGGATGACAGCCATGTGCCACTGTGTCCAGCTAAACAGCAAACTACTTTCCTGTACTGGCCTCAAACTGTGATCCTCCCAATTTGCCTAATCAGCCTCCCAAGTAGCTAGGACTACAGGTGTAGTAACCAGTACCTGGCTATGTAAGGTATTTTCTTATGGTCTCCTGAACAAACTGAGACAGAATTTAAAACAGGTAAATAGGGTGAATCTCCTTAATATATAAATCTTTCTCATAAATCAGTAAGAAAAAGATGACTATGTTTGTTTCATTAAAAGATAGAAGACATGAACAGAGATTCACAAAAGAAATAAATCCAGGGAAACATTTAATCTCAGTTGTAAAGAAATGTACATTAAAAACAGCTAAAGAAGACCACGTTGGCTCATGATATTGACGAGGAGTGAAAACAATGATCACTTATGACACTGGACAGACACATGAGGTAAGAGATTCCTTAATTTGTTGTTGTTGAGAAGAAAATTGTACATGCCTTCAAGAGGGTAACACAGCTACATTTATCAAAGGCTTTTAAACAGTTATCATTTTTTACTCCGAAATTCCACCTGGGGAATTTAATCTAAGAAAATTATGAGATAAGTATGCCAAGACATATGTATAACAATGTACTTTGAAGGATTACAAAACTATAAACAATTTAAGTGTAACAATTAGCTAAATAAGGACCACCCATAAAATGAAACACAATGAGTCAGCTGTGTGAAATACTGGTATAGATTCATATTTCTGATATGGAAAAAAATAAGCACTCTAGATAGTTGGGTGTAGACAGCAAGTTACAGAGTGGCGAGTGTGACACCATCTTTGTGACTTGTTTGTGAATAGTCAGCTCTTCAAATCTGCAGAGTCGGCCAACTACAGATCAAAAATATTTGTACTAGCCTATGTAGACATTTTCTCTTATTAGTTTCTAAACAATACAGTACAACTATTTGCATAGAGTTTACACTGCATTTAGATATTATGAGTAATCTGGAGATGATTTAAAGTATGTAGAAGGGTGGGGGGTGAGTTGAGTGGTAGAGCACTTGCCTGGCAATCGAAAGGACCTGGGTTCGATCCCCAGTACCGTGCATGTATGGGCAGATGTCAGTACTGCACCATTTTACATAAGAGACTCAAGCACCCATGAGCTTTGGTGTCTGAGGTGGTCCTGGAACCAAGCCCCAGTGGGCACCAGGAATACCTATCTACATGAAATGCATGTATGGAAATCTATATTTCAAACACACACACAGGAAGGCTGGGATCTTCACGTGAGTACACCAAATAGCAACGTTTCTCCCTGGGTAAAAGATTAGGACTGCCTTCTTTTCTATTGTTTTCTGAGATTTCTGCAATACGCTTAGATTACTTGTACAAAGAACAGTTATAAATATGATTTTAAGCAATTTAATTCTTAACCCCATGAACACACTCAACTAACTAGATATTCTGTAAGTTCCCCACCAAGCCACTCAAAGGGAAAATTTCAAAGGTGGCAAAGGACTTCCAGTCCTCCTTTTACTCCTTTCTGCAGTTCTGCAGAAATGCCGTGGATGCTGAAAAAGCACACTTGGGCAATAGTTGGGTTCTCCAGCAAGCAGAAGTCCTGCAAGCCACTTCAGAGAGAAGGCGCCCAGACCTGACATATCGAGCATCCTCCAGATGCCAGAACACCCCTCATCTGTTCTCTGCCTCTTCCCTAAAAGGTAGAAACTAGATGTTTGCCCGATCCTCAGATGAGAGACTCACAACTGAGCTAAGGCAGGGAAACCTCCACAAGATGACATAGGGGCGAACTCCCCAAGGAAGGCTGTGCTCAGGAGCAGGGAATGATGCTATGTGTGTTCTGTCTGCCGTTTCTCCCTGAGACAGGGTCTACCTGGATGGCCTTCTCCTTCAGGGCCATCAGCTGAGGCTGGTTGAAACCCCGGACCTTGCCCAGTAGCTCCACGGTCCTGGTGAATGTGCCTTCTTCCATGCAGAGCAGGTCCTTGGGCGCCCAGCAGACATTGGCTTCTGCCAACTTGAAGATGTCATCAAAAGAGGGAGCCACGACTCCAAGGCAACCTGAGGAAGGAGAAGGGCAAAGAGGATATCAGGAAATGTTGGTCCGTTTCTTTTACTGAATATCTTGCTTCACTAGTGGAGAACCAGAGCTGGAAGCCAAGGGTTAGTTTGAACCCCACTTCTGCCAATTTAAAGTACCTGTTAATAAAATTATGGAAATGCCAGCATTTTGCACACTCCACATGAACAAAAACAGAGCTATCCGCCATTACTATGGGTCCACAAACCCCCTAAGAGCAGTAAGAGTGGTGAACAGTCCCAACTTCAGGTTCAAATGCAAAGCTATTTAACCCCTCTGCACTTCAGAGTCCTTGTGTATAAAATAAAAGTCACTTGGTGGATGGTTGCAATTATTATTAGATAGCAAGCACTTTGAACAGGGCCAGGCATACAGCGAGCACTTCATAAATGTTAGCCTTATTATTTAGGTTGACTGCCTGGCCCCTGCACATTCAAGTTTGCAACCCATCCTTAAGGGTTGCAGAATAATGAAGAAAGGATGCTCCTATCTGACTGACAGGATGCTCCATAAAAATCACAGTGGGGCTGAACTTCTCATCCCAGGAGAGGAGGAAATTGGGGCCATTGCATTTTCCTTAGTAACAGGAGAGAACTGTCCATTTTAGTCTTTAAATAAGATTAAGCCAGGTGTTGGTGGCTCAGCTACTTAAGAGGCTGAGATCTGGAGGATGGTGGCCAGAGGCCAGTCTGGGCAAATAATTCTCAAGACCCCACCTCAATCACTTTCTGGGTACAGTGGCACACACCTGTCATCCCAATTGGGATTGGGAGGATTGCAGTTCTGGGGCAGTCTAGGCAAAAAAAAAAAAACCTTTTGAGACCCCATCCCAGCTTGGACAGGAGATGTAAAATAGGAGAATCATGGTTCAGGCCAGCCTGGGCAAAAAACAAGACCCTATATCCAAAATAACCAGAGCAAAAAGAGCTGGAGGCATGGCTCAAGGGGTAGAGCACACATCTCAAAAGCATGAAGCCCTGAGTTTCAAACCCAGTACTGCCAAAAAAAAAAAAATTAATTAAGCTTTACCTGGGCAAACAAGTTACCTACAACATACAATTGAGACACTGTCTTTGCTGATGCAATATGCCTGGTCTAGGAAAATCAGAGGGACAGCAATGCTGGATTATTTTCTTTTTCTTAGCAGCAGGCCATGACTGAGGCTGACTGACTCACCAGCACTACCTGAGGCCAGGGCATTTCCCCAGCCCCATGGCCACTCCCTTCTCATTACATCATCAGTGGAAACTCACTGGGCTCCAATCAAGAGGCAAAACTGAGCCAGATCAAGGGTGCCGATTGTGGTCCTAACCACTTTATCACAACCCACCTGGAGAGGACTAAAGATCCCTCTTCCTGCCTGCCCATCAGTGGTAGCCCAGAATAGAGAGGAACCAAAAGGCTGAATATTACAGTAGTGACTCCGTACAGGTATGCAGCACACACTTGTAGAAGGAATGAGCACGCACACATGTGAGGTAACCAAAATAAAACCACGTAGAAATCCTAATTCATTAATCCCTAAAGGAACAGCACAGGAAATAAAACTTCAGCCAGCAGAGCTGAGTGAGGCAACTCATGCTTTCACAGTCTACACACTCACAGTAAGAATGCTGCACTGGTACCTGAATGGCTGGGCCTGGAAGGAAACAGCAGCCAGCTGTGACTACCACCAGCTCTGGGCACAAATCCAGGAGCTGCATTTGCTAACTGTGTGACTTTGGCCGAGACCCTTAATCTCTCTAATCCCCAGTTTTTCCCATCAAGAAACTGGGAGAATCACAGTTTCCATGATTCTGGCACCAGTTCCGTGAACTGGCAATGTGGATGAGGTGGTCATGAGATGGTGACCAAGACAGACGCAAGCCCATGGGGACCCTTCTTGGCTCCACGTCCATGATGCCTACCCAGAGTGAAAGCCAGAGTCCTCATCAGGACTGGCCTGCTCTGCCATTCCCCTCCAAGCCCCTGGCTTATCACCTGCTCACGCCAGCCCTTCACCTGGAAGAGTCTGGCTGCAAATGCCCACGGGCCAACTCCCACCAACCCTTGAGTCTTCACACAGATGTCGCCTTCCCAGTGAACTGTCCCTGATGGTTCTCCCACCCAACACCCCCAGCCCCCTTCCCCAGCTTCCTTTCCTTGTTGGCAGTTATCACCATACAACACACATGTATTTCACCTGTGAGTGGAGGGAGGTGTCTGGCTGTGCCGTTTGGAAAAAGTTCTGCAGGGCAGGTAGGGACTTTCTTTTTGTCACATAATTGATGCTCAGTAAATAGGTGTTAGATGAGTGAGAGCAGGCACAAAATGACTGTCAACTATATTATTATTATAATTATTATTGGGTGGGATTAAATTTGCATCCTCATGCCTGGCACAAGAGCCTGCACCCAGTAGGTACACAGGGAGGATAATAAAAACATCTGGCACGTTTTGAGTATTTCCTACAAGCAGGCACTCATGTGAACATTTGCAGGTTTACTCCCATTAATCCTCACAAGAACCCAGTGTAGAACAGGGCTTCTCAGAGGATGAAAACTGAGGCACAGAGAGGTCAAAGAGTTTACCCAAAGTCACACAGTCGGTAAGTGGCAGTCTGAGGATTTGAACCCACCCAGCCTGTGCCATCACTGCTGTATTCAGCTGCTATGCCATGTTGCTCCTTCAAGCCAATCTTATCACATATTCACCCATTAAATCTACTAACCTAGTCCATTGTTCCAAATCCCTCTCGACATCATTCTTGGCCCACAGATTTTCTGCCATTCAATTGTTCTGCAATTATTCCATCCAGTCTCCTGGGTGAGAAGGCCTTGTAACGTCAGGGAGTCATCCCCAAACACCACCTCTCAGCATGGGATTAGACACCCCAGAGACACTCACCAGGGGTGGGGGCGAAGCTGGGGCCCCCATCACTGCTATTCCGGACAGATTCAAAGACAGCCTGGAGGAGCTCTTTAGGAAGCAGCATCCCGGCCATGTCAGAAGCTGTCTGTTGAAGGACGTCAGGAAACTGTGTGGTTACCAGGAACAATTAACAAAAGCACATTAGACACTCTCATCAAAGTTGAAAATGTAACATATTCAGTGCTTCAGGGTGCTTTCTCTTCCTAACAACTGCTTGCACAAATTTAATCTCTAGCCCAACTAATGTGGTCTCTATAAAATGATACTCGACCTCCCCAATAATGCAACTTATGTTAAATAACACAGGTATGCGTCACTTTTCAACCATCAGATTGTCAAAATTAAATCAAGTGATCATGCTTAATGCCAGCCCAGCTATAAAAGATGTGCATGCTCTCTTTCCTGTGAGACTGTTAAATGCATCATTATCAGGGCAATCTGATAACATCTACATAAAACACGTAGGTGTGCTTTTTGGTTTAGTGCTGTTTTAATTTTTTTGGTAGTACTGACATTTGAACTCGGCACCTCATGCTTGTTAGGCAGGTGCCCTACCACCTGAGCAATGCTCACAAACCTTTTTGCTTTAGTTTATTTTTCAGATAGAGGCTTGTGCTTTTGCCCAGGTCAGCCTCAGACCATGATCCTCTTACCTCCCCCTCCCAAGTTGCTAGGATTACAGATTTGTACCACCAAGAACAGCTTGGTTTGTTGAGATGGGGTCTTACTAACTTTTTGGTCCAGAATCACCTCAAACCATTGACCCTGGGATATAGCTGAAATGACAGGCTTACACCACTTTGACAGGCCCTTAAATTTTTTGACTTTGACTTTTTATTTATCATAAAAAAGAGGCAGAGAAAGGTTGCCCCTGGATTCTGGGTGGGGACTGGCAACGAAGGGCATTGGTGGCCCTGGAGGAGGTGCCATTTCTCCTCTGGAACAAATGCACTTGGCTAAGACCTGGGATACTACTAGAAGCCCTGCCCATGGGGCCAGGAAATGCATCAAACTCACACCGTCATGTATTGCTGGGTCCCAGCTCACTCAAGGAGAGTTTACCAGCCTCCTTGTTTTAGTCTGATCTTCAAAATTAGAGGCTAGGCTACACCAGCACTTCTCAGCCCTCATGGACATAAGAATCACTTGGAAATTCTCAGGTATCCAGGCTCTACCTCCAGAGATTCTCACTCGGTTGGCCTAGGGTGGGGACCATGACTGTCCAATTTAGAGTCTCCCCAGGCAATTTTTTTTTCTAGACAGGCTTTTGCTATGTAGCCTGCACTGGGCCTTGAACTCACAATCCTCCTGCCTCTGGTTCTGGAGTGCTGGGATGACAGGTATACATGCATGACCATCCACAGATGATTCTAATGCACAGTTAAAGCTGAGCCACGATGCTAACATACAGTCATTAGTGACTGACAGTCAGTGATGGGTGCATCTGCAATGGTGGCCCATAGGTTATAAAGGATCTAAAAACTGCCTAGTGATGTCAAGGCCACCCTAATGAAATGCACTACCCATGTATTGGTGGCAGTGCCCAGTAAAAACCCTATTGTGATGCCAGCCAAATGAAATGACAGCCAAGTGTCACTTGATGACATTTTTGGTGGACACAAGCCACATATACAACTGGGCAGCCAAAAGATGACATCACCTGGTGACATTAGTTTGTGTAAGTACATTCTACATATTGCACAATGACCACTTCACCTGATGACACATTCTCAGAACTTTCCCCATCACGAAGCCACACACAACCACAGCTAACTTTTAAAAATACAAGGTGCATAGCAGGAACATTGGGTATTTTTTCTCATTTTTTAGTTTTAGAAAAGAAAGTGTGTGCAAGTGTGGGTAGGGTTTTCCTGAAAGGCCATGTAAGAAGCTGGGAACAGTGATCACCTCCAAGGAGGGAGGCTGTGGAGCTGGAAGTGTGGGGTAAAGAGAGAGACCTGCTTTTCTTGCTAGAGCCTTTGGAATAGTTGGGATTTTTTAATCAGGAGCAGTTATCCTTTTTTATTAAACATATGCAACAAAATACCCATGTGTCTACAATCGAGCTTCAGGAATAAAATATCAGAGCCAGATGCCAGAGGCTCACACCTGTAATCCTAGCTACTTGGAAGAAAGAGATTATGGCTCAAGGTCAGCCTAGGGCCCAAAGTCCATGAGACCCCATCTCAACTAATAGCTGGGCTTGGTGGCATGCACCTGACATCCCAGCTATGGAGGGAAGTATAAAATAGGAGACTCAAGGTTCACGTCAGCCTGGCAAAAGTGAGAACCTAAGCAAAAGGGGCTGGAGGAGTGGCTCAAGTGGTAAAGCGCCTGCCTAGCAAACATGAGGCCCTGAGTTCAAACCCCAGTACCATCAACAAATAAATAAATAAGAGCCCTGAAGTGCCCCAGCGTCAGACTTGTGGAGTAGGGCTGCTCCAGCAACCCACAGACCAGGCAGCAAGAGCCTCCCATTCCTGGTTACATTGCAGTCAGGCTGTGGCTTTGCCACTTAGCAAAAGGTAACACACTGTGCCTGCCTTGGGTGCCTGAACTTGTGTGAAGTCACCCCAAGTCATTTGCCATGCCTGCAGTCAGTGCTCAATGGAGATGCACTTGGGTTAACTGTCTTTGCACACATGATTGCACACCCTGGATGGACATGTGCTCATGCACATGGCACAGGGGGCATAGGACCTCAAATGGGCATGTGTGTGAGGTGCACACAGGTACACATGCATCCATGTGGTGCTCGCCAAATGATGGCCCCAGCCTGCACACACCTGTGTGGAGGGCATGGGAAAGGCTCCAAGCTCCTCTGGCTCCCTCCTCCTTCACTTTTCCAGAACCTTCAGCCACCTGAGACTTAGTCAGAAATATCTGAGGCCAAGATGAAGCTTCTAGAACCACAGACTGGCTGCAAACCCAATGGGGTGAAAGTGACCACACTGTCTCTCCCCAACTGGAGCACACAGATACCTTTGTGGCAATTGAGTGTAATTCATCTCCTGAGAAAATCACAAGGAAAGGTCCCAAGTCCTTCGTTGTCTCAGCAGTCCAGTCCTGAGGGGGTCTAAGAAAAGATAATAAATGGAAATAAAAGTCACACGGTGGTGGACATCCATTGCCCTTGAACCCTAACCTTTATTTTCAAGAACTGCATGTGATACAAACTGACCAATCAGAATCATCCCTGGGAATTTTAGTGGAACTATCAAGACTCTCTCTTTTTGTCTGGTAACTCTCCCAGTAAAAGCCAATCCTATTGTCACATGGAGCTAGGGCCATACCAAGGAATGCAGAGCTGAAGGAGGAGAGGATCACTTCATTTGAGACCCTAGATCCAGCCATTCTTGAGGTCCACCCCTGGAGTTTTCCATTCCGTTCCTGACTCTTTATAATCAAATTATCCAGTTTCAGCTACTTACATCACAGTGTTTCCTTCCTCCCCTTCCATAATAAAAGAGTAGTGATACAGTTGATCCTTTTAAATTACCATTGATCTTCTCTTAAGAAAAGAGAAAACCTCTCCCTTGAATTTGACAAAATAACAGCATTGACCCAGAATGCATGTTGTTCTTAGACCACAGATGTCTACACTGAGGTGTATCACCCTATCTTTGGTGACATCACTGAGGGAGGTCTGCCCAATTAGCACTGATAGCACCCTCTATCACACCCTATCTCTGTAATAAAAACATCATCCCACTAGACCATATATCCCCAAGGGCAGGAACCATGCCTGTCTTTGTGACCACTGTATCTTCAGTCCTGGCAAGACAGTCATCACATACCAGCACTTAGGTGCCAGGCACTGTGTAAGTTTGTGACCTGTATTAACTCATTTAATCATCACAGTCACCGTATGGGCACTTCTCCTGCCTTCATTCTACAAATGTGGAAATGAAACTCAAAAAGATTCAGCAAATTTTGCGCCAGCACAGTGGCTTGTGCCTGTTATCCTAGCTACTCAAGAGGTGGAGATGGGGAAGATTGTTGTTTGAGAATAGCCCAGGCAAACAGTTAGTGAGACTCCACCTCAACCAACAAGGCAAAAATACGAGACCTAATCCAAAAAATAACTGGAAGCATAAAGAGCTGTGGGCATTGCTGAAGTGGTACAGTGCCTGCCTAGCAATGCAAGACCCTCAGTTCAAACCCAGTACCAACAACAGCAAAAATCAGCAACTTTTCCCAAGTCACATAAGCAGCAAGTGATGAAAACAAAATTTTAACACAAAAGAGTGGCTCCGAAGGGCTGGGAGTGTAGCTCAGTACTGACCTAGCATCCGATTAGAGGCCCTGAGTTCCATCCGCAGCTCAGAAAAAAACCTCTAAAATTATAATACTACTAACGCCTTGCATTCTAAACTGCCACCTTAGGCCAGGCATGGTGTCTCACCCCTGTGATCCCAGCTACTCAGGAGGCCGAGGTAGGAGGAGCACAGTTCAGGCCAGCCCTGGGCGAAAAACGCAAGACCCTATCTAAAAAATAATCTGAAAGCAAAAAGGGCTGGGGGTGTAGCTCAAGTGGTAAAGTACCTGCTTAGCAAACATAAGGCCCTGAGTTCAAACCCCAGTACCAAAAAAAAAAATGCCATTTTTCAAAATTCTTTCTCCCTTCCTCCCATATGCCCAAGGTGTGTTGGTAACAACCACGTGAGACCTGTGGCAGCTATAATTGTTCCCAAAAGAAGAAAGGTCACATTTCCAGAACAAGTATCTAACCTTGCCTGGGGCTCTCTGCTGAATGGATAGAAGGGGAGTTCAGCTGCCCCTCCCCCAGTATCCCAACTCCTCACCCCACCCCAACCCACCCCACCCCCTGCCCAGAGCCCAGCCCGGGACCCTCACCCGTACTGCTCCAGGATTCTGTGCCTTATAGCCGCCTTCTGCTCAGGGCTGAGGTTCACACAGCCTCTGAGGCCATGGAGAGCGGTGGCCCAGGCCCGGGGGAGATCCCCCTTTCAATGATGGTTACTGGCAAGTGACACAGCAGGTTCCCCAGGATGTCCACAGTGTACTCATCAACCACAGCATCACCCTGAAACCAAGGAGTGGGGCTGCTGGGAGATGGGAGTGCATGACGTCATGGTCCCTTAACAACTCTTCCAGATCCAGGGTCTGAATGGCCTCCCCTGCCAGGGGCCACCAGCATGGGACTGTCGGATTTCCCCCAGAAAGACAGGTTGTGAGGTCTGGAAGCCCCAGTCTGGGGATCACGAGCACTCAGTACTGGGAACTGCAGTCACAGAGTTCCACAGCCACGAGGACAGGGACACAGCAATATAAAAAGTCACCCAGCGAAGTTTGCATGGTACTTGACAGCGTTAAAGCCCTTTGTCCTTGGGACAGAAAGGTGACAGAAAGAGCTACTGTTTAGTGTGCGCCCGCCATGTGCTAGGGCTAAGTGTCTGCAGGTCCCCAAGAGGCATGTGCTAATGATCCCACCTCGTGAAGGCAATGACCCTGCCAGCCAAGGCAGTCTGGCCTTGGGGTCTAGGCACAAGCAAGCACCAGGAGGGAAGTGGCAACTGTGTCCATCTTACACATGAGAACTTTAGGGCTCAGGGAGGGGAGAGACTTGGCCAAACCCACGTAACCAATTGCTGTTCTGGGCACTCTTTCCCATCCTTCAGCGGGCCCTTCCCACATTTGGGCCCTGTGACAGAAGCCTCTAGAACCAATGGTTCCAACCAGTGGCTCCAACACCAGCTTTAAAACCCCTGAGTTGAACTTCCAGCTGTCACAGCTGGCTCAAGATGCTATCCAGATCCCTCACGGGCTCCCCAGGATGGCCACACACACCCAAAGGGGAGGGACACCTGGGGAAGTCACGCTGAAGGTTCCCTTACCAGGCACTGTTGCACTTTCCTAAGGACCAAGCTCCTTTTGTGCGAATCTAAAACCAAGGCGTCCAGGTGGCTCTTCCCCAGGCTGACCAGAAAGGGCACACAGCGGGAGGAGGGGACAGAAGCCAGGAAGCGGGCCCTGGACAGAGACAGGACAAGGAGACGGGAAACGGTACCTGTTCCACACTGGCCCCAAGACTGGATACACATCTGTCCAGGGATGTGCTCTAAGGGTGACAAACAAACTTCCCATCATGCTCTTCTTCTAGGGGCAGGAAGCAAACTTCCCATATTGTTTTTCTTATGAAGATGAGAAATAAACTTCTCATAGTTCTCTTCGAGAGGAGAGAAATAACTTTCCCATCATGCTCCTCTTCTAGGGGAGGGAGATAAACCTCCCATGCTCTTCTTCTAGGGAAGGAAAAAACTTCCCATCATGCCCCAGCAACACTGACCAGAGAATGAATTCTCCAAAAACACTTACTGGTGATGGACTGATTGAGGGGGAGTGAAGAGAAAGGAAAAGAAAAAAAGAGAGTGACAGAGAGGACATAGAATAAAATAGAAAGGATAAAGACAAGAGTGGAAAAAATAAATGATTCCCAATTCTGACATCATCAACCCAGAGCTCTCCCCTCAGCTCCTGATCATGGTTGGGGGAGATGAAAGTCTAAGTTAGTTCAATGACCTCTGAGTCACCAAAGTCAACCCTGCTCACTAGCACATGCTTAGTACACAATTTTCTTCATGAGGGAGAAATTAACAATGAACAAGGAAGGAGAGATTGAGAAAGGCTGCTCCAAGACCATGTGGCCAACTCATCTCCACCTCTTGATGGTTCCAAAACCAGAATCAGTGTCTTCCCCCAAATGTGCTCTTCCTTTTCTTCATGTCACAGGCTCCGTGTTTCCTTTACCCCAGATCTGCCATGGCTCTGTCCTTCAGCTCTGCTCACTAGTTCATCTATCTGGCAAATATCTACAGAGCACACCGCATGCCAGGCACTGTTCTAGGCTCCGGGTAAGACACACAGTCCCTGCTGTCATGGGGCATAATTGTAAGAAGGAGGAAACACAGAGACCACATGGATTTAACAGACACAACACAGGCCATCTCCTTCACAACAGACCTGAGAAAGAATATAGATGGCTGTGTGACATGGAGAACAGTGCAGAGGTAGAGAGCAACCCCTTCCAAGCAGGGAATGGCAAGGGGGGAGCATGACCTGGGCTACACAGCTTCCCTATTTTCCTAATTCCACCCAGGCCCCTGTAGTCCCTGCACCCACGGCGAGGATCTTTCTGAAACTTAACTCTGCAGGCTGCACCCAGAACAGGAGAGAAATGCTGAAACACATAGAGGGTCACATGAAGACCTGAATAATCTGATGTCCCCCACTTCTCCGGCCTCTCTCTCCACCTGCTCTGCAGGTAGGTGCCATGCCTTCCCCAGAAGGCTTAGCTGGCCTCACCTGCTACTGGAGCAGGTACCCCTGCACTCCTGCCTGGTGTGTCCACCTTAAACCCTATTCCAGATTCATCCTCTAAGCTTTAGCTCAGTCTCCCCTGAGGCTCCACTCTGAAAGTGCTTAGTCCCTCCCATGCTCACGCCCATCACCCCTTCCTGTGCTAAAAGCACCTGGCTTTCTTGGAATACTGTCTCCTTCACTCTAAGTCCTTGTGAGATGGGATGCAGTCAGTTTCACTTCCAGCTCAAGGGGTACAACACAGATCTAAGCCAGCCAAAGTTCCCATCCCCCAACCCCACTGACTGGCTCAAGGAAAGTAAATCGGTCCAATGAAGCCCAGTGAAAATTAAGCCCAAGACTTTTATTGAAATGATGGAAAGACAAAGTCTTTCTCTTTCCCTGAATTATGACACAGGGAAAATGTAACTTTGGACCTTCCAGGGGCCACAGGAGAGAAAGAACTTGCCTCCCAGTGAAGCCAATGGAAGAAAGTTGGGTCAAGAGATGGATGACATTATTTGAATTCCTAGATCCAGCTGTGCCTGAAATCCATCTCTAAACTTTGCAGTTACCTGAGCCAAGAATTTCCTTTTATTGCCTGAGCCAACTTGAGTTAGGTTCTGTCATTTTCAACCAAACATCAACCTGATACTATAATTGGTTTCACGTTGACCTACCTCCACCAGAAGACTGTAAACTCTTACAAGGGGAAATTTTAGTTATCTTTGAGAACTAACATATAGAAAGTACCCAATAAATATTTTCTAAGTAAATGCAGCCAATAACAGCATAATGGAGGAGAAAAGGAGAGAAACTTCCCAGACTGTGTCTGGAAATCAGGAAGTCCCTCTGCTCACATTAGCCCTGAGGCCCCTGGAGTCTGGGCACAGCCATGAGACCAGCTATGAGATCAGGGTAGAAGCAACCTTCTTTGCTGGCAGTCTCTCAAGCCTGGGTCAATTCGACTTCAGTTTTTAAAATAAAGAAAAGCAAGACAGTCCAGCTGGAATATCTATGTGGGGCTCAGAACTGAAATTCAGGTTCTCAAGGACTTAGCTGGCTAAGGTCCTCACCACACCACTCTGTCGCCCGCTGAAACCCAGGGAGGGAAAATCACCTTGGCCCTGTGATCCCCACCCCCTCAGTGTTGGGCCAGGAAGGGGCGACGTTCACTTACGGGAGTGCAGCCAAGAGAAAAGGCGGCATAGAAGACCTGGAAAACTCCCAGTATTTCCACGCCAAACAATTAACCTGCAAGATTAACAGCTAGGAAGCAAGTCCAATAATAAGAGCAAAGTTGATGCTTTCTGTGCACAGGGGCCTTTCTAAGGACTACAGAAACACCCATGGTTCATGTCCTACTGCTGTGCCCAGTTTATGGAGAGGGAAACTGAGGCAATAAGAAGGGGGCGCAAACACTGAAGTATGAGAGTGCTCATCCACTTTGTTTGTAACTGTCACGTCCCTCAACAGGGAGCTGGTTAAATAAATTATGGCATATTTATACAATAGATCACTGTGCAACTATTCTGTTACAATAAAATAGATTTACACATAAACATGACATGACATCTATGAATGCATACATATAATATACAGATATACACTGTACACCCTTGATATCTGCGGCTATCTGGTTCCAAGGACACCACCACTGAGGAAAAACCAAGAATGTTCAGGACACATAGAGCTGAGTAGTTTAAAATTAGATCACACAAAGATTTAAACACAACTGATGACAGCACAGGCTGAGAGCTTCTCCTCACCCACTGAGTTGCAGAATGTACCCATGCAAATCAAAAATTTTTGCACTTGAAATTTTGATTTATTTGTTTTCCTTTTGATCACATTTGGTCAAAACCACGTGTAACAAATCTGAAATAAAGCAGGCTTCCTGTGTGCACCTACTCACACAGATTAGTGTGGCTCATTCAAGTTCAGTTGTGTTTTTTAAAATACGTGTAAATATGATTTATATACTTAAAAAAAAAACTCAAAGTCAACAGCAAACTTTTATCTGAGGAAGAAGGATGTTCAACCACCAGGACAGATAACTGTCGTGGGGACCTCCCTGTGCAGCACAGGAGTTTGAGCAGCAGCTCTGGCCTCCAACCACTAGGTGGCAGTAGTAACCCCCACTCCAGTTGTGACAACCAAGCTCTCTAGACTTGGCCAAAAGGCCAAAAGGGGGCAAAACAGTATCTTGTTGAGAGCTTCTGCTCCAGGGAAAATTTGGGGGAATTTTACCTTCTCCATATGATTTTATTTTATATGACAATTATGTCTTCGGTAAAATGTAAACAGTACAGCAAATTTCTAATTCTGTGTCTTTGAAGGTTCTGAGAACTGGGAGCCTAAGAAGCGTTTTATTGGGGCAGCTCTTCCTGTTCCAACCTGCAGGTCTTCCTCAAAACCCTCCTGACACCATCCATTCGCTCAGCTGCTGGCTTCCCTGCCTAGGCTGGACATAATACACTTCACGGTTCTCACCAGGGAACTAATTAGAAATGCGAATTTTGTGGGCAGAGGATGGAGCTCAGAGGTAGAGCACTAGCCTAATGTGCACAAGGCCCTGGGTTCCATCTTAGCACTGGAAACGGAGGGAAGGAAAGAAGAGAGGGAGGGAGGGAGGCAGGGAGGGAGATAACACAAACCCTCAGACCTTAACCCAGAGAATCACTGATAGAATAAATAATCAGGGGAAGAATGTGCTTTCATTAACACTTAGCAGATACCTCTAGTGACCTCAAAAGATTATACACCAAGATTTATGCTTCCGGGTTATAGGGTTGAGAATTGGCTGTTGGGAAATATTCAGTTGGGATCTGAAACCCAAGGCCAGAGTGAGGAAGGCACCTCTTGTATCCACTTGCTCATCCTCTCAGGACTCCATCAGTCAACAGTTTACACTGAAAGCCTTCACACCATCCTCAAGGCTCATCTTTACCCACCTAGCTACTGTGAAAGCCAGTTCCTGCCTCTAGCCTCCTCAAAGGGCTGAAGCATCTCCATAACCATTTGGAAAGTGAAAAAGAAAATACTCTTATGCACCATTCCCACTCATGGCTGCCCCGGAAGGGAGAGGAATGTTATAAAAGGAGTCACTGTCCATCCCAGGATGACATAATTACAAACACGCAAAGAGTGGACCTTGAAATACATTTTAAGGTCCACACAGTGACACAGGCCCAGTGACTAGGGTAAGGAGAGAGAGTGTGAAGCAGGAAATGCTTCAGGTACCTGATCCAGTGAAAGCAGAGAGAGGTTGTTCTCCAAATACTGGAAAAGGGCCAGGGAGGAGTTGGTGCCCATGGTATCAATGTGCGTGCATGTCACACCTTTCACCAGCTGCCCAGCACTAGAAACAAAAGAGGGACCCCAAAGACAGGGCAGGGAAAAAAGCAGAAAGAAAGAGCAAAAGATGGCAGGTGCAACTGATGCCGCCACAGGCGGTCCGTCCACCTCTCCCTCCTGTGCAAAAGTGTCCTCTGACAGAGGGTCCACCAGGTTCTTCAACCCCCAGGCTGGGTCACCCTCTCGTACCTCAGTAGCTGCTCAGGCCTTCCTGTGGTCTCTGACAGAAACTCATACAGGAACAAGGCCTGAGAAAAGAAAAACATGACAGTTTTCAAGCCAGGCTCAGTGGCTCACACCTGTAATACTAGGCAGAGATCAGGAAGCAGAGATCAGGAGGATCATGGTTCAAGGCCAGCCTGGGAAAAAAATTCATGAGACTCCCATCTCAATCAATGGCTGGATACAGTGGCACATGCCTGTCATCCCATCCATGATGGGAAGCATAAATAGGAAGACGATGGTCCAGGCCAGACCAGGCAAAAGGCAGCAAGACTCAATATCAAAAAATAGCCAATGCTTACATAAGCAGCACGTCTCCTAAACCTGGAACAAAACAGAGAGTAGCACGGCCCCTGCACAAGGATGACGTGCAAATTCGTGAAGTGTTCCATATTTTTTAATAACTTGGAAATAAAGTTTTAGAGAAATAAAAAAAAAATCAATGCAAAAAGGGGCAAGGTGTAGCTGAAGTGGTAGAATGCCTGTCTAGTAAGTGCTAGGCCCTGGGTTCAACCCCCAGTACCACAAATAAAGAAAGAATTACAGCTTTCATGACACCCTATAGGGAAGGCACAGAACACTATGACCTGATTTTACCAACGGGAAACAGAATCTGGCCAGGACTGACCACTGTTAAGTGGCCGAGGGGGCTGGACAGGGGTCAGGATAATTAAGCTGTCCAATTCCAGAGACTCTTTGTGGGCAGTAGGGCTGTGGTTTTACTTCTGGGCTTTCTGAAACTGTTGGCCAGGGGAGGACTCTACCACTTGTTGGCAAGGCCACCTGCTAGTCCTAAACCCAAGGTGACCCAAAGCAAAAGCAAGGAACAGACCAGCAGAAGCCAGAAGGCACTGTCTACAGGAGATCCTGCAGACCCGAGTCCCTCAAGGCCTCCCCAAAGAGCGTCCTAGAACAATGCATGGTAGCCAAGGGAGTCGTTTGTTTTAAGGAACAGAGTTTTATAGAACGCCTAACTTGCAGACGCCACCAAGTACAACATTCATCTATTTTATAGACTATGAGACTTCAAATGTAATTCCCCAAACAGATTAAATTGTGAGCTAGAGTCAGATGGTGGCTTCTGTGACATGGCAGCTGAGGCCCTTGCAGAATCATGGAGGCCTAGGCAAAAGGAACTGGGTAGAGGAAAGGTTCGGGGTGCTCCACATGCAGCCGCATAGAATTCTGAGGCCACAAGATCAGGTTCGGGGACCTTCCAAAAGTGACAACTCCATTAACTCACTTGCGGGGACAAAGCAATCTTGCAGAATGTGTTTTCCAGAAGAAAATGATTGTTGGCAGAGCGGCTCAAGGTAGCGCACCTGCCTAGCAAGCATGAGGCCCTGAGTCAAACCCCAGTGGCATAAATAAATAAATAAAATGGTTGTTCCAGCCACTGGATTGAGCAGTGGTTTGTTCCATAGCAATAGACCAGTGTGACACCAGCCACGTAAGGACCCCAAGCAACCCTGTTATGCGCAGGGGTTGGTCTTCTGGTTCACTCTGTGCTCCTCGGCCATGAGCAGGGCATGTGGTTGGTAAGTGCTCAGTGCCCATTTGTGGGGTGAATGACCTGGAGGTGACTGACTGAACAAGAAGGCTGGAAAGTTCTATGGCTAGCATCAGCCTTAACAGCACCATCTCCCCAGGCAGCCTGGGGCGGGCACATGATGACCACTGGCATTTACAGTGGACTGCTCCTGGGCCAGGTGGCATGCTCCACTGAGCCTCATGAGCAGTTACCCCATTTTGCACATGAGAACATTGAGGCCCTGCAAAGAAAAGTAGTTTCCCCCATGCTAATAAATAAATGAGAGCCAGAATTCACACTCAGGTCTTGACCAACTTCTTAACACCTGGCTATTCTGCCTCCTGGTTTAATCACACAGAAATAAATTTTGACCAAATTGACCCTAAAACAGATGGCTCCCACTAGACAGATAGTCAGAAATACAGAATCAGGGCTGGGGTGAAGCTCAGTGGTACAGCACTTGCCTAGTATGTGTGAAATATTGGCTTCAATTGCTAGCACCAAAAAACAAAGGGAAGGAAGGGAAGAAGAGAGGGAGAGAGGGAAAGAGGGAGGAAGGGAGAGAGGGAGGGAGGGAGGGAGGGAGGGAGAAAGGAAGGAAGGAAAGGAAAGAAGGGAGAGAGGGAGGGAGGGAGGGAAGAAGGAGGCAAGGAAACATGGGAGCATCGTGGTCATACCTGGCTCCTCCGAAGGTCCTTCCCCTTCAGGACTGTGGCATTGAAATGAGGTTCCCGCCGTAGCTCAAAGAGAGACACTTCCTTAAAGAAAGGCCCTGGTATCTCCAGAATGCCTGAGGGAGGGTCTCCTGCCTCCATCAGCTGCCCAAAGTGAGAGGAAAGACAGTAACAGCCTTATACAGAGTGCAGAGAGATTTGGGTAAGAGCTGGACACTGCTCTTACACTCCACCAGATCCACTTGGCAGCCCTATGAACCAGGGCTTCATTTCCCCATGTTACAGGTGGAGAAACTGAGGCCTAGAAGTGCGGAGCTGAGAGCTGGTGTGTGATTCACGTCTGTTATTCCAAACCCCACGGTCTGTTGTAGACATGTGTTCTACTGCTATCGGCACCAGGGCAGGGTTTGAGGCCAAATCCCTTCTGTTTGGTTTCTTTAGCAGATTTTGCAATTGGATACAGCAAACCTCAACCTAATAAAGCAAGATGTCCTGATGACCCCCTGCAAGGGAGAGGGGCAGAGAGTGACTCTGGACCACAGGATTCACTGTTAGGTTGAAAAAAAAACCCAACTTTTAAAATGCTATTAGAAGCCAGGCCAGTGGCTCACACCTGTAATCCTAGCTACTCGAGGCAGAGGATCACAGTTCAAAGCCAGCCCAGGTGAACAGTTTGCAAGACCCTATCACAAAAAAGAAAAAAAAAATCACAAAAGGGGGCTGGTAGAGTAGCTCAAGGTGAAGGCCCTGAATGCAAACCCCAGTACTGCAAAAAAAATAAAAATAAAAATAAATTAAATTAAATGTTATTAGATCCAGAAACCAGGTTTGAGAAGAGCCTTCCAGTCTAGAGTGGTTAGGGAGAGCCTTGGAGTCATAGCATGGCCAAAGGGACGGAGGGGAGGAAGGAGAGGAAGCCATCAGGAGAAGACATTTTCTGGGTTCAGAACACCCCATCCACCAACAGCTGAGAAAACCCCAGCCCACTCAGAACTCCCAGACCACGTCCTCTGTGAGCCACAATGGCTAAGAACCAGACATGTACCTCTCACCTTGCTGAGGACAGCTTGCTGCTGCACAGGTGACAAACGGGACATGTGCTGGGACACAGACCTTTTCAGGACCTGCGAGAGGTCTTTGCGGTCCATGCTGTAGAAGGCCTGGGCACTGACCCCCGCCAGCAGTGCCCCCATCTGGCCAACGCTGGAGAAGGACAGCACCTGGCAGAGGACCAGAGGAGAGCATGAGGCTCTGCCCTGGCCGCCATCCTCAGCACCGTCTTCTTGCTGGTTGGCTGCTCCTGCTAGGTGTGCAGGTAGCTTGCAGTTATGAACAAATGTCTATGTCCCCCCAAAATCCCTATGCTTAAGCCATAACCCCCAATGTGATGATATCAGGTGGTGGAGGGTCTTGGAGAGTAACCAGGGTTAGATGAGGTCCTGAGATAATCACAGATGGGCAGGGCCCTGAACCAAATCGGATCAATACCCATACAAGAGACACCAGAGAGCCTGTGCTTACAGAGGTCACGTGAACACAAAGCAAGATGGCAGCTGCCCACAAGCCAAGAAAAGAGGCCTCAGGATAGAAACTACCTGGTCAGCACCTTCATCTTGGACTTTCCAGCACCAAGAACCATAAGAACTAAATTTCTGTTGTTTAAGTCACCCAGTCTATAGTATTTTGTTATAGCAGCCTAAGCTAACAAATACCCTCGAGTCTTCAGGCACTGAAGACAAGTGAAAAGTCCCAACTGACCTTTTCATGAGCCAAGTATTTTGCAGACAAGATGATGACTTGGCTCTTGGCCCAGCCTGAGACCTGGTTGAGGGTGGAGATGGCGCTGTGCACAGCCTCGGGGGAGAGGGATTCCAGCTGACTGTAGGTCAGACCCACAACAGCATCCGACAAAGAACCCAGGGTCTTGTTGAGGGTCTCGTTCTCTGTGGCAATGTCAAGGAGCTCAGCTTTGAGCTAGAAGGACAGCAGATGCAATGAGTCCTGGCAGAAGGCAGGCACACCTCCACCAGTCTCCCCAGTGCCCTCCCCAAGTTGCCCATCCCACCTCTGTCCCACGGACTGTGGGGAAAGTGGCCCCTGCCTTGCCCAGTGACTCACCCCTCTGACATCCTCCTCTGGGCTTGGCTTTAGTGTGTTGAAATTTCACTTTGGGCTTAAGTGTTCACGTGCTACAGCTTTTCTCCATGGGCCTAGTACAATCTTGGGAACGGAATTTACTCAGCTGAAGGTCTGAGCAGCTCTTAGCCTTGCCTATCTTAGGTAGTTAAACGCTGGCATTTTTTATTGGAATAACATGTTTGATTTGTCCCTGATACCTTAAATTTGGAGCTTTTCTGAGAAATGGAGCAGTAATACAGCATCAACCTATTAAAATACATTTGAAGCCTTCAAAAAAAACGTATTAATATGCAAGTAAGTCAACAGTAATGCACAGCAGGGGAGAATTTTGCTCATTACAACTCCAGCACATTCTCATAGCATCTTTCTTTTTGTGACCTTGAACTCCATAACCATAAAATGGCAGTTTCTCTTTTGTGTTTTCCTTTCATGATAATATATAATCTGTGTAAAAAAAAGTCCTCATTAATACAAGAAAGTTAAAATGAGGCAAGCATGATGGTTCATGCCTGCAATCCCAGATACTTGGGAGGCAGAGGCAGGAGGATCACGAGTTCCAGGTCAGCCTGAACAAAGTTAGTGAGACCTGTCTGAATAAACAGAATATAAGCAAAAGGCCTGGGGTGTGGCTCAAGTGGTAGAGCACTTACCCAGCATGCTCTGGGCCCAGTACTGCAAAAACGTTAAAAGTGTTCTGAAAATCCTATCTCCTAAACATAGCTGTGGAACTAGAGACGTGTCTCAGATGTAGAGTAGTTGTCTAAAATGAGCAAGGCCCTGGGTTGGCTCCCTGGGGAGCGGGGAGGATTCGCAGCAGGATTGCATGCTTCCGCGTCTTCCTGTGCCTTTATAAACATAGGCAGTATGTGGTTTTTAACAGAGTTATAATATGAACAGCAGCTTAATTTTATGTTCTATATTTTCACTTAAAATTGTATAGTGTACATATTTGCACACTTCAATGGTCATTTTAATAATACGTTATCACAATATACCTGCCTAATGATGGCCAACTGCTTCTGGAAAGGAAGGTGATAACCTCGCTGACTGCAGCAAAACCTCTGGACAAAATAAAGCGGATGGAGTGTGTTTTAACACCTGAGTCGGGGTGAACAACGTTTTCATTTCAGACAGGAGCACACGACCACTCCGTGCAATCTTGAAGCAGCCACTGGGGGGCAGCAGAGCGAAGTAGAAGAAAGCCGCGCAGCGCCTGGCTGGCTTCTCTAAATTTAGCAGGTCGAGTTCTCTAGAGGGTCCGCCTCTCTAAAAGCACGGGTGGGCTGCAGTAGTGGCTCTCAAAGGGGGTCATCGACCACCAGCAGCACCTGGCAATTTCTTAGAAATGCTCAGCCTCGGGCCCTCCCCAGACCTGCCGAGAGCCTGGGGGGGGGGAGGAGCCCGCCCCGCCCACCCACAAGGCTGAGAACCATGAGCGAGATGATCCCCAAGGCTTCCTGGATCTAACTGTATTTCACTTTCTTCCTGGTCAGGGCTACCACGTTCCCCTGCGGCCATAAAATACATTTCTTATCTTTGCTTCAGCTTGCTTGAGAAGGCTCTCTTTTTCTCAAAAGCAAAAATATGCATTGACCAAGATAGATGACCACAAAGTGAAATGTCATATGTGACTGGGGATTTTAGAGTTGTGTGTGAAAAACTGCTGTGGAATTATTGATGATCTTATTACATTTTTCTTTAATATTGTTCTCACGACATTGTTGTAATTTTTAAAAATTGAAAGGCACCAAAAGAAGAGAAAGGGAGGAGGATAGAACTGGGATCTGAATGGGGGAAAGGAGAGAGGGGGTTGGCTTTTCTGATTTGTCCAGAACCTGGTCTGGGAGCTCAATAAATAAAAGCCAGCCAATCCAGGGTTCTCCATCCTGGCTGCCCTGGAACCCCACGCCACACCCAGGCCACCCCCAGACCCATGCCATGGGTGTATGAGGACCAAGAATGGCAGGGAATTACTCCCATGTGTTCTCCCAGCCCTTCCGGAATCCCCTGAGTCCCCACCTGCATCTATAATCCCCGAGGTAGCTCTGTGCACATTTCAGCTTGGCATAGCTGCTCCTACCCAATTTTCATCTTTCCAAGGTTTTCCCTTTGCTTATTTTTGTCACTCCTTCCCATGCTACCCACATCCCAGGATTTGGGACGCCATCTGCTGGGGTTGGACTTAGGTCCTGATCAGCTCTGTGCTGCCTTCCAAAGCCAGTCATGATGATGCTCTCCCCACTCCCCTGGCAGGTTCCCTGGCCTGGCGTCCCATCTGCACCTTCTGGACTGCAGCCTGGAAGCCTCGCAGGCGACTGCACTTCATCATCTGGTGAAGGAGGACTTGAGCCAGCACGGAGTCCAGCACCTCCAGGTCGTCATAGAAACAAACCAGCAGCCCCAGCCTGGGTGAGAAGATGGGAGATGCTTGTGGAAGGCAGAGCGGGGGCTGAAAACCCACTCCCAAGCCAAGTTCACGGGGGTCAAGGTCACAGAGGCTGCCACTCACTCAGTGTTGTCCTGAGCACTTTACCTGGATAACTCCAACACAGTGACCCTACAAGGTGGGAACTCTCCTTGGTCCCATTTCACAGCAGGGCAAACTGAGATTTGGAACATCAAGCGACTAGCCCAAGGCAAGTAGCAGAGCTAGGACTTCAATTCAGATGCATCCAACTAGCCACCTCTCCTCCTAGGATGTATAGGGCATGAGCAAAGGATGAGGCTAAGTCAGCCAAGAAAACTCCTCGTTTTCCACGTGGTCCATCCTGAAGGAGAGCTCAATTTCCCAGATGCCTTTCTACCACCTGCCCAGATATGCAAAGATGTCCAAAGGGGAGGTAGGCAAAATAGTGTGGGGGCAGCAGGATTCAAACCCTGGCCTAACTGGTTAAGAAAACAGAGTTGAGCTGACTAGAGCTTGGAGCTCAGTCCTATGAGACATTTCACCTCCAGTAATTACCTGCCTTCTCTCAAGGCTGCTGCACACAGTTGTGCAGGGCCCACTCCATACCACTGTGCAAGGTGGCCCTACAACTCTGCACCTTTAATAAATGAGAGGTTTGCTTTGTCACAATCAGGATGGGTGAAGGAACGGGAGGAGTGTGGGAACATGCTTCCTGGCAGATCATTCTAGTGAGTGGTCTTGACCCTACTGTGCTTAGCATGGCCAGATCACCTGCTTGACCTCCAGCAGTCTGGCTCCACCCTCTCAGACAGACATTGACAGGGGAACTCGGGCACATGCACAGGAGAGCAAGCGGGTCCTGGGAAAGGGTGTGTGTAAGCATGGAAAAGGGGACCCATGCTAATGACTGAAAAATTGCTCAGGATAGAGAAGACAGTGAAATAGTTTTATTTTTATGTGAGTACATGTTTAAAAGTGTCTTGTGTGGGAAATTTTAAGGCAGATGGTGATGTCAGGGGGAAGCAGTGTGACAGTGAGACCTGAGAGATGGAGAGGATTTGGCCAGCCCCTCCAGCGTGAGATGGCTGTGGGAGTCACTGTGCCATCACTAACTTCTACAGCTGCTGTCATCCAGGGGCCGCTCAGCCAATGGGGGTTCTCAAATATGGTGAGTCACAAGCTCTTTCCCATGCTTGACCCAGTCAAATGGAAACGACCCATTCACCTGGAGCCCTGAGTATTTGAAGTGTTCAGAACTGGAACAAATACTTGAGGAGGTGGCATAAGATGGCCAGCCACCGGGAGATGCTCAAGAGAAAATGTGTCCCCTTGCCCCTTCTCAGCCCTTCAGAAGGCAAAGGACCCCCCAGGAAACAAACCTCTCCCCTCACAGGCAGAGGTGGCAGTTATTCAGAGAGTACACACGCCTTGCCTGTGGATGGTGGAGGTGTTTCTCATGTCGAAGCTGGAGGAACCGATCCGCTCCAGAAATGCCCGGGCTAGTTCAGGAGTCATGTCATGGACCGTGTCCAGCTGCTTGGTGGCGTTGTCATAGCTGATAAATAGCCCCATCTGGTGGACAGAACAGGAAGATCAGTGAGCAGGGCAGAATAAGCCTAGTGCAACCCCATCCTGGTGACCTGTGCCACCCAGACACTTGGACACCCCACCCAGCTCTCTCTCTCCCACCTGCCCTCTCTTTCATCTCCCCCTCTCTCCCTCTTATCTCTTCTCCTCGTCGCCTCCCTCTCTCCAGTGCTGGGGATTGAACCCGGGGCCCCCTGCATGCTGGGCTGGCTGCACAGTACCACTGAGCCACACCCCAGTCCTATTTAACTTCTCAACGATCTGTAAGTGCCCTAACTATGATTTAAGGAAGTATTAGTTTTTAATGTGGACCTAACTATGATTTAAGAAAGTATTACTTTTTAATAGTCTAGCAGTCGAACTTTATCAAAGCTAACCTTTGCACACTTATTCCTAAATTTGTTCTAATGAGGTCAGGTTCGCAAATTGGCTGCTTTGAGGACTCACGGGTTATTAAATTAGATGTACGAATTTCTCAATGGCCCTCCGCTGTGTGCTGTCTTTGTTAAGCTGTGGAGCTTACACGTGTTGTATTACGCACACCAGATTCTCCTCATTCTTGCGCCTTTCTGCCTGCATTCCAAGGGCAGCACATAACAGCCCCTACTACTGTAGGGCTTTTATCTGTTTTTCCTTCTGTTTCAAACAGATTTCGCATTCTGGATTTTGAGGCACCATAACACGTGTCTGAAGGAACGCACAGTTATCTCTCCCTGTGGGTGAGATAAAATTCCCTCGTACTATTCCCTCTGTGGCTTCCTCTCCCTTCTACATTTTCAGATGATAAAAAATGGCACACGGTAGCTGATCTCGGAAATTCCCCCACAGAGCTCAGATTTCTAAGGATTTTTACCTCTATGTACTTCTTGGGAATGACTCACCATAAATGGGGGTGGGGATTTCATCCCAGAACCGAGGGCTCTCAGCCTCCTACGTAAAAGAGAGGAGCCCAGCCCTACCTCTGGCTTTAAAATAACCACACTTTGTTGGATCAACTAACAAAAGTCTGAGCGAACCAGTCAGCTGATCTCTCACTGGTCAGGAGAAAGACAGGACATGTTTTTTGTTGTTATTGTTTGGGGGTTTTGTTGTCGTTTACACTGTAGGCAAACCCCACACTCTGCACGAAGGCGTCTGTGTTGGCAGTATTCTTTGGAGGTGTCCTTCCAGGTCATGATACCCAAGGGATTTCAATGCGATTGAATCAACGTCAGAAGGACAGATACAGGTTGGCAAGTCACAGGAGACACGTACGTTCCTCCAGTGTAAATGCTAGAGTAAAATCCAGCCAGTGCTTGTGCTGAAGTAGCTATGAGTAGAAGCTGCTAGAAATGGAAGTAGTTACTAATCCCTCCTGCTTTTGCCCTTGCAAGGGCTGGGCATGCCGTTCTCGTTGGCCTTTCTCTTTTTTTTTTTTTAAGTCAGTATTGAGGCTTGAACTTAGGACCTTAGGCTTGCTAGGCAGGCACTCTACCACTTGAGCCACTCTGCCATCCCTCCTTGGCCTTTCTCAACTACAGACAGCCTCAGATGGGTTTGCTTCAGAGCTAACATTCCTTTGATATTAGGTTTGCTCAAATCAAAGCTCTCCCACAATTCTTTTTCTTTTCTGGTTCTTCTGTGCTAGAACACAGTCCTATCACTGACCACTTGAGACATTGATCAAGTTTTCTTTAGAAGCTACAGACACACTGGGCTGGGGCAGATGTAGGATTTTCAGGGCACCTTGCTGAGCATGGGAGGGTTAGCGTTTACTGTCCCCCAGGCATGTTAGTAATGAGGATGTGTGGGTAGACTTTTCCAACTTACTTCTCCAGGACTGATTTTTGTGATTTCTTCAAATGATAGGTGAACCATGTATCTGCCCAAAATCCATAGGTTTTCTGCACTGACCCAAGAAATTGAGTCATCTACCAAAAAAAAAATGAATGAATAAATAGATAAGTTAATATTCAAAATGAAAAAAGCATTTTAGTAACAAGGACTGGATCCATGAAGAATTCGTGTTCTTGAGCTGGAGGTATCCCTCAAGTGGAAGAGCACCTGCCTACCAAGTGCAAAGTCCTGGGTTCAAACACCAGCACCACCAAAAAAATTTTTTTTTCTTGAAAGCCAAGTAAAATATCCATTAAAAAAATGAACAAAAAGGGAAACAAACCAATCAAAGCCTTGACTAGTGCTCAGTAGCATCTCTGATGTCAGGACCTCCTTAGCTCAATCATTAATTCATTCAACAACTATTTATTGAGTGTCTACCTGTGAGACACCATGCAACACACAGGCCATGGTCATAGGTGCCCACCCCTGAGATTGCTGCTCAGCAGTGCAGTCCTTGGACCAAATACAGGAGCATCATCCAGAACTCAAGATATGAAGACTATTTTTTAATACTTAAGGCAACAAAATAAGGTTGTTTATTTTAGTTCAGCTAGTTCCTCAAAAATCTGGCAACTTGAAGTTTGTCTGACTCTCTACTAATTATCACCATGAATCAAGCCAAACCACTCCAACTTACCCATAAGCACCTTAAATACTCCTCCAAATCTCTGCTGGTGTAGACCTTCTGGTCCTCTAGAATCTTTCCTTAACCCTCCTGTGTCCAGGGCCTGCCTTCAAGATGAAGCTCAAACTTTCCCCCTTCCTTAAACCTTTTCTTACCTTCTTACCAGAAGTAGTCCTGCCCTCCTCCACATTCCCAGAGGACTCTCTGTCTCTCTATTCTAGCATTTGAAGTTCCCCATCTGTAACATGACAGTGGAATTTTAAGAACAAGCAGATCCAGGACCCAGCTTCAAGTTTCATTGAGCTGGAAGTGGCTGCCGTTGCCCCAACCTTTCAGAAAGACTTCTACACATAGCACTGTTCTGGTGGGATCTGGGGAAAAGAAGAAGGGGAGGCATGTGAACCAGTCACTGAGAGCTGCTTCATGAAGGGTGGGCAGTGGCCAAGGCCCAACCGCTTTTACGTGGGCTGATTGCCGAGATCATCCCAGAGCCTCCCCAACCCTGGGTTCAGAGGTGTGTAGACCACGCTGGACATTTGACACAGCTGTTAAAGGAAAGGGTGGCCCCAGAGAGCTAGAGAATTAGGGGGGAGGAACCACAAAATTCACCAAGAACCAGGTGAGTTGTTCTTTTTTCAACTAATTGTTAAACAGGAACTGTATTTCTACAGACCAGTGTTTCCCAAAGCACAGGACACTTTTAATAGCCAAAGTATTTCCAGTACATTCATGGGGGAAAAAACTGTGTGGTCCAAATAGAGTGAGTATAAATTCACTGTAGTTTAATAATGAGACTCTCCTTCTAGAAGGAAAATCTGTCCCTAATTAACTGTGTCGATAAAGACTTCAGGGAGTGTAGGGGTTGAGTGACTTTCTCAGGGTTAATCAGTGCGAGCCTCAGATTGCTAGAGGCCGCAATTATGCACCAGGCAGAGGGAATTCTGCACACTCAAAGCGTCCGACTGCCATGTGTTTAACGTTCCTTGCACACAACTCTCGGCGCTTAACTCCAGGAGAGGACTGAAGGCATTCCCTGCGCTCCAAGCCCCTGGCTGCCTTTGCTTCCCAACACACTGAGCCATCCCCACCCCAGGCCTTTGCATTAGCTGCTCTCTCACCTCCCTCCCCCCAGAGTCCAAGGATGGATTCCATCTCCTCATCTGGGTCTTAATTCAAACAACACACGTTGGAGAGGTCTTCCCCAATTCCCAAATCCAGAAGTTGGCAAACCCACCCTACCATCAATGCATCTTTTTATTTGTGTACTTAAAAAGTTGTTCACAGAAATGTATACAGTTCTGTAAAACCAAAGAAATGTCAGGGGCAAGAAAGGGGATTTTTTTTTTTTTGATCATTAAGAAAGAGAAATAAGGCCTGGTGGTCTGGCTCATATGGTAGAGCACCTTCCTAGCAAGCATGAGGTCCTGAGTTCAAACACTAGTACCACCAAAATAAATAAATAATAGATAGATAAAAATTTAAAAAGAGAAATAAAAACACAGTAGATGTTTCAAAACTTAAGGAACATTTTCCATGTATAAATCTTATAAATACAAAACAAATTCAAAAGTTGATGGGTTCAGATGAAACAATTTGTATGTTAAACTATCCTTTTGGCAGTACTGGGGTTTGAACCCAGGGCCTTGTGCTTGGTAGGCAGGTACTCTACTACTTGAGCCACATCTCAGCCCTTCCTACTTCAGTTATTTTTTTGATAGGGTCTCACGTTTTTGCCCAGGGCCAGTCACAGGCCATGGTCCTTCTCCATATGCCTTCCACATAGATGGAACCCAGTTTATTTGTTGAGATGGGGTCTCTCTAACTTACTTCCAGCCTGGGCTCAAACTGTGATCCTCTCAGTCTCCACTTCCTAAGGACCTGTGATTACAGGCATGAGCCACCACACCTGGCCTCATTAATTAAGCAATTCTTAAGACATGTATATATTTTCCTATACCATGATATAGCAGAAGAGACATCTGTATAGCTAAATCCCCCTTGATAGCACCCATCTAAAACCCCATCAATGACAAAATCAATCATAGTTGACAAAACATTTCTAAGATATCTGAACATATGAATGACCTCAAAATGTACAAAACCCTCTTAAACAAGTAATGTGTCCAGTACAACTACAAAACTACAGCAAAGGAAGTCTTTCCTAATATTCTCCAGAGTTCCTAATATTAAAATTGAGGATACAGTGCTGGCCACACTTCAGTGGGGTCAATTAGTTAAACTTTTTGTTCTTTGCAGGACTGGAAATTGAATTCAGAGCCCCTCCTACTGGACAAGGACTCCACCACTTAAGCCATGCCTCCAGTCCTACCATTTTTTATGTAACCTGGGAGCCAAGAATGGTATTTACATTTTTACATGGTTGAAGGAAAATCAAAAGAAAAAATTTTTATAAACTATAAATTAAAATTTTTTTCCACCTACTCTCCCATAATAGGGTCGTTGAGAGCCAAACTTTTGTCTTATTTTCCTTTATATCCTCAGCCAAAATTCTGTCTACATTCTCGACATTAAACACTTAAATTGAAGCCATCTGAGAAACTGCTGCATTGCTAATCTACATAGCCATTCTTTTCTAAGTTTTGTTTTTGTTTTTGCAGTGCTGAGGCTTGAGCTCAGGGCCTACACCTTGAGTCACTCCACCAGCCTTCTTTTTGTAAAGGGTTTTTCGAGATAGGGTCTCTCAGATTATGTGCCCGGCGTTGGCTTCGAACCTCGATCCTCCTGATCTCTGCCTCCTGAGTAGCTAGGATAATAGGCATGAGCCAGAGGCGCCTGGCCTAAGTCTTTTTTTAACTGTGATGCACATACCATAAATTTTACCACTCTAACTATTTTAGTTGTTCTGTTCAGTGACATTAACACAGTCGCCCTTGGTGTCCATAACTTTGGGCCCAGGACCTCCCGTGGATACCAAAATCCTTGGGTCCCCTGCTCCCTTACATAAAATGGCAGCATTTCCATATGACGTGCAAAGTCCTCCAAGTGTATTTTAAATCTTCTCTAACCTACTCAAAATACCTAATGCAATGTAAATGCCACGTACAGTCACATTATATCATTCGGAGGATGACAAAAGGTCTATACAGTTTCTTTCCAGTATTTTCCATCCCTAGTTGGTTGAATGCACAGGTGCAAAGTCCATGAATACAGAGGCCAACTGTATGTTCACATTCTTGTACAACCATCACCACCATCCATACCAAAACTTTCTGCACCTTGCAAAACTGAAGCTCCAGGCCAGGCTGGTGGCCAACACCTATAATCCCAGCTACTCGGGAGACAGAGCTACTTGAGTTTGAGTCCAGCCCAGGCAAAGTTATCAAGACTCTGTCTCAAAAACAGATACAAACAGACTCTGTCCCGAAAACAATATGCAAAATAGCAACTTGTGGCTCAAGTTACTGCCCTGGGTTCAATCCCCAGCAATACAAAAATAGGCCGGTGCCAGTGGCTCATGCCTGTAATCCTAGCAATGTAGGAGGTAGAAAGCAGGAGGATCGTGGTTCAAAGCCAGCCAGGGCAGATAGTTTGCAAGGCCCTGTCTCAAAAAAACCCATCACACATACAAAAAAAAAAAAGGCAGGGGGGCTGGTGGAGTGACTCAAAGTATAGGCCCCAAGTTCAAACCCCAGTACCACAAAAAAAAAAAAAAAAACCACTGAAGCACTGCCATGATTCCAGTTTCTGGGTCTGTGACTTTGACGACTCTAGGACATAAGTAGGCTTTTAACAGGCATCTATCAAACAAATCAATCCTGACCTATTTCTGCATCGGTTGCCAAGAAGCTCAGAACTAAATTTCAGTGCTTTGTAGTCTGGATTTTCTAACCAACACTTTTCCCTCACTTTAATACAGATTCTGAAGGTTCTCATCACATCTAAGATGTCACTAGCACACCAGACACACAGATTATAAGAGACAGACACGCCCTTGTTTCAGACACCAACCCAGGAGGTGCTGATGAAATGAGACTTGCATCTTACTCACAAGCCATGTCGAACCTGAATGACAAGGTCAATGAAATCAAACCGCTCTTCAGAGAGGAAGCACCTGTGTTGAGAGCGGAACCCCCCCAAGTGGGACCCCCAGCCCCACGGGCTCCGAGCTCAGCTCACCAGTGGTCTTGTTGGAGGATGCCCGCAAAGTCCCTGTCATCCAGGAGTAGAGCGCTGTCTGCACCTGAGCAGGGGTTTGGTCGTAGAGCTCTTTGAACACGGCTGAGCTGTGTGACACAGACACAGGCATCATTGTGCGAAGCAGATGGGGGCTTCCAGGTGGGGACACAGCCAGTGTGCCCTAAGCATGTGCTGAAAGGGGTGCCCACTCCTTCCCGCCCTCCGTGCACCTCTTTCCCCATTTCTCCTCCTCCCCTCCACAGGTGGCCACCTTCCCCTCCCTCCACCCCTCACCGCCATGACAGCAGTAGGGGTGTGGGTCACCTGCACAAAAATTCATCACCTGAGTGCACAATTCAGTGATTTTCAGAGGATTGTCACACCTGTGTGACTATCACCAGGGTCACTTGTTGGACATTTTAAACCCCACAAAAATAAATCCCATACACTTAGCTATCACCCCTGAACCCCAACTCCTAGAAACCCCAATCCACTTTCTGTCTCTAGAGAGTTGTCTGTCGTGGGCATTTCATATGAATGGAATCCTACCCTGTGTGATCTTTGTGTCTGGCTTCTTGAACTTGGAGTGTTGTTTTTGAGGATCACCTATTGAGGCAAGTAGTGGGCCTCTTCATTCCTTTTGAAGGCCAAATAGTATTCCATTGTACGGACAGCCCACACTATCGGCTTTTGGATAGTTAGGTGGGTTTCCACCTTTGTCTTTTATAAATAATACAGTTATAAACTGTCATGTAAGAGCTTCTGTGTGAACATGCATTATATTCCTGGCCTCTTGGGTACATACCCAGGAGAGGAGCCGCTGGTTTAAATAGCACCTGTGTTTAGCTTCTCTTGATTTGTCTTTCTTTCTCTTTGGTGCTGGGAGTTGAGCCCAGGGCCTCGCACTCCTGTGCTCATGCTTTCTCATGAGATGCCCCATGTCCTCAACACTTGTCCCTCTCCAGTGTTTTGACTAAACACAACACCTAGTGGGAAGTGTCCTGGTCACTTTTGAAGCCACTGCAATCTGGATCTCCACTACAGCATATCACTCCTGTGGCCAAAGTCACCAGCATCATATCCAGAGCTCCCCACTGGTCCAGACAGGACTTACTCTATCCCAGCAATGGGCACCGCCACCCCTCCTGCTTCCCGGATGCCTTCCCCACCCCACCACTGAGTGCTCACCAGCCAAGCCACCATTCACCAACCTTTCTTGTCTGAGAGCAGCTGGACCCTTCCAGCCATTTCAATGTGACAGGACAAAGCTTCCCTAAAGCCCAAAGTAGTGTCTTCTCTCTATGGTGTTCCCTTCCTTCTTCCCTCCCTCCTTCCTTCCCTCTCTCCTTCCTTCCCTCCCTCCTTCCTTCCCTCCCTCCTTCCTTCCTCCCTCCTTCCTTCCCTCCCTCCTTTCTTCCTCCCTCCTTCCTTCCCTCCCTCCTTCCTTCCTCCCTCCTTCCTTCCCTCCCTCCTTCCTTCCCTCCCTCCTTCCTTCCCTCCCTCCCTTCTTCCCTCCCTCCTTCCTTCCCTCCCTCCTTCCTTCCTCCCTCCTTCCTTCCTTCCCTCCCTCCTTCCTTCCCTCCCTCCCTTCTTCCCTCCCTCCTTCTTTCCCTCCCTCCTTCCTTCCCTCCCTCCTTCTTCCTCCCTCCCTTCTTCCCTCCCTCCTTCCTTCCCTCCCTCCCTTCTTCCCTCCCTCCTTCTTCCCTCCCTCCTTCCTTCCCTCCCTCCTTCCTTCCCTCCCTCCTTCCTTCCTCCCTCCCTTCTTCCCTCCCTCCTTCCTTCCCTCCCTCCCTTCTTCCCTCCCTCCTTCCTTCCCTCCCTCCTTCCTTCCCTCCCTCCTTCCTTCCCTCTTCTACCTTCCTTCCTGCCTTCATCCCTCCCTTGCTTCCTTTCCTCTTTCCCTCCTTCCCTCCCCCTCCTTCCTTCTCTCCCTCTTCCTTTTCTCCTTCCTTTCTTTTTTTTTTTTTTAATTTTTAGCAAGAGTAGATGATAGAGGTTAAAGCAAGACAGTTCTTTTAAAAGAAAAAAACAGTAAACATCCTTTAAGGGGAAACTTTCCCTTTGTAAAACTGCTGAGTGTGTTGTTCCCTACAAATCTGACCTAGGGGAGCTACATAGCCCCTCTGTGTCTCAAGTTCCTCATCTGAAAAATGGGAACAGGATTGATGGCATCACCCTCACAAGAAGAGGAAAAGAGACACAGCGGAGTGGGAGGGGACAGAACTGGGATCCCGGAGACCTGAGTAGAGTTCAGATTAACTCAGATCACCTCAGGGTCAAGAGGTGGGGGCTCAGGAATGGGATCAGTGAGTCCCTGGCCTTCTGCCCTGGGAGGACACAGCAAGCAGGCGCCTTCTGTGAACCAGAAACAGCCGGCACACGGCGCCAAATCTGCTGACACTTTGGCCTCGATCCTCCACAAGTGTGAGAAGTTGACACATGCTGTTCCAACCTCCCACTCTGTGTTATTTTTCTAAGATACTTAGGCGAGCAACATATGTAGTTAGCACTTAAGACAAAAGATACTAATTTCCCATCTATGGAAATTATATAAAATTTACTTTTAAAATAAACATTTTAAGGTAAAAAGGATGTCACTGGGGCAGTGGCCGATGGCTAAAATTTGTTGTAATCAAAGCATCTCTCAGCTTTGGCTCCAGAAGTCACATAGAGTCCTGCCCCACCAGCAACTCCCCTGGGCCAGGTTCACTGGACCCCTCACTGCGGCCCTGGGGACAGTGTGTGGCATTAGGAGGGCGTGGGAGGCACTCACAGGTTCTTGAAGGCGTCCTGGGGGAGGTCACAGGGCAGCCTCTCGGCGACATCAGGCTGGAGGAAGCTGCCCGAGGACCCCCTCAGCAGCAGGCCGAGGACCTGCACGCACTCCAGGGAGCTCAGCACCTGGAAACACCGCTCCAGCGTGGCGAGGAATAGGCTGCGGTTGACGCCGGGGATCCGCCAGGCTTGTTCTCGAAGCTCTGCCACGTCGATGACCATGTCAGTCAGGTCCTAAAGGAGTAAGAGAAGCCAGGGGCACCTCGAAAACGGCCTCTGGGCTCAGAAGCCCTGGGAAGGCCCACCCACTGCAGCCACGGGCAGTTCAGGATCGCTGTGTAACACCAGGTGCTATGGGGAAATTTCTAGAACTTTCCATGGCCTTCAGAACAAATTCAAAGTTTTCACGGGCTCCACCTACACCAGGTGACTTCTCATGACTGTCACATCTCAATCCAGTGCATCCTTTAAGGCTGAGCTCAGTCATCACCTCCTTGGTGGTGACTTCAGGTCAGAGCTCCCTCCACTATGGGCTCTCTGTGCATCTTGAACCAAACTTCACCATGCACTGAAGATGCTCTGTGCCTGTCCTTCCTCTGAGTCATGCCCCCAGCTCGGCCTCACATCAAGATCTCCTGGGAGCTCTGTGAAGTCCTCTTCTCCAGCGCTACTACCTAGGTCTGATTTAATTGGTTGGGAGTGGAGGCCAGGCATGTGAGTCCAATGCGTTCCCAAGGTTGAGCCAGGAAGTCCTGCAGGCCCAAGCCACATGTACAGTGGAATGCCTGGTACCTAGAAGCCATTGGAAAGCAGCACATTCAGCCAGGCACTGTGGCTCACACCTGCAATCCCAGCTACTTGGGAGGCAGAGATAGGGAGGATCACAGCTTGAAGCCAGTCCAGGCCAAAAGTTATAGGAACTTCACCTCAATCAACAAGTGTTGTGGTGTGCATGTCTGTAAGCCCAGCTACACAGAAGGCATTGGTAAGGAGGACTTCTGCCTAAGGCTGGCTGGGCAAAAGTGGGAGCCCCTACCTGAAAAATAACTAAAGGAGAAAGGACTGGAGGTATGGGTCAAGTGGTAGAGCAAGCGCAAGGCCATGAGCTCAGTCCTAGAACCACCAAAAAAAGAAGGAGGAGGAGAAAAACAGAAACAGCGAGTTCAAATGAATGAAGGAGTAAATGACTCCTCTGGCACACAGAACCCAGGAATGCTAACACGGTAAATGACAGTCTGGTCTGTCTGTCCTTTGTCCTGGGCATCCTTCAAAACCAGCCAGCATTTACCAATACTGACTGCTTGCTGGGCGCTGTGCAAACATGGAGTGAGTGTGCCCTGGCTCCTCCACAGCCCTGACAGTCCTACAGGACCAGCCTCAGGGGTCCCGGGCCAGGCCTCCGGTTATTATCTAGAAAGAGCAAAATGCTCTCTTCAAAGTCTGTTTCCTCTCCGTAAAGGAGGTATAAAATCAGTACCTACCTCTGAAACTCGTGTGAGATCTGAGCAAAAACATGACCATGATGTGCTCAGTCCCTGCTGGACTCTCAACCAACGCTGTGTGCGCCTGTGACTGCAATATCATGGGTGACAGAAGCAAAACAGGGAATAAGCAACAGACCCTACACACACGGCCTGGGAGCTCCACTGTGAGTTGGCGCATACCACCTTAACCTTGACCTTGACCTAGACCTAGCACTTCCTAGCATCATTTTGCAGTGGATGGCTGACCAGTGAGGAGGAGTGAGTGTGCTTGGTGTCTTAAGCAGGGCCTGTAGTAGAATGTAGGGACTCTCTGAGTTCTGGGGAACAACTGTAGTGTCTTCTCACTGACACACAACTGTCGCTGGCATTCCTTCAAGCGCAAATGCGGGCGACAGGGTAACAGCGCAGCCGGGTGCGGGATCTCTGCCTCCCAAGAGTCACAGGTGTGTTCATAAGGCATTGGTTATTGCAGATAATTCAGTCCTTCCTGCAGATCACAGCTGCTAGATCACGCTGGTGAACGTGTTAAATTACCATCCTCCTTGTGTGCTGCGATAATTGGCTTCTTTGGCATCCTTTGTATTTTGTTTTATAGATTTTAAAACATAGTTCTGAGAAGGGGCCCATAGCCCAGGCTCCAACCTCAGATTTACCATTTGCCATGTGTGGGGGAGGGGGGCCCCCAAGGCTCCTCACTCAGCCGCTCCATGACTCAATTTCCTCATCTGAATATTGAAATGTAAGAGTCTTTTAAACTTTATTTCAGAAGGTCCTGAAGAGGATTCAGTGACTCCAAGAATGTTAAACCCTTGGAACAATGGTCAGCAAGGTACTGTCCCTCAGGCCCAAACTGGCCCACCACTTGCTTTTGTGAATAAAGTTTTATTGGAACACACCCACCCATTCATCTCCAGCTGCCTTCATGCTTCCATGGCAGACTTAGGTGTAAGGCCTATGAATTCCAAGTGTTACTCGCCAGCCCCTTGCAGGATGTTTGCCAATCATTTCCTCAGAATAAAATCTCACACCTAGCCATGTCCCCATCTTGCCTTATCTTTGAGGTCCTCCACATTTTTTTTTCATTTATTCACATGTGCATACATTGTTTGGGCCTCCACATTTTCCTAAACAGTTTATTTGTGGTACTTGGGTTTGAACTCAAGGCACTGCGCTTGCTAGGCAGGTGCTCACTGCTTGAGCCACTCCACCAGCCCCTTCCTGTGTTGGATTTGTTTGAAATAGGGTCTCTCGAACTATTTGCCCAGGCTGGCTTTGAACCATGATCCTCCTGATCTCTGCCTTAGCTAGGATTACAGGCGTAAGCTACCAGCATCAGGCTCAAGCTCATATTTTCCTTTTTTAAAAAGTTTAAATTCATTTCAAAAGGAAACATTACATTCCTTCCAACTGGTTTGATGGCAGTGAGTTATACTTTAATAACAGACATTAATTGCATAAGTATATAGTTAGGGACTGGCAATGTAGCTTGCCAGAGTGCATGAACCCAGTGTGCATATGGCCCTGGGTTCGATTCCCAACACTGCAAAGATGAATAAACAAATAATAAACATGTGGTTATGAAATGTTTAAACATTTTAACTCCTTTTGGGAAATACCGTTCTACACCAGACTGTGTCCAACAGAGAAAACTCTGAACCTCACTCACCTCTGTGGGCCCCAAGGACTTTCTGGGTCTTGGCGACCTCGCTGATACACCCATGTCACTAACCTCGAATGCTCCCTGAGGACTGATCAGCCTTTCTATGTCCACCCAAACTATCAGAAGACCCTCAGTGCCCCTCGTTTTTTAGCACCCATAAAACGATGCATTAGAAGGTTCTTTGTTTGAACTTTGGAGAAAGCAAGTAAGAAAAGCGAGGTCCTAACCTCCCAGTGGCTGAGGGAGGGAAAAGAGAGGAAAACACAGAGGACAGGGTATGGGGCAGCTCCATCTGCCCGGCTCCGCCCGTGCCAGGAGCCTCACCATGCGGGCCTGCCTGTCCTCCAAGAGGGACGTCATGGCCGTGCTGAACTGCTGCACATTGGTGTCCCTCAGGGTCTGCAGCAGCCGCTGGGGCTGATACAAATGCTGCTCCAAGTGACTTTCCATGGCTGCCTGGACAGGGAGAGGGCAGTTATGACATGGGTGTTGGCTCCTGTTTTTGTATTCGTTAAACATAAGTAAAAGCCAGGCACCGGTGGCTCACACCTATAATCCCAGCTCTTTGGGGGATAGAAGAATCGCAGTTTGAGAACAGCCCAGGAACTGTCAAGACTCCATCTCAACTAATAAGCCAGGCCTGGTGCCTGTAATCTCAGCCACAGGGAGATGGAGGTAGGAAGACCTCGGTCTGAGGCCAACCCTACACAAAAGCACAAGAGTCTATCTGAAAAATAAGTAAAGCAAAAAGGGCTGGTGGAGTGGCTCACATGGTAGAGCATCTGCCTGGCAAGTGCAAGGCCCTGAGTTCAAAGCCCAAAAAGAAAACAAAAGAAACAACAAAAAGACAGAAGAAAAACTGGGAACAACAAAGACACAAGTTGGAACTTTGTTCCTTAGTCACTGAGGCCTTGGCCTCTCTGCTGACACAGCATTTCCTGGATTTTGTGTGCATTCACAGTGTGATGGGCGGGCAAGCGGCCCAGTTAACCACAGTTTCCGCCATGACTCCTGTGCTCCAGGAAAATGTCCACCACTGTCTGTCAGCAGGTTTGTGCTTCCTGCTTCCCTAATAGAGAGTTAAAGGGAAGTAAGAATGTATCTTGCACCCATGACTGAAAGACAGATAAGTAAACCCAAATACTCTCCAGTTAACTCTCATGAGAGGTTGTTGTAACTGAGCCTGACTCCTGAGTCATGCTCTGGCTTCCTATATTGCCATGTGACCTCTCCTCACACACATACTTCCTCCATTGTGATGTCATCCACCTTGCAGTGACACAGCAAAGGAGGTCCTTGCAAGAGCCAGTGCCATGTCATTTGGACTTTCAGCCTCTAAAACTGTGAGCTAAGTGAACCTCTTTACTTTATATTGCACCAAGCCTCAAGCATTTTGTTACAGTAATGGGAGATATGCTCCCATTATTCTTTTTACTACTAGAATCCCTCAAATTCCAGCTGGGTACGGGGCTGCCTTGCGGTGAGGTGTGATTGCAGCACGTGAACCAGTGGATTGCGTACGGAAGGAATTGTGGAACATGTGAGTCCTTAGAGGAGAAGATGTTTACCCCGTACTTCCTCTTCCTACCCTCCCCCCAGGGCTGGAAAACACACGTGGTGTTTCAACCACAGGAACAACAACTTCCTAGGTGATGAGAGAGCAAAAAGACAAAAGGAACCTGGGCCCCTGGGTGGCCTTTAAAATAGTTGCCTCTCTTGTCTGCATCTCCCACTGAGCTCTGGGCTGCTATTTGAAAAACAAACTAGCTAAATTGAGCTGGTGTCATTTGGGGTCTCATTGTTACAGAAGCTCAGCCTATACTTGACTATATCATGTTTTCAGCAAAGATGGGAAAATCAAAGAAAGACAAAAGAGCTTTGCCACATTTCAAGAAAAATTGGACACATTTCTCTTTGTTGAAATGAAAACCATCCCTCCACCCAGGCTGAATCTCCAGCCTTCCTGTCCCCTGAGCAGTTGGGGGACATGGAGACCGGCTCCCATACATACCTTCAGGCTGGGAACAGTAAAGGCGACATTGCGTGAGTTCAGATAGGCCAGGACTCTGTGGGACAGGTCAGCCGTCCACAGGTGAGAGCTTTGATGAGAGACAGAAGGGACAAAGTCACACTCACTGGCGCCCCTGCACACAGCCCCACAGCCCCCAGGGCCCAGCGCCAGGAGCTCAGAGAGGACAGGGGACGATGGCTGGGGGTGCATGTGTGCCTGAGCAGGCCACACGCTAACCTGCCTGGCACAGGGACAGGACCTGCCTACATCCCATTCTCTCAGACAGTAATCAACTTATGAGCGCTGTGCGATATTCGGATTCCCACACTGATCCACTCAGAGGGACTGTGGCCTGAACCTGCTGACTTGGAAAGATGTGCTCACAAACTGAAGCCCAGACCTCGGGAAGCCGCAGTAGCAGGGCGGAGGCTCCAGACCTGGCTTTGAATCCTGGCTCTGCCACTCAGCTGTGTGACCTTCAGCAATTTGCTGACTGTTCCTGCCTCAGTGTACCTTTCTGTGAAATGTGGCTGTCCACGGCGAGGGTTAATTGTTCACGTGTGTGAAGTGCTACCGAGCCTAACACACAGTGAATGCTCACAAGTGCCTTCTTCGGTGTCTTTTTGGTGCTGGGGGTGGAACCAGGGCCTTGCACATGGTAAGCAGTCACTCTACCACTGAGCCACACCCCCGTCCCACAATCAGCTTCTTATAATCCCATTTCTGTTACAGATAAGCAGATGGATGCATAGACAAATAAGTAAATAGATAAAAATTTTAACCTGAGAGAATATATTTGAAACTTGTCTTCGGAAAAGGAAAAGCTGTGGGTTTTTTCACTGTACCGTAATAGGGTGTCCCTGTCTGGGGGCCCCAGGGCCCGATTCCTCCTCCTTCCCCGTACTCACCATGTTGGAATTATTTGTTAACAGCTGCCTTTCTTCAAAACCATCTAGATCTGGCCCCATGTCCCTGACACAGAGCAGGACAGTGAAGGGGGCAGACCCTGAGCCAGGTGCCAGGGTCACATCCAAGTTCACGTTCCCACGGTTGCATGGCCTCTGTTCATCTTCTCTGAGCCTCAGTTTTTCTATGCTGTCCAATGGGACCACAGCTGGGCCCACCTCGTGGGCAGCTGCAAGGACTCCATGTGTTTCTGGGGTTCCATCACAAATACTCCAAATATTTTTGGGCTGGTGAAGTGGCTCAAGTGGTAAAGCAGCACTTGCCTAGTGAGTGTGAGGCCCTGAGTTCAAAACCCAGTACTGTCCCCCAGGGGAAAAAAAAAACACTCCATACTTTTGGCTCTCGTGAGCAGAGGAAGAATAATTGCTTGTGGAAACTTATACCTTGGTCGCCCTTTTGGGTAACAAGCACGTCTTATCTGTCACAATTAAGAGACTCCCTTAAGCTATTCTAGAAATCTGTCCTGTCCCTTCCCCTCCCTGCAGGGCGATTACCTTTGAAACCGTATGAGATCCAGAAGCGCTGCGAGGGGACAGAACGGGACAGCTTGAAAATGCAGCCCCAGAGACCCAGCTCTCAGGAGAGGGGGACGGGCTGGGGACATTACCATTCAGATAGCGTCCGGCGATTATTTCCTCCTAAAAGGCAAAGAGATGGCGTCAAGCCCAACATTCGCGAGCTGGCAGCTCGGGGCAAGGGGACTCGGATGGAAAGAGCAGAATACTCACCGCCATGTTCTGCAACAACGGATGCAAATCTGCAAGAAAGCCATTCACGCGTGACTACAGTTGAATGGCGTGACCTTCAAACACAGGTACGAGAAGGGCCCAGTGGAAGCCACTCAGGAAGGAAATTTTTAGTGAATTATGCCGGTGCTCAGTGTGAGAAAACACTAACTTAAAAAACCCTTTTAAATAGCCTCAAAAATCCTACACATAGCCAGTGCTGGTGGCTCACGCCTATAATCCTAGCTACTCAGGAGGCAGAGATCAGCAGGATTGCGGTTCGAAGCCAGCCTGGGCAAATCGTTCACAAGACCCTATCTCAAAAAACCCATCACAAAAATTGGGCTGGTGGAGTGACTCAAGGTGTAGGTCCTGAGTTCAAACCCCATGATTGCCAAAAAACCCAAAAATATCCTACACATAAGTACACACACACACACACACACACACACACACATGTACCCCAATCACCTGAAGGAGTCTTGGATCTAAACTGACCTGACTGACCCTCAAGTTCCCTGAGAGGTGTGGAAACCACTGAAGACAGCTTTAGCTGCAGGACTCACCCCGCCTGGAACTTGGAGCGCTCTGACTTGCCGCCATGTGGCTCAGAAAAAGGACCAGGAGAAGAGAGTATGTCGTAGGTTTCTCACACATTCTCCTGTAGACAATTCAAGTGGAGAAGGGATTCAGGTGGGTTATTTAAAAATATTTTTAAGAACATTCAGTAGACAAAAGGGAACACATAGATCCAGACTCCCACAAAGGTTTTTTTTTTAATAATTAAAAAATTCCAGTGTGTGTGTAAAACACATTCACCTTTCTCCTTGGTGACCACACAATCTATTTACATTCTTAGGACCACCCTCCATTCCCTTTCAAAGAGGAATGATTAAAAGCATAGGCTGGCCAGGCACAGTGACTCACCTCTGTAATCCCAGCTACTTGGGATTAGGAAAATCAAAGTTCAAGGTCTGTTGAGGCAAAAAGTTTGAGAGACCCCATCTCAAATAAAGCTGGACGTGGTGGTAAAGTGCCTGTCATCCAAGCTACAGCAGGAGGACAGTGGTTCAGGCTGACCCAGGCATAAAGCGAACCACTATCTCAAAAATATGCAGAGCCAACAGGGTCAGAGGTATGCCTCAAGTAGTAGAGCTCAAGGACCTGAGTTCAAACCCCAGTACCGCCACAAGAAAAGCATAAACGGTTATGTTTCACATGGCTCTGTATCCAGGATGTAAGAAGAACTTTACAATTCAGTAAGAAGAAGTTGAACCAGCCAATGGAAAAACAGAAGAGTGACATCTAAAAGTTAAACTTCTTGAAAACAGGTATATAATTGCCCAAGAATTACCCTGAAGATTAGCACAGCCTCAGTCAACACGGACTTGCAAATGACACCCACAGTGAGTGCCTCACCTCGTAAGTAACACTTAGAAAGACTGACAGTGTCGAAGTCAGCAATGGCTCAGAGAAATCGGAGCTCTGGCCATTGCTGGTATGGCTACTTTGGAAAACTCTTTGGCAGAGTCTTACAAAAATAAATACAGATAACTCTATGATCAAGGAATTCCTATCTGAGGTATTCACCCAAGAGAAATGGAAAACTGTCCTCAAAAAGATTTGTTCTGCTTCATTCATAATAGTCAAAAATGTGAAACAAGTCAAATATTCAACAGCAGGTGAAAGGATCACTATGGTATAGTCATTCCAGTGGAATACCACTCAGCAATGAAAAAGGAATGTGCGATTTGATGGAGTAATTGGCAATGGGGAAAGCCTCCTGTCTCAAACAATTAGAAAACCAACCAAAATGACAAAGTGACACAAAGGTTTCCAGACATGGGCACCATGCAGCACAGAGATCCTGAGGGAGGGGACACGAGCCCCTCTGGCAGTGCAGAAGGGCGGATGCCGACAGAGCCCAGGAGCCTCACTGAGCTGAGGAGGCAGACAGACAAGGAGTCCAGGGAAACCAAAGTGGTCAGAATCCCTGGCAGGAGTCCTTGGACGTAAGAGACTCCCGGAGACCTGGAGCAGGGCCCCTGCCTATGCGCGGAGAGGCTGCCTGAGACCGGGGGACAGTGGAATGGGCACAGCAACCCGGGCGCTCACCAGGACACCGGAGTGCTGAGACACGCCCGGGTCCGAGGACAGTCTCAGATGTGGGCCAGTGTGCATTTGTGTTGTGCTCTGTTATACAAGAGCTGGCCACTGGGGGAGGAGTGCTATGTCCTGTATTTTCTATAATTGCTAAGAATCTATAATTATTTCAAAATACAAAACAGTCTTAATCACCCAAAGGAGAAAAATGTGATGCTCACAGGAGACAGAATAGACTGTGATGTGCACAGCCACGCAGGAAGATCAGAGACGTCACGTCAGCGTAGAGCCAGGCTCTGAAGAGGACACCTTGCATGGCCTCTGAGGCAGGCAAAGCCATCTAAGCCACCGGAACGAGTCAGGAGTTGTGGGCACTCCTAGGACACGGGTGGGGAGAGGTCATTGCGAAGGACATGGGAGGCTTCGGGAGTGATGGGAGTTTCGACATCTTGACCGTGGTGGGGGCTACACAGAACCACAGTTATCAAATCCCATTGAACTACAGGCTTAAAATGGGCGGATTTTATTGTATGCAAATCATACTTCACATAAGTTATTATCAAAAGAGAAAAAAAAGGCCGCCTGGTCTCAATGCCATGTCTGCCACTTACCAGCTGTGTGGTGCTGGCCAAGCTGCTTAACCTCTCTGTGCTGCACGCCCCTCATCTATGAAATAGTGTTTCTGATGGCACTTATAGTAAATGGGGTTAATAATTATAATTACTGTCATGTGAAGAGAAAGTGAGTCAATAATAGTCACTAGCCTATCACTAGCTACTTGGGAGGTAAGATTTGGGAGGATCACAGTTGGAGGCCAGCCCCTGCAGAAAGCCATGGAGACCTCATTTCAACCAATAGCTGGTGTGGTGCTACAGGGAGGTACAGTGGAGGCTCGTGGTCCAGCCCGACCCAGCCATAACGCAAGGCCCTATCCCAAAAACAGCCAACACAAAGAGGGCTGGGGGGGGGGGAGTAGAGCGCCTGACGGGCAAGTGTGAGACCCTGAGTTCAAATCCCAGTGCTGCCAAAAAAAAAAAAATGTATGTCACTTACAGCATGGCTTTGCTTGAGGTAAACATCTTATGTAAAGTTTTTAAATAACCAAATAAGCCAGATTGTTGTTTTCAAAATTCAAATCTACTCATGTCAGCTTCCCCCATTGCCCCCAGGATAAAGCCCACAACATTTCCAGTGGCCTTACTGCCCCACTTTGCCCCTCACTTCCTAGGGCTCCTGCTCAGGGTAACTTCTTGTCCCTCCAAGGTGCCACTTCCTCCAAATCAAGGGCCTCTCCAAAGTCTGTCCCTCTCTCCTGGTCTGAGTTCTCTAAGCCAAAACAATAAACCAGAAGAAAAAGCCAACACTTCTTCATGTACCAAACACAGCCAGCCCACATGTTTATACCTGTCATTCTTTCATGCATTCAGTCATCAAACATGTATTGAGCATCACTATGTGCCAGGGAGTATTCTAGACTCCGGAGATAGAACAGTTTGCAAAACAAAGTCCTTCCGGTGTGTTGGGGTGAACCAACACAGAAAATAAATAGTCAAGTGACTGTGTCAGGCAGTGATGGACACTACAGAGAAAAAGAAACCAGTGTGGAGGAAAGGAGCACAGGGAAGGAATGGACACCAGGGTGAGACAGTGTGGTCAGGGAAGAGCTGAGACTAGGAGGGAACACATTACAGGAATGGCTGGGGAAAGAACGTTCCAGAAAGAAAAGCACCATGCAAAGGTATTGAAGCTTGCTTGCAGGGTCTTCATTCAGTCACAGGAGGACGGGAACGGGAAGAGATGAGGCTGGAGCATCCAGGCTCTCGGATCACTGTGAACATGGGGACTGGAACTTGGAAGGAGGTGGGCACACAGGAATGGCCACACAGGAATGGTAGGCTCTGGTCTCTATTTACCTGGATTGAGTATACTGACCAAGAACACCCCAGAGGGGCAGTGGCTGAGGCGGGAAGACCAAGCTAGTGAACGAGGCCATGGACCTAGTCCCAGGCAGCAGTGCGGGGCGAGAGGTGGCTGGGTCCTGAGGTGTGTCAAAGGCCAAGCCATCAGATCGGATGTAAAGAGTGGAAGGAGAAGTCGGAGCTAGCTTGAGGATCTGGGCCTGAGCGGGCATAAGGAAGGAGATGGCTGTCGTGGGATGGGTTGGGGTCCCTGAGCCTGTGCGATGGACTTGCCAATATGCGAGTAGAGATAGCAAGATGGCGATTTGATGTTGGAGTGTGCAATTCAGGGCAGAGATCCTGACGGAAGCTATCTCCACCAAGCTGTCAGCAAAATTTTAAGTCCACAATACTAAATGAGATCACAAAACAGTGAGTGGGAAGAGAAAAGGGCCAGCAAGCTACCGAGGCTCTGGACACCCTGTGGGCAAGACGCTGGGTAGACCAGGTCAATCAACAAACTCAAGATCAAAAACCCCAGAACAAACAACCAGTTTCTTCAACAAATGGATGAGAGAGAGAGAGAGAGAGAGAGAGAGAGAGAGAGAGAGAACCTATGAACTAAAAAAAAAAAATTAGGAGATAAATCAATTACTTGAATGGACTTAACTTGGATCCATTCAAATATGACATAAAAGTCTGAAACAAATGGGCCTGGACTGAATATTTGAAGACTTAAAGGAATTATTGATAATATTCTTAAATCTGATAATAGAACTGAGGTTATAAATTTAAGAGAGCCCTTCTTGTTTAAAGGAGGGGTCAGCAAAGCAGGATGTGGTAGCCATACCTGTAATCCCAGCTACAGGCTGGCTGAGGCAGGAGAATTGCAGCCCAAGACCAGCCCAGCAAAAAGTGCCAGCTCAAAACCCTACCTGAAAATAAGCTGACACAAAACAGGGCTGGGGGAGTAGCAGAGCACCTTCCTAGCAAGTGCAAGGCCCTGAGTTCAAACCCCACTGCTAAAAGAAAAAAACAAAAACAAAAGGAGGTGTCAGCAAACCACAGTCCCGGCCAAGTTCAAATGCGTGCCTGATTTGTGTCACTCACTGGCTACAACGGTGTGGTAAAACTGTATCAATGCCCCAAAGGCCCGTGGGTTACGACTTGGTCCCTGGGGTGGCCCTCTGAGGAGATGGCAGGACCTTTGGACGTGGGGCAGTGGGAGGCCCTCAGGCATTGAGGCTGCCCTCGAAGCAGATCGTGTCTGCCCTTTCCTTTCTATTCCGCTTCCTGGCTGGTGAGGCAAGCCGTTTGCTTCCCAGAGCACTCCTGCCATGACGTGCTGCCTCACCACAGGCCCAAAGCCACAGGGCTAGAACCTCCCCACCTCAAGCCACCACGCATCTTCCTTCTTTATAAGTCAATGGTCTCAGGGTTTTGTTTTATTGAATGAAAGCTGACAACACAAATGGTTTTTACCTTGTTTAAATGGTTAAAAATCAAAAGGCTGATATTTCTTAACAACATGAACAGCGGAGATGAAATTTGAATTGTAGTGTCCACAAAGTTTCACTGGAGCACACCGATGCCCATTCATTTGGTGTCGTCTGTAGTGGCTCTCATGCCACAGCAGCAAACCAGGTAGGTGGTGGTGACAGACATTGTACATCCCAGAATGTCTAAACCCACAACACTGGATACCCAGTGACCTGAGGACCTCCCACCAGGCGCCACGTATGTAAAATTCCACAACTCCCAGTCGGGCCCTCCTGGGGTCCACACAGGACATTCGACATCCCACTAAAAGTGTTTACTATCAGATCCTTTACAGAATAAAACCTATCAGGTTGGGTGTTGCAGTGCACACCTGTAATCCCAGCAATCGGGAGACTGAGGCAGGAGGATGGGGAGTTCCAGGCCAGCCTGGAATATACATTGAAACCTAGTCTCAAAGAGAAAAAAAAAGCCTAACTCTTCTTTTAGACTTGGATAGTTCAGATGTGACCTTGCGATTGCCTCCAAAATAATACTGGAGGGAGGAAACGGGATGGAGGGGGCGCAGATGACACAAAGTCACGCCAGGGCTTGACAACGATTGAAGGTGGAGGGCGGGCACGTGGGTGTTCACACGGTTATGCACTGCATATCAATGACAGACTGCACGTGGGACAACAGTCCCAAACGACTGTAACAGCTGAGAAATTCCCATCACCTAGGGATGTGTGTGTGTGTGTGTGTGTGTGTGTGTGTGTGTGTGAGAGAGAGAGAGAGAGAGTGCGAGAGAGCGAGTGTAACAGTGAGAGTGTGAGAGTGACAGTGTGTGTGTGCGAGTGTGAGAGTGTGACAGTGGAAGTGTGAGGGTATGACTGTGAGTGTGACAGTGAGTGACAGTGTGACAGTGTGAGCGTGCGTGGCGACGCTGGCCTAAACACCCCCCTGCTGCGTGCCGCATAGAAGCACCCACGTGTGATCGCGCACGGCCGCACACTAGGTAATGGAGTGCGGCTCGGTTACTGGGGCCGCGTTTTGCACACGACACTTTCCAGGTCGCAGGCCCTCCAAACCCACAACGCTCGCGCGGCGGCCAGCGCTGCGGCTTGCGGACTGCGAGTGTTGGTGGCGGCTGCGCGCTCGGCGCGTGTCCCCGCGTGCCCGCGGCTGGCACGGGGCTGAGCGCGCGGGACGCCAGGCTCTCGGACCTTGTCCCTGGCGTCAGGCGGGGCCGGGCTTGGGCGCTGGGGATGGAACGGGGCCCGCGCACGCCAGCCGAGCGCACCGCTGGGCCGCAGCCTTAGCGCTGGACTTGTCCTCTGCCACGGCAGCTTTTAAAGGGGACAGGAAAATGACTGACACTTTTTAATTAAACAGAGTTGGAAAGGTGAGGAGGAAGTAGGAAAGGGAAATGAGAGAGTGGTCGGAGCGCCCAGGAGAAGCCAGGCGGGCGTGCTGTCCCTGAGGGCAAGGCGAGGAACACGCACAGCGGCTGGGGACAGCATCGGCCCCGCGGCCGCGGCCAGCGCCCTCTGTCGGCGCCACGAGGAAGTCGCGGCGCTCGCGCGGCCCCTGCGCCCGCAGCACGCACGCACCGGGTCCGCATGACCTCCCAGGGTTGCTTTGGTTTCGCCTCACTCTGGTGGAAATGGATTATTTCACCCCGCAGGGACCCTCCACAGCCAGCCCTGAAGCAGCTATGCTCATGTCGCTGCCCAGGGCGAAAAGAGACAAAGAAACTCCTGGAAGCTCCAGACATGGAAGCCAGTGCGTTCCTGCGGGTTTGATTCCAGAACACCACGTGGGCTGGGGTCTTTGGCTTGGGGAACATTTGGCTGTCTTCCTCCCTTCCCTTTGGTCAGCTGCCCTGGGCAGTGGTCTGTCACTCCTCCCGTTTCCCAGACAATGAGGCTGCTTGTGCTCAAGGCTGCCACCTCCCTGTGACCTCCGCGGGGGTTTACGATTACTGAAACAAACCCGCTTTCTGCTGCAGAATGGACGAAGGTCCAGTGAAAGCCCAGCCATCGCCAGGTGGGGATTTTGTTTTAACTAAAAGGTCTCTGGGTTAATCTCTTTTAGGACAGGAGCCAAAAGGACTGAAAGAACAGAGCAGGGCAATGGTGATTTGAGGGGGGATAGCTTTGTCCAGGCCCCCAGACCGCCTCTCCCCCAAACCCCCACCTAGGCGGAAATCAGACTGGCAAGGATTCCTTCGATAGGACCAAAAACGAGAACTGCAACAATAATCACTGACCTCAGAACAGGATGTCCCCAGAAACCGTGAGAGTTTGGATGGGGAAGTGACCGGCTGTCCCCACTGCCTGGGACCGAGGGGTTTCCAGGATATGGGACTTTCAGTTTTAAAACCTGAAAGTCACATGCAAACCGGGCCACATTTATCAGCCTATGCTCAGACATCTCTTCTTCTATGAAACTTGCAAGCTACCAGGAGGTCCCCTAACGCTGGATCATTCCATCCCTGATTCAAACCAAGTCGGTTCCATGGGACTCAGTCTGCAGAGCAGCGTCTTTTAATGTCTGCATCATGAGCACACACATGCATGCAGACTGGGAGAGTTTCCATCCCCAAAAATACCACTTAATGGGTGTTAATGCAAAACAGGCAAACATGGCTGGCTTGTAGAAGGTCAGCCTGATTCAACTGGATTTTATTTTAAATGCTTGGTGTTGGAACCACCTTGCTCCGGGATTCAGAAGTCCAGGGTTGGCAGCTTTGTGGAGGAGAGGGAGAGGGGCCTGAGTGCTTGTCCCAGCTCTGCCTAACACTGAGACTCTCAGCACAGTTGTTCCTGACCTTTCTCAGCCTCCAGAGAGCAGAAATTTCGGATTCCATGATGAAAGGAAGGAGGGAGAGGAAGAAATGGTCTCCCTGAACCTCCTCCGTGTGCAGGTGTCATGGCCTGTGGTTGAGTCTCTCCACCAGCCCTGAGGTTTACTCTGCTGCACTGCACAGATGAGTTCAGCGGGCACGGAAAGGTCACACGCACGCAAAGGGCAGGGTCCCTAGAATCCATGGGCTGTCATGATTACCACATGCGCGAGGCCGCTTAGTGAGAGGTCACGTGCATGGCGCTTGGCATGTATGGTCTTTCATTCCTGCAGAATCTTTGAAGCAAATAGTACTGATTTCATAGATGCAGAAACATTTCTAAGAGGTCAAATGACCTCCCCAGGCAGAGCTAAAGGATTCCAAGTGCTTGCCAGCTTTGTTCTCCAGTCTCTCTGCAAAACAACCCTGAACAAAAACTCCAGGTGGCTGGGGCCACCCAGGAGCAGGAGCACCAGCTTCCCTTAGTACTGTGTGTCACCGGGACAACTCCCTAACCTCTCTGGGCTTTCTTTCCCTCCTCTACACAATGGGGATTAGCAGTAGTGCCCCTCCACAAAGCCTGTGTAAATATTTTTAAGTTGATAAATCTATCCCGAGCGCTCAGAGCTGCACACTTTTCCGGCGTTTTCACATTTCCTCCTCGAATTATTCTTTCCTTACAGGTAAAACAGGTGAGAAAGTATCCCATCCCTGGCACTGAGAAGGCCATGAACAGTAGCTACTATGGATGCGGTGACTTTGGTAGCTACCCGTGAAGCTATGGTCGTCACTCTTGTCATCACTGGTTTGGGTCCCTTTCCTCCAAGTTTCACCTCCATATGCAGCCCCCAGCCCAGGAGCCCTCAGTGCCTCTGTACCTACACTTTGCCTACCCTCCTCCTGTCTCTGCCACCCACCCCGCACCTATGTGCCCCCGGAGACCCGCGACCCCAGCACCCGAGCTGCAACCCCGAATCCTCAGGCCTTGCCCGGGAGGGCCCTCACCTGCGGGCTCTTCACCTGCGGGGTCCTCGCCTGCGGGGTCTTCACCTGCAGGATCCTCACCTGCGGGGACTTCACCTGCGGGGACTTCACCTGCGAGGTCTTCACCTGCGGGGTCCTCACCTGCGGGGACTTCACCTGCAGGGTCCCCACTAGCGGTGCTGGCCTGGCAGCACCGAGTCCGCGGCGGGGCCGCTCCGAGCTGGGCTGCAGCCCGGCTCCTCCTCCCACCGGCCCCCTGGGACCCCTCCAGCCGGGTCTGCACGCTCTACGGAACAGCACAGAAGAAAGGCAGCCAGTCACAACTCAGGGGCTCATTTGGGGCTGGAATATACTTCTGTAAATGCCACAGTGTACCCCCAGCACAATTCAAATAAATAAATAAATAAATGGCTAGGCCATTAAAGCGTTGCAGCCACTGGAGGCGCTCAATGGTTAGGGTTGGGGAGGTGTGGTCATTGTAAGGGACTGTCCTGTAAGAATCCCTGCCTTTTACAACTATAGATGTACAAAAACTAGAGGTATAGAACTGAAGTGACACAATGTCTGGGCTGTGCTTGGGAACAGCCATCCCAGAGAGGGGGGTGCGGGAGAAACACGCTGAGAATTGCTAAAGCTGTGTGGGGAGAATCCCTTTATTACCTTTGTTTTCTTGAGTTTTTAAATTTTTTTCCTTCAATGTGCTTGGAATATTCGGTAATAAAAAAATATTTTCACCCCAGGCTGGTGGTGCCTGTCTGTAATCCCAGCACTCGCGATATGGACAAAGGAGGACCCTGCTGCAATAGTGAACCCATTATCTTAAGAGTTAAGACCACACACCATGGAGTGGAGCGCCTGCCAGCTACATATAACACTTCCAATCCGGATTACACATTTATTAAAATGGTCATTGAGAGCCGGGGGTGTAGCTCAATGGCAAAGCATGTGTGAGGCCACAGCACCAAAACTAAACAAATAAATAAATAAGGAAAATAAAGAAAAGGTCATGAAACAAAGACCATATAGTAAGAAACACAAGGAAGTGACTTTATATCCAAAAAGAAAAAGAGAGACAAATGTTAATGCATATGTATGAGCTTTTATTAAAACAGGAAGGAGGGAATGGAGGAAGGGTTCAAATAGTAGAATGTGAAGTCCTGAGTTCGAACCCCACCACTTCCCCCCTAAAAAAAAGCCCCAGGAAGGAAATGCATTAAAATAATTGGTTTGCAGGGTGAGATTATATATAATTGGTTTGCATCTTACCTCCTAGAAATACAGTCGTGGCCCCTAAAGGTTTTCGTGCAGTCCTTTCTGATTAATGAGACAGTCGAGCCCTGAAGTTTTCACAGTAATTGTTGAAATGCCTAATGCCGACATTAGTTTCTTGGTGCCAAAATTAAACAGTCCCTCCAGGAATGACCAGCTGGAGTGTTCTGCTGCTCATCTGATAGTTAGGCAATACTGGTCGTCTAGCATCCTCAAAGACATCCTCATTCCCAGCCCTACCTAGTTAGGGATGGGACATGTCCTTCCATCCCAGAGAGCCTGTCAGTCTTACACAATTCCTGCTGGAAAATTAAAGTATCTTCATTTTTACGTATTTTCCTATTTAAAAACTTATCAATGTGTGTATATATACATTCAGTGGAAAAATTCTGTAAGAGCATATACCAAATGTCAGTAGTGGTACTCTCAGAGTTACGAGATAGGTCAAGATAATTTTCATTTCCTTCTCTTCGTCTGCCTGTATTTTCTACTTTTTCTATAATAAACATGCTATTTGTAATGCAAAACCCAGCAGGGCTTCATGATCAGTCATAGCCACCTTATCAGTCATGAAAATAATTGGCCAGGTGCAGTGGCTCCTGCCTGTAATCCCAGCCATTCCGGAGGTGGAGATAGGAGGATTGCAGCTCAAGGTCAGCCAAGGCAAAAAAAAGTTATTGAGACTCTTAAAAACAAAATGAGTGTGGTGGTACATACCTGCAATCTCAGCTACTCAGGAGGCAGAGGCAGGAGGGTGGTGGTCTGAGGATGGCCCTGGGCAGAAGCATGACACCCTATCTGAAAAATAAACTAAAGCAAAAAGGGCTGGAGGCATGGCTCAAGTAGTAGAGCGCTAAGCACAAGGCCCTGAGTTCCAACTCAAGTCCCATCAAAAAATAAAAATAAAAAAACAATAATTAAAACAAGGTGGCTAAATGGATTGCTGGAAAACCAAAATGTTTCATTCAGCTGAGCATAAAGAGGACTGCTAATGTGACCTCAGCCATTTCAACTCTACTACTGGAAAACTGCTGAGGGTCAAGGGCATTAAAACCCAATATTCTAGCCTGGTACAGGGACGCACACGGATAGTCACAGCTACTTAGAAGGCTGAGGTAGGAGTGACACTAATTTGAGACTCTGTTATTGAAAAATAAATAAGCAAACAGTCTGTGCTGTGTCCCGCACAGGATATTAATTAAAAAAGCAGCATTTAGGCATTCTATCTGTCATTATTTCCCAGTGGGGGAAAATCTTGTCATTTTACATGTATTGAATGTAACTTTAAAATGACTTTTTAAATACTATTTAATTCACATGAATACCAGCACATTGACTCAAAAACCCAGGGGAGTCTTTAGTTCTAGTTATGAAAGAATATTCTTACAGTTCTCCAAAGTATGAAATTTCGTAGAAAAAAGTATTTTGTTGTCAGTGATGTCAATGTAGATAGCTAGCTACAAAGCACATTTGGCCAGCAAACGAAACCAAACACTGTACAAACTATTATGAAAACAAAGGCTGACGACCACTAGGGAAATGCAAATGAAAATCCCACTGGATGGCCGCTATGAAGCAACAGAAGCTAGGCACTGGTGAGGAGGTGGAGAATTGGAGCGCCTGTGCACTGTGGGCAGGGATGTAAAATGGTGCTGTTATGGTGGAAAACAGCATGGTGGTTCCTCAAAGAAATTAAAAATAGGATTACCATGTGATCCAGCGGTTTCCCTTTGGGGTGTGCACCCAAAAGAAGTGAAAGTAGTCTCAAAGAAATGTTTGTACTCTCATGATCACAGCAGTGTTTTTTCTTGACAGGGCTGAGGTTTGAACCCAAGGTGTTGTACTTGCTAGGGGGACACCCTAGTACTTGAGTCATTCCCCCAGTACAGCAGCATCATTCAGAATAGCTGAAACATGGAAGCAATTTAAGTGTTGATTGGTGGATTGATGGGTAAGCAACACAGTATTCCTTTAAATATTCCTTTTTTTAAAGGAATATTTAAATATTCCTTTAAAAGGAAATTCTGACATGCTATAACATGGATGAGACTTGAGGACATTATGCTAAGTGAAAGAGGCCAGTCACAGAGACAAATACTGTCCGATTCCACTTACACGAGCACCTTGAGCAATGAAATGGAAAGTGGGGGACTGGGGCTGGGGGGAATAGAGTTGTTGTTTAACAGGTGCAGGCTCAGTTTTGCAAGATGAAAAGAATTCTGCCAATGCATGGTGGTAATGGCTGCACAATATGAATGTATTTAATATCTCTGAAAAAGGTTTGGTTTATTTCAGCATATTTTACTACAATGAAAAAATTGGAAAAATAAATGAGGCCACCCTGTAGCTTAGCTACTAGCCCCTCACCCACTGATTACAAACAGGCAGGCTGCTGAATCTCCTATTGCTGTGCTAGTCCCTTAATGTCTGGCTATACTTTTTTCATTTGCTCCTTAGCATGGGTACCATGTGAACTTCCTCCACTATTCTGTAGCTTTGATAAGTGGGTTGTTAAGTTTGTGACCTGATTGTTTCCAACCAACAAGGAACCCCGTTTTGTGCTCCAGATACTCCCAGGCCACCCTGGTTAGTACTCTGTCTTCCAGCTGTAACACAGATGTGTGGGATGCTAGGTAATTTGGGGGGACTTAGGTATTGACACAAACATGATAGGTCACTGTAGCCACTGACGCTGACGGATATGCTATCGCTAGAGAAAAGAAATGCCTAGCAATAATCAAATGATGGAAGCAATTGATGAAAACATCTTGCTTCATTACCAAGCTATTGATCCCATACTCAGAACAAAGTGAAAAGAAACTTTACACAGAAAGACCTAAGTTTACCCCCACCCCAGCTGGTTTTCTGTTACAAGGTTGGCAGTGGCTCAAGCAGGATGGTAGGAGCTGTGGCAGCAGTTATAACTGCCTCATTCAAAGGAGAAGTGACTGCGGGGCACAGTATCTTCTTTCCCACGTGGCCTTCTCTGAGCCCAGCAGGCTCAGCACTCAAGGGACTTAGAATGCAGGTGCAAGGAGCCAAGAATGCCAGGTGCAGCTTCAATTTCCTTTCTCCACTGACCTTGAAGATTCATTGCTTAGCTGGCTTTGACCACTGGTGGAGCTCTTCTTAGTTTCTCTAGCACAACCTTAACTTGATATGAAGCACTTTACATGAGGAATGGTGCACACAAGGCAGCTTTATTGTACTTGGGGAAAAAACCATGATTCCATTGGAGGGGTGGGGAGACACTGACACTCAGTAAGCAACACTGCCATCTAGCGGAATTGTGCCACACCACCAAGATCAGATAGAAAATGTGAGTGCATTTGCTGGTTTCAATGCCACAAAATGGCATTTTTAATAAATCGGTCTTCAGAGAACCTCAGATTTTGAAAAGCTGTTTATTTTTTAAGTGTAGGTGCTTTCTCTGCCTTTTTTGGGTTAAGAGTGAGCTGTGTTTTAGTAGACCATCAAATTAATTCTCAACTTGAAAGTTATGACACTGGGGCAACCTGCCTATTTGAACATCCATCATTTGACAGTCTTAAACAGCAACCCTGATTATGACAGTTTATAAAGAAGAAAATCTCCACCATACAAGAACTACACTCAGTTTACTCAGTTTTACCATTTAGGGTGATAAGCATTTCATTTGAATTTCTGAGAAAAATTATTAGAACACACCGATAACAACTTTGCATAAACCACATAACCCAACGCTTCCTATGACTACACAGTAATAGTGGAAGATACTGGCATGAGGACATGGGACTCCTGCTCCTGTTGAGTAATAAACAAATTCTTCTCAAGTCTTAACTCTCCTTTACGTGGCAAGTGTGCCAGTAAATGTGTCAAGTTGATGACTTCCATGAGTTTATAAATGAGAACACTAAATGCAACACCTGGATAAAAAAATAAACTTATGAGAGTAACATACTGTTCATCCCCACAATCTCAGATTACCATCTGTTATTACGGAGGTTTGGGTTCTGGGTCAAGCACTCTGCTTTTTTGGAATATCCACAGTGGTTTCTGATCTTGCTAATGAGTTCTGCACTGCAACATAGCTAAGCTTAGGATCAGAGGCCCTCATGAATTCTAGAATGCATGTCTGACATGGTCTTCAGCAACCACATTCTTGGCAAATATTACACTCAGTGAAGGATTTCGGATGAGCCCAGTTCTGAGGAACGGGTATGTAAGTATAGAGTAGGAATTGCATTAGACATTTTAGGGTGCAGTCTATCAGTAAATACAACAGGATGTTTCGATTCTGAGAACCTGAGATTGTCCAGAAAAAGTTTTGAGTGTAGAGTGCAAGACAGCAGAAGGTCAGAGGAGGTGTTGTGCACTTCTCGAAGCAATACTGACTGGGGACTCAGGGTGCTCCCTCACGCACTATGTCTGAATAGGCGTTCGTGTTAGGGGTATGGAGACCATCTGATGTCCCCCGCAGTCTGCATTCTCCACCTCCCTCAGCCTGAAGCCTTCTTCAACACACAGAAAGCGTCCCATCTTTCCATAATACCACTACCTGGGCACTCCCAAAACCAAAGCAATGACAAGTGCTCGGGGGCCTGACAGTAATTCAAATGTGATGCCAGGGTCATCTCCAAAAAAGTTTATTAGCATGATTAAAAACATTGTCTTGAACAGTAACAGGAAGTTTCTAAGAGGAAAGAGAATCAGTGGCTAGGCCTTATAACCAATATTTGGAACTAAATAGACAGCTTTATTGCCAGTCTTCATTTTATTAAAAACGGTCCATTTATTGGTTCCATGGATTCATGACTATTGCTTTGTCTGGGAATGAGTCCCCACAGCAAATGTATAAAAAATATCTTCCAACACAAGTGGAGTGTGACCTGCACTGGACTGTCACCCTAAGTGAGTAAAGGGTTGATAAAAATCCACAGAGAGCTGGGGTTCTGTTTTTTTAAAAACATTCCTTTTACACACTACAAAGAAATAATTAGTATTTTGGCTTTTTAAATTCCTACATGATATTTAGAATGGCAGTCCCCACAGTCTTCCATCACTAACCATGCGCGCAGACCCTCTTCTGGAGGGTAGATTGTGGGGGCAGACTCTGAAGACTTCGGCCTCTACATGTTTATACTGGTTTGAGAACAAAGACAGCATCATCCAGAACATAGTAGTCATTGTACATGTCGCCTTCACACAGGTATGGCAGTCTGGTGAAAGCTTCGATGACAAAACCAGCTTTTCTGAACACTTCAGGCAGGCTATTCACTTGTTCTTCCCAATTCTGTCCCTTGATTTCCAAAATTTCTGATGGTTTCTCCCACTTGCCACCTACTAAAACAAATAAAGACATTAAGTTAAATTCTTGAACAAATTACTTAAAAAGGGAAGTGGCGGGGTGGGGGGTGGGGAATAGGACTGGCATGTTCTAGGCATGAGCAGCCCTGTGACTGTGTCTCTCTCCCAGTTCTGGGCACCCTTGGGCAGGCAGGCAGGCTCAGAGGATGAGGTCAATGGCATCCAAGCAGAAAGGCAGCCCCAGCGTGGTGTGCATGCACAGCTCCCCCAACCATCTTCCAAAAGACCTGTAGGCAGTGCCCCCGTCAGACCAAGAGTTTGTAATGTTTAGTGGGTTTGGAAAGCTGGTCAGTAAATACTGGAATACTGAGTCATACTTAACAAAGGAATTTGCACAAATGCAAGAAAACATCACTGACGTGATAAACTTACACAACTTATTACCTAGAGAGTGTTATCAGGCTGAAAATGAAAATAGGCTCATGAAGTGGTTTAATTTATAAAAGACAGATCACCAGTGTGCTTTTCAAGAGAAGATGGCCCAATTCCCCAACTTTTCAGAACAAATTCATAAAAACTAAGCTCCAAGACCAGAGAGAAGTAGAACACCAGAATGGGGGACCACTTAGCATTTCCTGGAACAGTAACTAAAATCTGTCAAGCATCTGTGAGCATCAGGTGCTCGGGGAATGGGGAACCAGGCAATACAACATGCACTGACAAAGATGACAGTATATTTAAATGTGGGGCACTGTGGTTATGTAAAGAATACACAACTTGAGTGTGTTACTAAATGCCCACCAAGACTAACTTTCTGATAAGGAGACCTTGCACCATCGGCAGCACAAGTACAAAGGTACCCACTGCTCTCTCCCTGAACCTGAGGAGCCCCTCTAGACATTCTAGGAGGCAGGCAGCAGCTTTCACATCTTCCTGCAGTGGAGACAATGGCATGTCACTGAGACTCAGACGCATGTGCCCAACACCTGGATGGCATTAAGAGCTGGTGACCAAAGAAGTGGGATAGGAGGCTGATTTTCCAGGGCAGGGCAGTGGCAGTGAGAGTGAGTAGCCAAGGCTGTAGCCAAATGCTGCTGATGACAGTTTATGGCACCTAGTGCTTGGTGGCAGCAGGGCATACTTCAGGCCATATTCGGAAGGACAGCGCATTCTTCCCAGGTGTGGGCCCCACACGATTCCCAGGCCCATCATTAAGCCTCCCTTGGCTGAGGTCAGCCTGAGTCACTTCCTGCTGCCTACAAAGAACCTGACTGACAGTGCCCATGTGGGGAGAAGGGGTAGTGAGGACTCAGAGCAGAGGCCACACATTTAACACAGTAAAAAGGTTGTTGAGTTCAAAACTGTTAACAGTCAGCCTACTTCTTCCCTGCATGAGGACGTGTGGCTTACTAGTTCTCTCGGCCCTACAGGAAGGGGCTTCCTTCTGCTGCTCCTCCAGGCCCAGTACTGGCTCTGAGCTGGACACAGTCAGACCCAAACAGCAACTGGCCACCTGTCACACAGCACTCCATCCTGGGAATACACGCTTGGCGTCAAGCAGAGTCACAAAGAACACATAACCCCTGTGAAGACTGGTGAACCTCTGGAAAATACATGCATATTTAAAAACACGTTCTAGGCTGAAACCTCCACTTAAAATGGTGAAACTGTGTTACAAACCATTTTTACACAATTTCAAAAAGTTCCCGATTATGGTTCCTTAATAGGAGTTCCTCTCTTTGGTTCTTCCTTTCTAAAAAAAGAAAGGAGGAAAAAAGGCCAACTCTCCTTTCAAATACACCCCAGCACACACAGAGAAATGGACACAGCAAACAGAGGCAAGGTCAGTCTTCGTCTGGAAATCGGTCTGATTCTATTTTATGTCGGTAAGGTTTTGTTTTGTTTCACTTTTCCCCTACCTCCATTTTCTCTAATTGCTATTTCTTGCATAATACATTTATATTTTAAGCTCCTACAGAATAATTTTAAATGTGCAACATTACAGAAATTGTTTAAGGTGATAAGTTTCCTTTTCCCTAGAGAACCAGGTACTAACGAATAGCTAAGGGACAGTTCCACAGTGACCTTGACAACTCCCTTGGTCATGACACTGCTTTAAAGAACACCTCAGCAAACACAGCGGAAAATACTCCTCACATCACATGTGCTAGTCACTAGCGATTTCATTCCCATACAGCAAACTGGCTCTGCTCAGTGCACACTGAACACAATTTGCTGAGTATTTTCAAATGATGTTTCTTAAAAGCTGGATTTCTGTAAATCAAAAGTATTTATCATGAGAAAAATGCTATGGCTTCTTCCAGAGGGAGTACCCATCCCATAAGATAGCTATTTTTAAAATTCTGCCTATGAATTGAAGGGTTTTTTTCCTATGAACGTGTTTCTTACATCATATTTCTAATAATCTCAGATTTGCCCACAAAATTTGGATTATAGGGCAAGAAAGGAGGCAAAAATCTTAAAATTAGTTTTTTCTCATTTGTAAAGAAATATACCAAAGTGTTAACAGTGTTTATTTTGGGCAAAAGAACTATGATGACTTCTTGCAATACTCTGTTTTTCTAGTAAGTACGTATTACTTTTATACACTTTTAAAGAAGAACTCTTGTCTCTCAGAGACATACTCTGAAAGATGCAGGTAGAAGGTCTGGGCTTTGCCCCACAACAACATGGGGAGGAGGGGAAGGAGGCAGGGATGACACAAGACGGCTGGAGCCAGCGATGGCAGGGCCACAGTTCTGGGCCACTACTTCTGCAGATGTTTGAAATTTTCTATAATAATAAACTTTTTAAATGCCAAAGCTTAGTTTTCTACTGATTTTCTAACTTGGTTTCTATAAAACAGTAAGATGACTTTTTATTGCCTCCTCCAAAATAAACTTGCAGTATTTCTGAAGGATATTCTGATAAGAAAAGCACCCTAGAAAAGAACAGAAGAATTCTTAATTAAAGAGGAAATTGGCAGACTGTGCCAAGACATCATCCACACTTCTCATTTTTGCTTACTATGTGGCTGAATGAGTGGGGGAGGGCAGAGCGGTTCCTCACCAGCCAGGGCTCTCTTGGGTTGCTCCCACCCTGAGATAGCAGAGACAGGACACTCTCAAGTTCCCATATTTATCCTACCCTGGGCTATCAGATCTTAAAGGAAAATGTTACAGGTCAGCTTCACTTTTAAAAACTGTCTAAAAGACAGTTTGAGATGGAGGCACTGGTCTACTTTGCTAGATGTGCAGAACCAACTCCATTTCCTACATCCATATGCACAGAACATTACTGCCACATGTTCCTCTGGACTCCATGACACCTGGTCTGGGCAGGAGAGAGGCTGCCCAGCCTTTTGTTTGTTTATTTTTAGGTACTGGGGCTTGAACTCAAGGCCTATACCTCGAGCCACTCCACCAGCCCTTTTCAGTGATGGTGTTTTTCGAGATAGGATCTCATGAACTATTTGCCTGGGCTGGCTTTGAACCATGATCATCCTGATCTTTGCCTCTGGAGTAGCTAGGCTTACAGGCAAGAGGCTGTATTTAACAGACAAGAGGTACAGCCCCCTGGGCTCAGCTGAGGCTCCAGCACACACAGGCACTGAGAAGCCAGGTGCTCTTCCCAGGTGGCCTCCTCCTCCTCTCATCTGCTTTATGCTTATCAGGTCACTAGGAATCTCCCAACTCATCTAAAACCAGAGAAATTCTAAAATCAAAACATGAGAACAGACTTGCCTCATACTGCAATGATTCTAATTTTAATTTCTATTCTGATCTGGTTAAGAAAAAAAAAAAAAGCCCTGTGTGAAACTTAAACATCAGACCACTTGAGTTGTATTTAATTTCATCCACAGGAGCAAAGGACACACTCAGTTAATGAGACCATCCAGAAACACACCCAAGCAGAAGTTAGACTAAAACCCTGCATAAATTCCAACCTGCCTCAACCAATACTATGTTACATAGGGCCTCCCAAATGGGGCTACGGAAGACCTTCCCATTTCTAAGCACCTGAGTGGCTTTCCAGTGTCACATGCCAGGTCTTAGAAGGTCAAGGTAGGGACCCAAGCTCCAAGCAGCACCATACAGTGGAGAAAGAGAGCACTGGACAGGGCATCTAGGCCTGGCTCTGGGAACACCTTGTGAACAGTTATCTACAATTATCTCTAAAATGGGTACATGGCACTCTGAGTACAGTGGTGGTGGGAGGCAGCAGAAACAGCTGCCTTTTATTATATGTCTGGTGGCTTAGGCAAGTAAATACTCCTTAGGCATCATCACACTTAAAACTTCACATGAACTGCAAGAGGTCAGTAACACTGTCCCCACTGATAAGAAACCCCACATAGAGATCAGACAGCAAGAATTGCAGAGCTGGGATTTGAACACGAGTCTCTGTTCGCTTCCTTATCACAATACTGTTAGTCACATGAGGTAACTGCTACAAGGGACTACAGAACCAGGTACAAGTGGCAGAGAGAAACCAAATCTGCTTAGTTAGCCACAGTATGGTAGTATGCCAGGCCTGGTCTGTGCTCAGTAGCCAAGGACCCCACAGGCCATGGCTGTACCTCTACAGGTGTACGTCCTGCCTGTTATGTTTCCCAAGTACACACAAGGTTCACAAAGGACCCACTGTGAACTGCCATGAATTCCCATCAGTCCCAGCCCCCACAGGGTAAAAGGTGCTCCTAAGCCTGTACTCCATGCATGGCAGCAGGGAACATGCTCCTGTGGGCAAGGATCCAGAAAAGGAAACAGGCTCTGGAGGTCCCATGGTCTCCTAAGACCACTGGGAAGCTTGTGAGTGGCAAAGAGTATGGAGAACCCCAAACTTGTGACTCCAGACACACCACTCCAGGGCTAACCATGCTGACCCCACAGACCTTCAGTGCATCAGGGAGTTAGGATAAGTGAGGATCTCTGGGGTCTGTTTTTAATAGACTGTCTGGGTTGGGGGTAAGGTAAGAATAAGAAAGGAACGGCGGCTGGGTTTCCTAGCCCAAAACATCATAGAAAAATGCACAAGTAAGAGGCCTGCTCCACTCTCATCTGCTTCCTCTCACAGGTGCTGCGGGAGCCTGCACTGTCTCTGTTGTGCAGCCAGGTTACCTGGAGGTGGACTCCACTCACAAGACCGTCACCATAGAGTGCACCTTCTCTATGACCAAATGTCCTTCAGAGCAGCCAAGGAGCCTGTGGTTTCGCTATGGCGCTCACCAGCCTGAGATTCTGTGTGTGGATGAATGCAAACAGAAGGAACACAAATTCACAGTGGAGAAAGCCCTGGCCCGGAACCAAGTTTCTCTCACTGTCAACAGGGTGACTTTAAATGACAGTGCAATTTACATCTGTGGAATAGCATTTCCCAGTGCTAAGCAAACCGGAGGCGGGACTACATTAGTGGTAAGAGGTCAGTCCATTAAGGCTTTAGTTTGGCACATCACTACATTTTCCTCAGACCTTTAAAATCATCATTTCTTGCATGCAGAAACCAGGAGATAAATGTGCTAGCTTCATCCCTAGCCAATGAAGGGCATGCTCTGAGCACAGGCCGCTATGAGGTTTTGATTCAAGAACTACTCCCACCCCATCGCCCAGCATCAACACACACACACAGTCAGTGGTGGGCCAGAGCCATGTTCATCTCCATCCCCAGGCTGATGGTCCATGTTCTTCCTTCTAGCATGCCACAGTGACTAGAGAGGACAAACCCCTCCTGGCAGGTGGCAAAAATTCCAAATGTGAGCATGGACTCAGCAGTTGTACCTTAGGACTTCATTAGGAAGAGCTCTTATCACAATAACGTGCCTGTCTTTTAAGCAAGAAGTGAGCAGTATCATTCTCAGTGGATGGCCTTCTCGGGTTTTCTACAGATGGCACTATTCCACTGTAACACTTCCAAGGCTGTAAGTGACACCACCAACAAATACACATGAAAGCATCTGAACTCCAAAGCAGACCTGATGATACTTGGACACCATTTCTAACAAAAGAAAACTTAAATGCCCTCAAACACACTGGCTTGAAAAGTTTAAATATTTTGGTTTTGTCATTTTGAGACAAGGTCTTGCTATGTAGTCCAAATTTAAGTAATACTTTATATAAAAAGCAATTCTTGGGCTAAGAGTGTAGCTCAAGTGATAGAGCATTTGCCTGGTAATCCCAGGACTGCAAAAAAAAAAAAGAAAAGAAAAGAAAAAAAGAGTGATTCTTAGCATTATGACAAATAGTAAACTGATTTTTTTTTTTACTTTTCATTGGTAACCATTTTGGTGCAATACATTTAAAGAACCAATGAACTGCTGTAGCTATCATATGCTTGAATGTTTTGTGACTCAAGAGACCCTAAGTAAATGTTGAGATGAAGGAGCAAGCAGAGGTGACACTTCAGTGTCATAGCTTCAGTGATACTTTACACATATATTTGCAAGAATATGCTTCAACAATGACTGTTTCTTTCTCCTTCCACAATTAAGAAAGTAAACTTCTCAGCAAGGAACTGCAGAGTCTCCTGATAGCGCTTATAGTGCTGCTCTCAATCTACATCACTGGGGTGTGTGTGATCCTCATAGTCCTCTTCAGAGTAAGTCAAATGTTTTTGCACTGGATCTTCCCACAGCCGTACTTATCCCAGGGAAAATCATTTCTACCACTCCACCAGCTTAGCCTCAGGAACAACTCATCCTAGGTCTGCAGGATTCACCACCTGCAGAGGAGGGCTGTAGAAGGCAGATTTTCATCACTGGAATCATTAACCAGAGTACATGATTTACAGTGTTTTCTTTTAAGAGCCCAGACAATGGAATTAAGAAATCACCTTCTACAATAGCATTCTGCTTGAGTGAGGAGTGGGGAGGAATGGCGGGGAGGAGCAGGGGAAGAGATGTGGTGCTATTATCTGGCAAGTCCTGAGAACAGTATTTAAGGGCAAAAAAGAGGTTAATGAAGAGATCAGAAGCTGCCTTAAAATATTCAAAAAATCTAAGGTTATCAAAAAAGAACTCATTTTGACTACATCTGTTAATAAGATGGGGTATGTTATTACTACATATCCTACAATAAACATTAGGTTGAGTTGTTACATTCATTTAATGAACTAAAAGCATCTCAGCAATGATACAAAAATTATTAACTTACTGTCTGTCATTTCAGTTTTTAATTTAATCTTACTATAGCAAGAGATACTTTTAACAATTGTCATGAGAGTATAAAGATGTTTACAGACTTTTCTTTTCTTCCTGGCAGTCAAAATCTAACCTCCTAAGAAACAAGGAAACAAAAGAAGACTCACAAAAGGTACTATCAACACTTATAAAATATTTTTCAATTATGAATAGTTAGAACTACTTTAAATCTGCACTATTTTAAGAAACAGACTGTAATTCTAGCTACTCAGGAGGCAGAGCCTGGGAGGCTGTTCAAAAAGTTCATGAGATCCCCATCTCAACCAATGACCAGACTTGGTGGCACGTGCCTGTCACCCCAAACTACACAGCAAAGCACAAACAGGAAGATCACAGTCCAGGCCAGCCCTGGCATAAACTATCCAACAATATATTTCAAAAACAGCCAACACAATAAGGGCTGGTGGGGTGGCTCAAGTGGTAAAGTGCCTACCTCACAAAAGCAAGGCTGTAAGAGAAAGAAAGACAGAAAAGAAAGGAAGGAAGGAAGAAGGGAAGGGGACCTGGTGAAATGCAGCAATCATTGCTTATGCTTAAAATAGATCTTTTCCTCATTTTATTTACAGAAGAAGAGTGCTCGACGCATTTTTCAGGAGATCGCTCAAGAACTATATCATAAGAGATATGTGGAAACAAACCAACAACCTGTAAGTGAAAGATATCAGAAAGAGGCAACAGGTATAAAGCATTCTTCAATGAAAAAAACTAAACTCCAATAAGCTGTCAATAACTGCATTCCTTTAGAAGAATCTGAAGAAAGACACCCATAAAAATGTGTTTTTATATAGAACCTATTTTGATAAATATATAACAAAGGACATTTGACACAATATTACATAACCCTATACTGGCATCTTAGTCACATGGAAACTTTCAGAAACACACTAGACATAGGCAATGCTTTTAATCAGACCAGGATGCCTTTGTGAACTAAAACGTAAATTGCTTCTCAATCTTTTGGCTGAGATCAAGTGTGAAAGTTACTTTACATAGCATGATGTATGCAGTAGTAGGCATTAAGTCAATGCTGCACACATCTGTGGATCAAATTATATTTAAAAATCACTTGTTACTGATAAGGCAAAAGTAAATTCACAATAGGAAAGATGTGTCTAGTGATATCAAAAATTATGGGCTAGAGGTGTGACTCAGATGGTACACCACCTGCCTAGCAAGTGTAAAGCACTGAGTTCAAACCCCAGTACCATCAAAAAAAAGAAAGGCGGAAAGGATGAGAAAAAAATTAGTATTTCTTAAACCTTTGGGGATGGAATGAGAGGAAGAGTATCTATGTATCACCTATAATGCATCTGCGAGTGATCCTTTAAACCCCTACGTAAACAGGATTTCCCAACAGGACATCACTTGAGAGCTAGTAGAATATCATGTTTCCATGTGCAGGGTCAGGCAGATCAGATTTAAATTACAGTGTGTCCAAGGCAGTGAACGGATATGCTACCAAAGACACTCCTCTCTTAAACAGCAGCCAAGAGGGCAAACAGACAGGTAGTGACTTATGAGGAGTGGCTTTAGGGGTTTCTATATTTTGTTCAGTTTGGGTTTTTGTTTTTGTTTTTGTTTTGAGGTGTGGATTTTCTTTTAATCCACCTTTTAAGACTTTTACCCACAAGAGAATACTGTCCAAGTAGTCATTTCATCCTTCAGCATATACACAAATATATAACGAGGATGGTCTAATTACCTGAGATAGCACTCTGAAGAATTGTAACTTCTGTGCACTTTTTTCTTACTGGGCCAGGGGCATCTTTTTCAACAATAAGGCAAAAGGAAGCAACCTGAAGGAAGAGCTGGCAGTGAGAACCATGAAGTCCTCAGCCAGAGTTTTAACAATGGCATCTAGAAAGAAAAGTAATCTTCAGTTTCCACGCCCTCCTTTAAAGAAAGGGAAAATGGTAACCTAATGACCAGAAAAGTGCTCAGAACGCAGACAGCAAGGTGTAGAGCCGCTTATGTGCTGTGTGGATGGCGTCACTGGTAACACAACCTTAAACATGGTCTATTTTTGCTATGACAGGAGAAGAACAACACTTATGAAAACAGAAGAGTACTTTCCAACTACGAAAGACCATAGACACACTGAATTTTCAATTCAGATGCTGAAAATCCAACTCCAGGACAACAGCCATGTGAATGTGCCTACACCAATCAGTTAAAAAAAAAAAAACAAACAGAAGAAAATGGAAGAGACAACTGGATGCACAGAAGGATGCCAGGGTACACAAAAACTGTAACTGATAATAATTACAAAAACTCAAAAACCCAAGAAAATGCAACTGAAAAATATGCTCTTAGTGTGTGGTAGCTATACCATGAAGGTCTGAAAGCAAACCACATATTCAATCTTGAGTGGAAGAAGTCTGTATGGGTTGTGGAAATGATAGGACAATTAGAATTGCTGGGAGGGAGAAAATATGAGAGAAATTCACTTTAAAAAGTATCTTGAAACAAAAGTTATTTCTGTAGTGCACATTCTTCCAACAGAGTATGAAAATAACTCACATCATGCCACCAACAAAAAGTGAGAATAGAATACAAGTATTAATGCCAAAATACAGAAAATCCACAGTAGGTTAAACAGAAACGCTCAGAACAAATAAGCCACAATGAACTCTAGATGTCAGTGTGTGCCAAACAACAGCACCCAGAGAGGCTAGGGCCACCTGTGGACTATACAGGAACCTTCACTGCCCTGGCTTTTAACCAGCTTCAAAGGGAGAATGTCAGCCAGGGGCCCAGTGCAGCAAAGATACTGATGGAATACATTACCATCTCACTAAGGAAATATGACTACTTACTGAAAACTTCCTATTAGGTATAAATAACTTCAAGTACCCACAAGTGTGCATTTATTAATAAAAATGAATTACAAGGTATTGTTCAGTTCAGGTGTTTCTTTAAATTAGTATTAAATGGGGCATATTCTTTTTAAAAACCAGATACAATTTTTAAATATTTTAAGATACCTTTTTTATACTGATGGCTCAAGGTAGAGATATCAAAACCATTCTAACACATGCCCAGAAGAGTGTAAAGGGAAGAGGAACAGCAACATCACTTGTCTTGTGTGTAGGTGTGCATGTGTGCATAAGTGTATACTGTATATGTAGGTGCTGTGCATAGCAAATGCATGTGTGTTCATGTGTACATATATTGTGTATCTTATACATAAAAACAAATAAACAATGGTATAAGCAGCAGTATAAATGGAAAATGCTAACATTTTTTTCCTATATTCCAAAATAAATCTTCTGTGTACTCTTGGAGGTGCACACTTTCACTCTGAGACCACGGGTTTAGGTAAAATAAATCAACTTCTGAAAACAGATGGCAAACAATAAGCACTAACTCCATCTAGATGAATAAAGTGTTAAGTTCAATCATTTACTTTTCATTTCTGGCAGTCATTACATTTTGGTACTTAATTCCAGAGTAAGTCTTTGTGTAACCAATCAGGAGACAAAATCTCTAAGATAAACTAGTATTAATTCTGAATGCGCCTTTCCCAAGGTAAGCAAGGACTGTGTTTCAAAGACTGATTCTTAAGCTGAAATTTAGAATTCACTTTTCCAAAGAAGAGTTCTCTGTTTCCCTAGGTCATATATAAGAGCTCCTGGTCTATATATACTATTAATTCTTTTATTCATCCATGTAGCCAACAATATTTTTTGAGTGCTATACTGTCAAAGCCTCCTTTGCACACTATCGTTGGGTCACAGTGAATCTGCCCTACCCCAACACCATTGAGTTTGCACCATCATACTTTTACATATATTCTTCCCCTCTCTGTGGCAAACACTTTGAAGGCTTCAAACACAGCTCAATAGCATGTGTGAGGCCCTAGCTTCAATCCTTAGCACCATAAAAACAAAACAAGAAAACAAAGCTCAATATCACCCACAACATAAAACCTTCCCAAACTCCAACAGTTAATGAATGTTTCCTTCTCTGATCCCACAGTACTCTGCCATATTTCTTTTTTTTACATAATCCTTTTTATTTTTATTTGTCTTTTATTTTCTCATGAACATTTATTATAAATTTTACCTGTAGAGTATTAAATTCATTTTTGTCATATTATTATTGTATTGGGGGTACATTGTGACATTTACAAAAGTGCTTACAATTTATCTTAGTTAAATTCACACCCTCCATCATTCTCCTTTACTCCCCTACCCCTATTCTTAGAATAGTTTCAACAGGTCTCATTTTTCCATTTTCATACATGAGTACACAATTATTTCCACCATATTCACCTCCTGCACCCTTTCCTTATATCCTCCATCCTCCCAGTGGTACCAATCCCCAGACAGGACCTGTTTCACCTTCCTGTCCTCCAGTTTTGAAAAAAGACATTTTTGTTTGTTTAAGATAACTATACAGGGAGTTTCATCATGACAGCTCCATGTATATATGTATTATAACCTGAAATGGTTCATCCCCTCCTTTTTTCTCCTTTCTACCTTAGTCCTCCTCTTATGGTGACTTCAACAGGTTTTAAAATGTCAAAAACTGACCTTCAACCTTGGCAGTATTGTACCCTCACTCCGTCTTAGCCTTGCAAGATTGCAGCTCCTGGTTTCCTCCTGTTTTACGGCCACTCCTCAACCTTTTATCAGGATTCTCTTCTTCTACCTTTCTTTAACTCCTAGGCATTGCCCAGAGAGTTCAATTTCAAATTCTCATTCCTCCATTTAGAAACTCCCATAGCATCAACTAACACCTCTAGATATGAGACTACTGAGTGCAGACAATCACAAATATGCAGCCACAGCAAAGGAAGAGTTTTCCTATGGAGAGCTGAGTTCTGTATTTTCCTTACTAATACATATCTATCTATAAAAGGCAGGTGTAGCCTTAGATATAATTTACAAAAGAACAAAAGGGTAACAGCTACCCTATTTAGTTAGGAGTCTGATGGTCTCTGTGGTTCTAAGAAGAGTTAGCAAAGAAGTTAGTATCTCTTTGCTGCTGCTGCTTTGTGAAGGCTCACAGTGCTCGGTCTACTAGAATTGTTTTCCAATACTACTGAAGTATATGAATCTACTTTATATTCTATTTGGTGACTTGTATCTCATTCTTATCTTAAAGAGCTATCAAAGGAAGATTTGCATAGTCAGATGGATTTAAAATTTGTATCAGAAAAATTATTACAGCTTCAGCCATTTGGTATGTGCAATCTTTGACTTAATAAAAATATTTTTAAATAAAATCAGATCATAATTGAATAACAAGCACTCCAAATCCTATGGGTCCTGGATAATATAAACAGTGAGTTAAAGTATTATTCCCAGCAAAAAAAAAAAAAAACGCTATATTCATTCTTGTATAGAAAGTACATCAACAATAGTCACCTTCTATGCTTCCTTCTTTTACCCTCCCCCCTCCCATTAGTGCCTTCATTGTTTAGAGGTCTGCTCATGGCCAGTAGGGTTTTTGCCTTGGTGTTACACCTGTACATGCACTCCCCCTCACTGAATTTCCTCACCTCATTTTTTCCCTGCCATATTTCTTACCACACTACCCTACCATTGCCTGTTATATCTAACTTCCGTACCATTCTGTGTTTTAAAGCTAGGAACACATTTCTCACTTATCTTGGATTTCCATTGCCTGGCACTACCCAATACATAGCAGGCCCTCAAATGCCTTCATATGAATGCAACTGCACAATGTCCCAATCGGCATCACAGAATTTTTACTGAGATGTGTGGCACACTTTACTCCCTCGCCATTCACTCTGGCCCCTCTCCATTTGATTATTCACTGACTCTCTAATGATATTAATTTTCTTGCTATCTAAGCATCCAGAAGAATTTTCATTGGAAATGATTCAATTACAGCTTTCTGTTAAGATTTGGGTTTTCCATGACAATGAAAATACTGAAACAACTTGTCTTAGGCAGTTTGGGCTAATATAACAAAATGCCCTAGAGTAGATGGCATATAAACAACAAAATGTATTTCTCAGACCTCTGGAGGCTGGAAGTGTGAAATCAGTGTGCCACGTGGTTAGGTTCTGGTGAGGAGCCTCCTCCAACTTTTCAGGTTTGAGCAGTGATACAAACCCTTACGTGGCACAGAGCAGACAGAAGGAAGGCCTCTGAGACCCCTAAGAAGGGCACTAATCCCACAAATGAGGACCTGCCCCATTGAACAACCTAATCCTCATTACCAGGCCCCCAAGTCCTAATGCCATCACAATGGAGAGAATGGCTTCAACATATGAGAGGGGAATGGATGGAGAGGTGCTCCAGTGTACACATATCCTACCAGATCTCTGAAACCTACACCAAAAGATTTTCAAGTTTAGCCATTTCTTTTTCATGCTGTTTAAGACTTGAGAGACTCTGAATGCCCAGCCTAATAGGCACACAGCTATGTTTCTGAAGAGCTAAGTCACATAAAACTGACAGACTGCACTTCAAGACAGTTAAAATGCAGAATGAAAACATCAAATTCTGGCTACTATTTTTAAGAGTTTTAAACAGACTAAAACATAGTGACAAATATTTTAATTTAAAGAACTGTGAAATCACAAATAATAACAGAGTAACAGGATAGAATAGAATGAAATATATCTAACATTTGTCAAATACCATTAACAAGACAGACATGGTTGGGCACTATTCTGTACATTACTTAATCCTCACAATAAACCTCAAGGTAGGTATCAGCACCTTCTTGCAGGTGAAGCACTAAGATTTATGAGAGGCCCAGCTAACTCATATTTCAAATTCAAAAGGCATCAGCCTTCACAGAACAAGCTCTGTCCACAGAACTCCTGCCAGGATCCTGCTTAATTCTACTTAAGACTGATGAGAGCTTTAAAAATAAGCCATATTTAACATAACCAGACCAGTGACCCTGGGAGAGATTAAGAAAGTTGCCCTACGGCTACACCTCCCCAAATGCCTAGGCCTAAAGGGATTCACAGGAGAACTGTCCCAAACTTCAAAGAACAGAACATACCACATAACACTTCCAATTATTTTTCACAAAGTCAGAACACTGATACCAACAAAACGAAGATAACACCCTTCCAAAACATAAATAAAGACCAGGCACAGCCTATCATTTATCATTAGTATTAATGCTTATATTATTTAGAATCTTTGTAAACGGAATCTAGCAGCACATTAAGAGAAGACAGTCCCATCCAGGTCCAGCTTGGAGAAGGGAGAAGATATTTGAAGAGTTTGTCAAATTCCATGATATAAATATTCCCAACAAATTATTTTGTATAAAAATTACAATTTTGGGTTGTCAGAGTGGTTCACATGGTAGAGCACAGGCCAAGCAGGCATGAGGCCCTGAGTTCAATCCCCAGTACCAGCAAAAAAAGAAAATTACCATTTTGAAAAATTGTCATAAAATTTTCACCTGTGTAACTTAATTCTCCCTTTCTTGATTACACTCCTTTCTTTTTTTTTGTTGCTTAAACAATTCTCATTAGTCTTAAAAATGCCTAACCAAGACTGGGTCAGTAAACCAAATAAAATGAAATCAGAAAGATACATTTTTGCATATCTAAGCACAAAATTGCCATGATTCAACCTCAAGACATTTATCCAAAAAATTACACAAGTAATCATTCCACCCACAAATGTTTTTTGTTAAAAAAATAAATGAAGTCAAGTAGGTAAAGCCCACTCAGAAATCCTTACAACAGGCCAATATTCATGTGTTTGTGAACTCACTCGCCCAGCAAGACCACTCTGCACCTCCCATTCCTCAGTCTCACATGGAAATCATCAGGATCTAATTAGTGACTTAGAGAAAAAAAGCAATCTAAGAGTCTACAAACTTTAGGTCACTAAAGGTCACCACACCAACAAGGTTTCTTGTCTCCAGTTTGCAATGTGTCACATGCCAGACTCCTTGGACTCCACAGGCAGCTGTGAACAGCCACAGTCAAGGGGTTTATCTTCAATTCTTAGTGGAGATGATGCTTCCATTTTTAATGTACACACATACTTATAGATATAGATACACAGACTGTCATTTGAAAAATATTTAAGATAACCAGAAAAAAACCATGGAATGAGTAGATAAGACTTTTCATTATATACCCTCCCTCTTGCAAGCTGCTTGAATTATTTCTATTTCTTGTCCAGTTTGATTTCATCTCAGTTTTTAGTGTTAGAAACACAAGAAAATGTAATTCAAGATTAGATTGGTGTTTCTTCCTCCTACTTTTCTACCTCCTGCTATGCCAAGAAGTAGCATTAAAGTTCTACCATGTGGTTGCCCAACAGGACACAGGAAGCCAGAACCCAACCCAACAGAGATGGAGCCAAGGCTTAATTACAAGGGAATAGCAATGAAATAAGGTCAGATTGCTGAATTACTAAGGAGGACATTTACTACGGTTTTTCACTGTTACATGTACATGATACATGCATACTCCAACTTAAGGCAGTTTTTTTCCTTACCGTGACAAACCATTCAACAACAAGAATGTAAAAAGGAAGAAGCAAGATGGGCGAGGGATAACCCATGTTCTCTTCCCTGCCCTCCTATGGCTAAAGATTTCCCATTGTTCCTACAATCAACCCAAATCTGAAACCATTTGGTAAATGTTAAGACAAGCATTAAGTCTAAAGAGAGGGCTGGACAGAGGCAGGAGGATAGTGAATGTGAGGCCAGTGTGAGCTACATAGTAAGAACATCTCCAAAAAGAAATCTGAAGGGAATGTGACCCGTGGTGGGAAAATAGGACAAGAAGAAATTAACTGATTTGGCTTACAAATGATAACATAAATCCATACAGCACTCCATAGTTCTAAGAAACATGGTATAAAAATATAGATTTTCATATTCAATAACTATGATACTTGCAAACAGTAATAGATATCTTAAAAATGCCTATAAGCTCTTAGTTTTTATAAACATGGCCAAACTAGGAAATAAAATAGAAAAACTAAAAATTTTTAAATGTTAACATGTATGACGTATAAAAAAGAATTTTATACTAATGGAAACTAACTCATGAAAATACAAAGATAGACTTAAATACATAACTTTCTAAATGATCTGAAATGTAAACTACATAAGCTAAAACTATGAATTTATGTGACATTAGGTCACATTAAGTGCCAGGAGTCATAGTAAATCTGAAGTGATATGAAATCAATCCATTTCTTCTAGTATATTCTTCAGTTAATATTGCTGAAGAGGGGCACCAGGAAATAAAATTGTGTTACACAAAGATATGATACATGCTGGAATACGAATGGTCTTAAAAAGAGAGAAACATATAACAGCATTTATCATTTTTAGAGTCTTGGGTAAAAGATACAAAATGCAAAACAAAACAGTCATGACATTTAGCAAGCATATACGAGTAGATTAAAACGCATCATTTATGGCTTGACTCAGATTACAAGACAATAAATAAATGATTCAAGCTCCACTTTAAACCAGAGAATACAGATTCATTTTAGGCTTTCTATCTCAAGCAGACAGACCCAGCTGAGTATTAATTACTGCCACTGCCAGGAGAGCTCTAGAGTTCTATAAAATCCACATTAAGATAACATTAAGCAAGGTGATATTTTACATGGGATAACTGTATTATTTTAAATTCCAGACCATTCCAAGAAACAGCAATGGTTGATTGTGCACAGCATCATACCAATAAACAACCATCCAGGGTAGGAGCTGGCCTGCCCACACTTACCGTTTTCCACATACGGGTGAAAGGGAAGAACCAGGGCAAGGATGACTCTGCCTCTAGTTGGCTCCAACACACTTCTGATATCTTTTAATAAAGTCAGGGGCTGATCACAGCGGTCCAGCAAATTCAAGCAGCTGATGACATCATACTGGAACCCTGTATTCTGCCATTCATTTATACCAAGCACTCTGGAAAAAAAAAATCAGAAATTACTTAATATTTCTCTGTTTAAAGACATTCTTAAAAATAATTGAAATGCTAATAAAGGCCCTAACCTTGTCTTCTGTATCAAAGTAAATGCAAAATCTGCATATTTATAATACAAAGGCCAGATGGGAGAAAAATAATAACTACATTTCTTTAAATTTACCTTTTAACCTATCTACAAATATTAAAACATACAAAACTTTCTTTATAAGAACTAATCACATATTTAGCAAGTACAAAAACCCAAGGTAATAAAAATGGTTATGAAGTAAGAAGATTCTTCAACATTAGAGAACAAAAAGTCCTGCTTTTTAACGTTCAGTGGAACTCAATCATAAAAAATTATATATTCTTGTTTCTGGTCCTACAGTCCTTCCCATACTTAAGAATTGAGTAGTGTAAGATAATTTCCATTAATAACCTAAGACCTTTTTAGCATATATATTCCCAGGGGACAAATGATTTCAAAATCTAGAATCTTCATATCTAATTATACAAAAAAACTAAAGCAGAGGATGTCCTTGTAAAACTGGTAAGTGAACAGAATGGTTTAAAAAAAAACACTTTCAGGCTGGTGGAGTGGCTCAAGTGGTAAAACGCCTGTCTAGCAAGCATGAGGCCCTGAGTTCAAGCCCCAGTACTGACCCAAAACACCAAAAAAACCACTCTCAACCCTCATTCATTTTTTTAAAAACTCATTAGCATTATGATACTTTATAACATTTCTGAGTAGAAGAATAAAAAAGAGCACAAACTACTCAGGTATATCTTCTCAATCTATATAAAGATTTATATAGATTTCCTCCAAACAAGAATAACAATCTTCACTAAACTAGTCAGATTCCTGGGCTGTACAAGTGTTTAAGTGCTCTAAATCCTGCTTGAAACAAACAGCATTATGACTTCAAAATCACTTTACACAGCATTATGACTTCAAAATCACTTTATTGTCCTGAGATCAACTGCAAACATGATTTAAGAAATGAGATTTAGCTCATTAAAGAGGAGTTTCAAAACACTACTGTGAAGATTCTTCTTTCAGGATAAAAGTTTCATTAGTTCCCATTTTAAACCCTGAAATGAACAATTAAAACAAAAAAGAACTATTTGTGTATCAAGTGTCTTAGCCAAAGACAATTTAAAATTATAAACTGCAAAAAACAAACCATAGAGTTGATTTAAAAAAACAAAACAAGGGCTGAGAGCATAGCTCATGTGGTAAAGCACAAGCCTGGCAAGCTTGAGGCCCTGGGTTCAATTTCCAGTACAAGAAAAAAAATCTTAGATCTGCAATGAAGTAGAAGTCAAACATCATCTGCATGTTTTAATGCAGAATAATCTCATCTCATCCATCTCAGCAGTTCTTGCAGACAGTCTTAATGCTGGGATAGTTAAAAAGCTCAATTTCATTTTGTCTCACTTTGGTTTTCTGATTTCTATTTGTAAGCTCAGTTCCATTCAAGATGATAAATGTATTTATTAGCCCCACTCAAACTACTTGTTAGCCCAGAAATCCTACCACATTGTTTGAATTTTCTTCTGATATTTGAAAATGAAAGAAGTGACTAGTTCACACTGGAAATGTGAACTCTACTGGCAGAGTAGAAGCTCCAACTGGAAAGTCTCCTGGTATCTTATTCAGGTGAATGACCTGACAATCATTCTTTGAATAAACCTTTCCACTCTTATAATAGGTAGAATATAAATAGTAATCTGTATGCTTCAGTCTCCAATGTCTTTATTAAAATAAGAAAATAGAGAGGGTATTAATACCTTCCTCCTTAGACCCAGTTTAAAGCACTGATTTTTTTTTTCCAAGTAGGGAGATAGACAGATTAGGAATTCAGCATGATTTAGGCCATGGGTATAATAAAGTTCAAAGTATTCCAAGTTTTGATATGGTAAATTAACTTCTAAATGAAGGAATACATTTCAATTATCACCACACAGACCCACCAGGACCTAAATTGAGGCAAACTGCTGGAGAAAAAGGGGAACCTAAGGAATCACTTAGTTCAAACTCACATCTACCCAGTTCTTTCTTATATGACATCCTTAATAGCTATTTAAACACTGACAGTTGTAAGGATTAGATGCCTGGAGTTGTTAGAAAGGTCGATCTCTCGGACCTATAACTCAACTTTTGGGGCCTAGCTGTACCCAATTGTACCAGAGATCTCACTTACTCCTTCCTTCCATGTAAAATACCATCAAATATCTTCCCTTCCATCTTCCTCCTTGGTCTTTCCCTTCTCTAGGCTAAAAATTTCCATGTTTTACAAGTCTTCATTCCAGTCCTGCCTCAAAAGTTTTGATGGTGCTTTGACTCTAGAGTTAGTCTGTAAACACAGAAATGTGCATAGGAAAGTGAGTAGTTACATAAGTCCTCTCTTTTCTAAGGCTAAGTCAGGCTTCCAAAATATCAAAGGAGAGACAGGCTCCAGCTCTAGCTCTCCGTCAATACACACAGGAATCTCTCAACCAATAAAACTGGTATGAATAAATACCCTTCTTCTAAGTCTCTCCAGCACAAAATGGTCTGAAAACTAAGACTCCACACTTCACAGCCACCATCACTGATGGCTGATATTAAAAAACAAACAGAGTGGCCCGTAAACCCAGCTTTCAGGAGGCTGAGGGCAGGAGGATTCTGAGTTTGAGGTCACTCAGTCTCAAAACTACATATATATATATATATATATATATATATAGAGAGAGAGAGAGAGAGAGAGGAGAGAGAGAGAGAAAGTTATATATATATATCTCGATATAGACATATAGATATAGTCAAAAGTGTAGAAAAACTGGAATCCTTGTACACTGCTTGTGGGAATATGAAATGATACAGCCGCTATGGAAAAGGTAGAGTGAATTCTGAAAAAATTAATCCAGCAATTCCACTGCTGGAAAGTGGAACCAAGACTTAAATAGATACCTGTTGTACACCCATGTTTATGCATTACTCAAAACAGTCAAACTGAAGAAGCAAACCAAATGTCCATCTACAGGTGAACGGATAAAGAAAATGTAACATATATGCATATGATGGATTATTCAGCACTAAAGGAAATTTAAACCACAACATGGATAAACTATGAAGATACTAGGCTAAGCAGGGCATCACTGGCTCACACCTATAGTCCTAGCTACACAGAAAGCAGAGATCAGGAGGATCTCGGTTCGAAGCAGTTTCAAAAATAGTTGGCGAGACCCTATCTTGAAAAAAATCCATCACAAAGAGCTGGTAGAGTGGCTCAAGGTGTAGGCCCTGAGTTCAAACCCCAGTACCAAAAAAAAAAAAAAAGAAAAACATTAGATTAAGTGAATTAAGTCAGTGACAAAGGACAAAAGTATGATTCCTCTTATATGAGGTATCCAGAGTGATCAAATTCATAGATACAAAGTAGAATAGTGGTCATCAGGGGCTAGAGAGAGGGAAGAATGGGGAGTTATTTGATGGGTAGAGTTTCAGCTGAAGAAGATGAAAAGGTTCTGAGGATGGATAATGGTGATGTTTGAACAATGCAAATGTGCTTAATACAACTCTACACTTTAAAATGATTAAAATAGTAAATGTTTTGTTAGATATATTTTACCACAATTAAAAAATAAAAACAAACAAAATATCCAAGAATGCCAGATTCTAACTGGGGAGCAGGTCCCTACATCTGACCTGCCTTTTCCAAGCTGTTTCCCACTAGCCCTTTTCCTTTCACACTAATTCTTCCCCTGCCTTGGAAGGATTATTTCTCTCTAAATTTCCATTCAATTGTGTTTTTAATTCCTAATCACGGAAAAGTATTTCTGACTCATATCTGTCAAGTAATATACTTTCAAGAAAAAACACATTTAAACCATGTCTAAAAGTTATACCTGTATTTCTTCTTCTGCAGCTGCCATATCATAGTTTCCGAAAGCTCAGTGGCATAAATTTCTTCAAAATGAGGACTCATGATTTTTGTGACTTCTCCATCTCCAGCACCTAAATCAAGAAGTCTATGGGTTTTCCAGTCTGGATTAATTTTAAGAAGTCTCTGAAACTGATCTGGTGAAAACACGAACATTGAGCCTCTTCCTAGCAACCTGAAAAAAAAAAAAAAAGGACAAAAATGGAAAAGTCTATTCAAATTAAAGACCCCAAACACACAGAGTAATATAGTGACTCAGCACCAACTTTTGAGCTTAAAAAATTTCATTATTTTATTAAAACATGGACTTTTATATGATTTCATCTTGGAAGTTGCCAGTAATTCCCCAAAAGGCCTGAGGAAAGATGTGAAAGAAAGGGAAATGAAATTAAAAGATGAGCTGAGAACTTAAGTCAAAAAGAGGAAGAAAAGGTGGAAAGAATGACAGAAAAATACATATACCAGTTAAAAAGATTTCAAGCTATCAGAATCAGACCACAACACTAGAGAGAGATCAAATACAGGAAAAGTACATTTAGAAGATGGGACTTGAGCTGGAGGTATGGCTCAAGCAATACACCTACCTCAGAAGTGTAAGGCCCTGAGTTCAAACCCCAGTACCATAAAAAGAGAGAAAAAAAGAAAGAAAGAAAGAAAAAGAAGATGGAACCACACAATGGGTAAGGGGAAAAAACAGCTGTTTTAAATAAAAAGACCCTTAAAAAAAAAAAAAGAATGGTCCTTGTGATATCAGTTAATTTGCTTCAAAGTAAATTCATAGTGTGTATGTTTTACAGTTGGCTGGATGCTATCATTTCTAAAAGGCCTAAACAACATTCTAAACCATGGCAATGCCTTTGACAAAAGAGACTCAGTAGCCCAAATGGAGATCAAAGAGAACCCTATGAAAAGTGCTACAGCTCATAGGGTCTCTCAGAAGCCCCACCTTAGGAAGTAAATGCACTCTCTGTGTGGAACCTATCTCCAGCTCTCAAATCCTAGTTTGTGTGGGGCAGGGCTCTGCAACTTTTTTTTTTTATTGAAATGGAATTCAAACACAATATAAAATGGTGGGAGAGCTGCTGCAATGACACTGAGCACCTGGAGCTACTGCTAACCCACTTCTAGGATTTGCTTTGCAGCCTGAAGCAGCTCCTGAGGCACTTCTTCCTTAGCCCTAGGAAACAGACCAAAAACCACTGGTCTAGGAAACACTGGTCTAGGAAGTAGCAGGGAAATCTGTGCTGTGCTGCCACTTTCTGGAAATAATCAGAACAGAAAATGTGTTTGCTACATAGTATATGGAAAGATGCATGGGGCATGGGGCTTATAGTAAGACCGGTTTCAAGAAAAAATAAAAATAATTGAGTTCATGTAATAAATCCCCCTTCTCTTTCACCATTAAAGCCATGGGAGTTTGACCAAATTTATTAATATATTTACAGTAAATCTTCTGCCTCATAGAAATGCTAAGACTGGGCAGTGGGAGGGTGAAAGGTCCTAGAGACAACTAACCATAATGCTATGAACTAGTCCCCAAAGAAAACCATAGCTCATAAAAGACAAGTTGTTTTTAATCCTCAGTTGTTTGGGTTCTAGTGGAAAAACAAGTACATCTGAGAAAAGGAACTGAACTTACTGAAACAGCTGTACAAAATTCACACAGGATCCAGAGTCCAAGAAGAAATTCAAAGGAGGCCAGTTTCAAATCCTGAGCTGACTTAATAGCCCAGGACCAAAGTAAATCACAAAGTTAATTATTTTGCTTAAACTTTCTTGCCTATAAAGTAACATTTCTCCCAAACTATTTCCTTGAGAGGTGAGGAACACTGACATGATACTCATAAAATTCTAGAGTTAGAGATCATCTGAGGTAGAGCTTACAAGGTCATCTGGGGGAGGGGTGCACTGTCCTATATCCAAAGAGCATGTGCTGTAGGAGCTCCACAAAAGATTAACATTATCAAAAAATTAAATCCAGGCTGGGCACTGATGACTCATGCCTGTAATCCTAGTTACTTGGGAAGCTGAGATTGGGAGGATTGTGATTCGAGGCCAAATCAGGCAAATAGTTCTTGAGACCCCATTTCTAAAATAACCAGAGCAAAACTGGATTAGAAGTGTGGCTCAAGCAGAACAGCACAAAGCCCTAAGTTCAAACCCTAGTTCTACCAAAAAAATAAATAAATAAATTCAAATCCATGAGCCCAGTGTTACTCAACTTTGCCTGTAAGGAATAGTGGGAAGTTTCAAGTAATCACAATGACTTGGGAGGAGGGGTAATTACTGTCATTTAGTGAGCAAGGCCAGAAAAATTAAGACTTCCTGCAATGTGTGGGGAAGTCTCAAACAATAAAGAATCACCCCACCTAAAATATCAAGAGATTGACCCAGTTCAATACAAGGTTTCTGGTAAACATGCCATGAAGGGCTATTGCTCTCTAACTTCTCTTTAACTTTAGTCCTTTATAACATACTAGGTTCTCTGGCCACAATCCAAGTTCTCTCTAGATTTAGAGTTCATAGGAGGCATAACTACTTCTTCCTTATAGAATAAACTCTGAGAACAGCTATTAAGTCCTTCCTTACTTGGCCTTCTCCTTCCCATCAGGAAGGAAGTTTGATAAGTACCTTTATTCAAGAAGGTACCACAGTAATAATTTAATTCTTTCTGTAAGAAATAGCCACATATGGGATAATCCACCATTGCCATGGTGTAAAGCACCAATGGGTTAAAAATTAAATTTTTAGTTGATAACAGAACACAGATCAGAAGAGATTTGGGAAGGTGAGGGAGCCAGGTAGATGGTGCTGCCCATAGTCAGCCCAGCTACTCCAGAAGCTGAGGCTAGTGGGTCACTTATGTCCAGTAGTTTGAGGCCAGCCTGGGCAACACACTGAGATCCCACCTCTAAATAAATAAATAAATAAAACAGCAGTAGAGTTAGTAGGCAGGTCCAGCAAGGTATAGGAAGAGGGAAGTGATTTAGAGTTTGAACCTCTCCCCCCACCCAACTCCTATAAAAAATGTTGGACTCCTACCCTTTATTCACTTTCAAAGAGATACAGGACCTCCCAAAAGATAAGAAGCTCTGCTACAGTAACTCATCTGATTTCCAAAGAAAGAATAGTTGCCTGACAAGCCCTGAGTCCAATCCCCAGTACTGAAAAAAAAAAAAAAAATTGGTACAGGACAGAAATTTCAGTACAACCAATTTTATGAACAAAATGTCAGACCAAGTTGTATAAACTCAGCTCCCAATACAAAAATACTGAATGTTTGCAAAGGCAAACGTAAGGCAAGTACATATCAACAATGAAAAAAATCAAGTGAGAAATCTGGAGAAATGGCTTGTGGTGCCTGAAAACATATTTAGGCACCAGATGATGGACTGGGGAATCCAAACATTCAACAGAAACTGGCTCCAAACCTCAAGGGAAAGACAAGTACAGCCAACCAGTGGCTTTAGTGGTTCAACAAGGTTTTTTGTGAAAGCATCATGCCCTATTAATTCTGTGGCTTTCTGCATTCCAGGTTCTTGGATATTTGAAAATTTGGACAAGAAATAATAAATAACATCCGTAAAGCCTTTTTTGGTGGATTTATATGAAAGAACTACTGAGGACAGAGACCACCACAGAAAATTTATAAAATCTGGGTAAGCCTAGACATTATGTAAGAATAAATGCCAAGACCCGTCAAAAAACAAGCCATCACCTACTGCTGGGCTGAGGAATTAGCACCCCCAGAAAACCTTGCCCATGGGAGGTATGTTTAAGGCAAAGCTCTTCCTCTTCAGTGGAAGGGCTTACAAGCCTCAGGTTAAGGACTTGGTTCCAAGAGTCTTGCTACTCTGAGGGCCACAACCATCACTGGCATCACCTGGGCGCCTGTTAAAACTACAGACTCTCAGACCCCACCCTGCCCAACTGACTCACAGTCTGCAGTTTACCAGCATCCCCAGGTGGTTCCTGTATACATCAAAGCTGGGAAGAATTGAACTCAGTAACTCCCGCCCGGAAACACTGACTAATGAGGCAATTTGCCAAGTTCTTGTGAACTATAAAATCAAGTGCAAAAAGCTAGAACAGTGGACCTACAAGCAGAAGTACTTTAGCTAAGGAGGTCAATATCTACTAGATAACTTTCCTCTTTCATTTCTCCTTTTTTAAACCTAAGAATAAAGAAGGAAACAATGTCCAAGATTCACTTACCCATTGATAGATGTTCTAGACATAAACAGGCTAAAAACAGATGATACAAAAGAATGATATAACTGGATAAATAGCCAGCCCGACTTCTCAATGCTGTTGTTTAAGAAGATCTGTGTTCCTTGATCAAGGTAACTCTGAACAAAGACAGCCTGAAGTGACTCGCATAATTTCTCTCTGTTGCACACATACCACTAAAAAAAAAAAAAAAAAAAAAAAAAAGGAATAAAAATTAAAACATATAACTGAAGTGTCACCTAAGAAATCCAAAAACAGAAACCTAAAATCAAATCTAAATTACTAAATAATAAAATCTTATGGTACTCTGAGGATAATCTTAGCCTTTTATGCCCATATGACCTATAAAGTATAAAATACTACCTCAGACATGACTTCTCACTTAATTCTCATAACAACCCTCCAGGCAGGTACAGGGTGAGGAAAAGGGGAAGAGGCCTTTGAGTCATGTAGCAGGGCAGGTGGCAGAACTGGACCATTAGACCAGGTTTTCTATTCCTGGCCCAATGTTTCAGTCATAACACTGTTGAGACAGAGAAAAGATCTGCCTTTCCTTCAGAAAGCTGGCAGTATTAACCTTGTTTTTAGGTAAGAAAAACAGTCACATAATCTAATAACTTAACTCAAAATCTCCAAACAAATCAATGGCAGAAGAGGCAGCAGAATTTAACATTCCACAACCAGATTAGGTTGAAGGCAATACAGATGAGATCTTTAGAAATCTTGAGATGTGCTTTACAAACAAGGCATATGTCATTCTTACAAACAGGGGAAAGGTGTGCTCAGGAGAAATGAAGTTACTGAATTCATACTTCAGTCAACGAGAAGACAAGTTACAGCATGCTTGGAACCAGTTGTCCAAGAATAGACTCTAGGCAGAGCACACCTTTTAGAACAAAATTCAAGAACTTCAACTGTAGATAAAAGTTAACCTTCCACAATAAATGTTTCCCATTTCCCTGAAAGACAGTTTACCAGAGAAGTGGGAAAGCAGAGTGTACACTAGCTTTAATTTCAGCCCCACAGCAAGTCCTGGCTCTGTCACTTCTTGGGAGCTCGGAAAAGTCATTATCAGTAGAGTAGAGGTGCCTCTGTCCTGGAAGATACTATGAGGATTAAACAAGATAACACAAGCAAGTCCTCAATACAGCACAAAGAACACAGTGAGAGTCTTATGACAATGACTTGCAATGAGATTTCCCTGACTTGGTCTGATGATTAAGTGAGCCCATTACATACAATGGTGCAATAAAGAGTAGACCGGTTACTATTAACCCTGTATCTGCCAAGAAATGACCAATTTTTCCCAATAAGGAGTCTACAAGGCCAAAAAGTAACTGGCTTCCTTCTGACCAATCTGACCATTTATCAGCAATAGGTGTCCTGTAACTTCTTGCACAATTAGTGGACCAATTTTATAGTCACCCTAAGCTTGCTACATGTTGACTGGAATCTTGAGTAACATTCCTGACACTAACATTAAAAGGAACCAGCTATAAACCAACAATAACAAGGAAACAGGCACATTAAATTTCAAAGAGTCATCATTTTGTAAACCCTGAAACCCAAACTGGATAAACCAAACCTTCCAGTTGTTGACAAATTTCTTCTAACTTATTATTTAACAATTGCTATTACCAAAACTGCTTGAACTTTACATAAAATCCTTCTTATTTTCCCCACACTACAGGACCACTACAGGACAAGCTATGAAGCTTCTTAAATTCACTGCCTATACTTTTGTCCTTGGTCTCAAATGTTTTTGCTTAATCACTTACTAAAACTTAATACTTACTCTGCCTTAAATTATGCCCCAATGCAGGTCATAGCCATTTTTTATTATACTCCTGACCTCTTGGCACACATTTTACACTCTGTAATACTGAGGCCACTCGGGCTTTTATTTGTTCTTTATTCTCTGAAATGACTAATCAAGATAAGAACCATAACCTTGATAACAGGCAATCAGGGACTGAAACCCAGGAGAATTCCTTGGCACCTACTGTAAATAGACAACTAGAAGAACAATGGACTCTGGCTTCCAGAACTAAGAAAGAACTGGCACCACTAACTGCAAATATTCCTATCAGGTGCCAAGTTTTTAATAGCATATTTCCCAATTCATCAACATTAACACATGTGGTTGGACTTTTATTGCCATACAAGTCTTCCAAAAAAGAAACTGCCTATTAAACAGAAGGTACTACAGAATAAAAGGAGTGAAGCTCTTCTCTTTAAAGATAAAGGCTGAAATCTATGTATTTCCTGAACACTTTCCTGATACAAATATCCAGTCCACAGCAGTGCTATTCATAACTGCCAAAAGGTGGAAACAACTCCACTGTCCGTCAAACTGATGAGGAAACAAGGGGTGACAGATCCATTCAACCATGAAGAAATAAAGTATTGCACCATGCTCCAACAAGGACGAACCTTGACAACATTATGCTAAGTGAAACAGGTCAATCACAAAAGGTCATATATTGCATAATTCCATTTATGCAAAATATCTAAAATATGCAAATCCAGAGACAGAAAGGAGATTGTGTTGGATGAAGGGTTGGGCGGTGGCAATAGGGAATGACTGCTAATGGGTAGGGGGGTTTCTTTTTGGGGTGGTAAAATGTTCTAAACTTAAAGCATGGTGATGATTGCACAACTGTGAACATACTAAAAACCACTGAACTATACAGTTTAAGAGGATCGATTTTATGGTATATAAATTATATATTTCTCATAAAGCTGGGAGATTTTTTTAAATACTACACACACACACACACACACACACACACACACACAGAGCTTCCAGAAGTTAAAAGTGATCTAGAAATGTAAGTGACCTAGCAAACTTCTTACAAAATGCAAATGCAAGTCTGATGGGGTCACAACTCGGCTTCACAGGAGTCTTAGCAAATCCAAAACACTCACTACAGCTTCAAAGTCCTTCAAAATTTCTGATCATTCTGTGTCCACAGCCTCACCTCTACCAATCCATGACATTAGCTCTCATTTTGTCACAGTGCTCTACTCTTTTTCTTTTTTTGGAAGGTTCCTTTCCCATGGCCATGGCTATCTCACCTAGTATGTGCCCTGCTACGTTTCCCACCACCCAGCCCCTCCCTCTTTACCTGGTTAATTCAATTCCATCCTAAACATTTCTTCAGGTATGTTCTTCTCCAACTTCCAGCCTGGGTCAGGTCTCCCTGTTCTCATACCATCTCATACATCCCCAGTGTCTCCTTGGTAACATGTGTGACTTCTGAATTGGTAACTGTACACAACTGCATATTTAGTGTATATCTTCACAGAAGCAAGGTTCATAAAAAATAGGGACAATGACTAACTTCAGAGCCTGACAGACTCAGACAAATGAACGATAAGTGTTTGCCAAGTGAATTTTTGTTAAGAATCACAGGCAGTCTGAACAGATAGAATTTGGCATTTCTAACAATATCCTGGAGGAAACCCAAAGATAACCAGTGAGACAGCTGTCACTGGGTTTCTGTCAATTTCTCAAACTCCAAAGTTTCCACAAGGTCTTGCTTAAACCCAGTCCTGCCAACAGTGGTTAGTTACCCACCCCACCATAAAACTGCATCATCACAAGCAAGAGGACACCAAGTACCCAGTGTGTCAGGCACCTGGCCGAGTGCACTACACTACATTTACCACTTTAAACTGTCTGAAACAAACAGAAAGCCTGGAGTCCCTGAGCGGCTGATTCTACCTTCCATTCTAGTCCATTTGGGTCTCTGAAAGAAGCTTCTCACTAATCTCTACCCATATGTCTGCTTCAGAAAAGAAAGCAGGACTATTCTTCATTGAAGTTAGACTGGGCAAAGTTGGAGAAAAGATAACTAACCAGGGTTCCTGGTCACTGATCTAGGCCCCCATAAGCCTTTTTTACAGAGCTGTCCCAAGCACTGCAAGATACTTACCCATATCTCTTGCCTGTCACCCATCAAATGCCGGTAGTACTACCCCAAGTGCAACCTAAAATGTCCCAGGCACTGCCCAATGATCCCCCCAGGGAGACAGGGCAAAATTGCCACTTGAGAACCCCTACATGGGTTTAGTCAGAAACTATCGCTATTATGACTCTGCAGTAGTGTTTCCTGACTACCCCAGTCTAACTGGGGTCTAGGGACTGACTACAGCTGAACAAAGTCAGAAACCCAGAGAAACAAGTACCGACACTATGATCTTGATTCACCTTGCTATGAAGCCAACCAGAGAGAAAATCAGTGCAGGAGCCCCTGCAGCCCTGCTGGAGTGCTCCGAGAGTCCCCTGTCTCCAGACAGTCAGGCTACACTTAAGTGAAAAGCTGCACAGACTCACAGCACTGGATGGCTGCCATTAGGGGCCTGGGCACTTTCAGGCAAGTGAGTTCTTTGAACCCATGCTCCTCAGAGAGGACAGTGACAAAGGTACATGGGCAAGAACAAAGTACTATGCTTCTTAAATTTCACTTTGGAAGGACTGTGCCAGCTCTCCTGTAGGCTGGACTCATCAAATGGAGACCATGTTGTCTGAAAAACTGTCTACCTTTAAAGCTCACTCAAATCATGTTCAACCAAAATAACCCCGTAAATCTTTTAAGTCGGGGCAGAATTATTCCATTCAGTCACCTGCTGATGCCAAGTATAACAGGATTTGATAACTAAACATCTAAACTATAGCAATACTATTCTTACTTGAAATAAAACACCAAAGATACTACTAGCCAAATAATAAACGGCCAAATTAGGCATATGAAAGGAGTATGTTTGGGTGTGCTGATAGAATTAGCAAATCAAAGTAATGAAACATTAGGTTATATTGTCTTAAAATTTTCAAGAATTGGTGGAGTGGCTCAAGTTACAGTGCCTGCCTAGCAAGTTCAAAGCCCAGTACCACCAAAAAAAAAAAAATCTTCATTAAGCAATGAACACCTCAACACCCTCTGCTCTCCAGTCAGTCTCTCTCTCTCTCTCTCCCTCTCTCTCTCTCTCTCTCTCACTCTCACTCTGGAGTGGGGTGGGGTGTTGAGACAGGATCTCCCTCTGCAGCCCAGGCTGGCTCTGAACTCATGATCTTCCTGCCTCAGCCTTCAAGTACTGGGATTACAGGTACAAACCACCATATCTGGCTATGAATATCACTTAATATGTATATCACCTTCAAAGTAAGAATGCA